TTTTTTTTTATAGATGCATGATGTCTTTACCTATCATTTGGTATATATTTTTTTTATATCTGACCCTTTACCTGCCCACAGGGGGGGATTTAAAATGACCACTTTTTCACAAAAAATTTACTTTTTCAATTTAAATTTTGAAAGTGTTCCGGAAATCTGACACTTTTATATAAATCTTAAATTAAAGCTAATGTAATTTACTTTATTATGCGAAAAAAAAATTTCGGACTTTATTTTATCTTCACGGTGAAAATGGCTACCGAATGCTATTATTGTGTGAAAATTCTCGATTTTATTTTTTACATTTTTAACTTTATAATGCTATGACATATTGAAAAGTGTATGGATCAACATTATTTTTTTATGAGAAATAATATTTTTTAATAATCCCTTTTTCATTCTACATACTTTATCTTAATTAGGATATTAATAATGAACTAGCAGATCATGTAGCTTTTGGAATAGTCCACCAATTTTTTAAAATTAAACAGTATCTAAAGATTTGCATCGAATCGTTTTTTTTTGATAGTGATTTTAATCACTGTCAGATATCATTATACTTGATCCATCTATACCACGTCACCACTGTGCCGCGACCCCCCTGTGCTGGGTTTTTTTTTATTACTTAANCTGTGCCGCGACCCCCCTGTGCTGGGTTTTTTTTTTAGCTTCGATTTTACTATGATGTGTTTTTTTAACTTAGATGCAAAGCTGAGAAGGTATTAATTTTAACATTATGTGTTTATTCTTTTTATGTGTGTGTGTCTGTCACTACTTTTTCTTATCTCTCAATGGACCGATTTTTCTGAACGATACGTCAAAAGATCGCAAATCGTATCTAGTTTAAGACATTATCCTCAAAAATTTTGAAAAATTCCCTTGTTCCCCGTAAATGAGGGAAATCTCCAAAAAAATTACAAATTTAAAAATCGCTAATTTTCGACATTTTTTCAATTTTTTACTTAAAACTGCCATAGCTTTTCTAAAAATGACTAAATCAATAAAACATTTTTACATAGATTCATGAGCCTATCATTTTTTATATTTTTTTATAAATTTGACCCTTTACAAGCCCACAAGGAGGGATTCAAAATAACAACTTTTTCAACTTAACTTTTGAAAGTGTTCCGGAAATAGTGACACTTTTATATATATATATCTTAAATTAAAGCTAATTTAATATACTTTATTATAGAAAAAAAATTTTTTGAACTTTATTCTGTCTACAAGGTAAAAATGGCAACTGAATGCTATTTTTGTGTTAAAATTTTCGATTTTANTTTATTCTGTCTACAAGGTAAAAATGGCAACTGAATGCTATTTTTGTGTTAAAATTTTATATTTTATATTTTATATTTTTAACTTTATATTTCTATAACTTCTTGAAAAAATTATGGATCAATACAATTATTTTATGAAAAATACTATTTATTTTTCATTCGACATATAATGATGTCAAAATTATTTTAATATCTTCAAATAATAATTAATAATTAAAAAATACAAACTGTCACTGCTAAAGTAACAATAAATACAAATATGAAATTGAACACACGAATTACAAAAAGTACAGTTATTATATTTGATAAAATTCTAGTAGGATTTTACAGTAAAAATATACAATATTTATAAATGTTTAGTACAAATAAAAACATTAATACTTTTATCATAAAGTATACAACTAAAAAAATCATTTTAAGTTAACAAAATTAAAGTCTAATTAATTTAAATTAAATAATGTTAAAACAATATTGAAATAATTGTAAATTATATATTCAAAAATAATTTTTTAAAAGGCAACGAAAATATCTGTTAATGAGCAAAAAAAAAAACAAAAATTGAAAAAGGAAAAGTAAAAAATAAAAAAATATTAAATTACAAAACCCATAAAAAGTTATTAATTGACTTAATACAAAAGCAAATCTTTATATAAATCATTTTCTTTTAATAAAAAGAAGACATCCGACAGTATGTACGATATTAGATTTCAATGCAATGATAAATTACCATGTATACTACAGTGACTGCGGCAAGCATAAGAGTTATAATGTAATATACAAACATATGTAAAAATACAAATGCAGTCACAATCGGCACAGAAGTTGCTATTGGTGTTGAGATTAAAATTGTAATAGCATATCATAAGTCTTAAGTATGAACAAAACATCTATGGTCAAAGAAAGTCCAAAAGAATTGGTTCGACCTCATATAAAAGACACAAATTATTAAGTTCAACAATTTCATGATAAGATTTCTGTTCTATAAGATGTTGTATTGGAAGCAGTGAGATTAATGCTTTGTCAGAATCTGTGTAATCATCAGAGGTGGGCAAAATATTGTCCAAGACTTTGTATAAAATATCAAGCCACCTATTGTTTCTCTGGAGACCAAAAAATGCAAATGCGTGGCCGCAGTTACGATCCGGTTTCAAAATTGCATACGACTCAAACATACCAGTCATTGCAAAAAGACATCCGATGGCTATTTGAGTGTGCAGTGGATATCCAATTAGTAACATATCGTTAGTAGTGTGCTTCAATGAATCTAAGATGTAATGCAAACAATTGTATTGTAATTTGACATTGTTTGTACGATTTTCCAAATAAACATCTGTCAAATCACAAACTGTTGTATCTGATTTACAGTTTTTCAGTTGAGATTTGAAATACGAGGATCGAGTTTTTTTACAACTAGTTCTTTCAACATAAGGAAATTTACCAATTATCTTATTTCTACATTCAAGTAACGACCCATCGCAAAATTTTGATCCGCGTACTTTCGTTACTGGCTTTCCCATACAAAATTTTACCTGTGACACATCGATGTTAGATTTTTTACATCGTACAGATAATTTTTTATTCCATATATTATTTTCTAAATTGGAAAATTTTGTCATGTCCTTGTACAATATTTCAGCTTCTTCTCGAAGACTTAAATCACGACGGCTCATCTTTTCCGCGTACGAGACGTCAAATATCTTCTTATTGTACTTTTTGGATACGTTTTTTGATATAAGAGTTTGGTCTTCATGAATCGGTTTTAAATTGTATCTTTTGATAAACTCTTTGCACACATAACTTTGAATTTCCTTCATTTCATTATAATACTCGGCCTTTAGAAACCACGATCTAATGTTCCTCTCGATAGTTCTTATTTGTAAGTTTGAAAAATAACTTGAACACTTGAATATTTCGTTAATAAAAGTTCTGGGTATTTGCCCAAGAGGAAACATTGCATTTTCGTGGTTTTCACTTTCGAAAAACGACTGAATAAAAGGCTCAGCAAATTGTCTACCTTTGTAATCTTTGCATACGATATAAATTTCTGAATTCCCGGACTTACTTGTGGCTGGTTTCTGAATTTCGACAGATTTAAATAGACAACAAAGCAAGTATATTCTACAAATTGTGTTACATTCAAATATCGTAAACGTTTTTAATACAAATGATCCTCTGTCTTTTAATATGTTCAAACCAACCATTACCTCGTAATTATGTAAACGCATGACAGTACATTCTTGTTCTCCTGGATCATTTTGACAATCTATACTTCCATCGGCCGTTACCAAACTTACGCCGTCTACAAATCTTTTAGAAACCGTCGCCAATAAGTGTTCGTGATACTTCGGTTGAAATATGTCACCAGTATAGTCCGGACCGAATTCCCATTTGTCTAATGTGTTCAATATTAAGCGGTCGTCAGTAATAATTTCAGGTTGACCATTAGATTCATGGTACGGGTTAAGTGTCATGGCCAACCAATCGAAATTTAAGTTATGATGATTTAGTGATATGTAATGATTCAGTGCAGAAATAAATGCTCCGGGAGCTTCACAGAGATGTACAGAGTTGAAATTAGCTTTGGATGTACGTTCTTGAGTAAGCAAAGAAGAATTTCCTAAGATCTCATAGAACTTACACCAAGCTTGAGTCAAAAAATCAGGACGTATATTTTTCTTAAGATGACCAATGACTAATCCAGCAGGATTCATTTTGGTTGTATGTGCATGCCATGTTTCGCTGTTGAAGTTGTCCAGTTTGTGCTTAACGAAATTCAACTCTGATTTCAGTTCTTGAAACTTGTGTAATTTCCATGAAGGGTTTGTAAACATACTATTTGAGCGCGGCATTCGCCAATTTGTACTAAGTACAAACTTTTTAGAGAAAGCTATAGCTTTTTCGTTATGTTCGGTTTGAGGTGTCATCGTGTGAAAAAATACTTAAATTTTCTTCGTTCACGTCAGATCGCCTCCTGAAGAGCAAACTATTTATTTGATCTACGCATATAAAAATTTAGTTACCTAGAAACAAATTTCTGTATGTTTATTTATAAATAAAAATAACTATTGGCCTAAATTAAAATTAAGTCATAATCCCACGATAAATTTTTATACTTTTAAATAAAATAATTATACAAATATAAAAAGTTTCAAAGTAATAAAAAATGAAAATAATTATAAATTGAATTATAATTCTTATAAAATGGTAACATTTTAAAATTAAATAGATTTTATTTTATGATAATTTTTCATAATGTTATTTTTATAAATAAAAAAACTACTTACTATTTATTTCTGGAAAAAATACCACTTTTCTCTAATAATCTTTTTGAATATAATATCCTCAATAAAATAATTCCAATAGTAAAGATTATTATTTTTAATAATTTAAACTACAAGCAACATTCTTCTGTATACTTGTATGTCGAAATAGTAGATATTTAACAGTATAACAGTTATGTTTAAAGGTAAATTTACAATGTTAAACCAATCTAATTCTTCTAAAAAAATTACACATTTAGAGACAATATATGTATATATATATTATAATTTACAATTTATTAAAATACAAAGATAATTTCCCTCCAAATTATAATAATACAAATAACAATTTTATAAAAGATTTAATAAATGTGCTTAATAAATTTTTACATATGAACACATAAAAAATAATTTCTATATTTTATTATATTTAAAGTAAATACACAAATTATTATTATTAATTATATTATGACTAGATGTACAAAAATGAATATTTTTAATCCTAAAATAGTTTTACAAATATATAAATATAATTAAATTTTTTCATCTTTAAGAAATGTTTGAAACTTTTTAACTCAATATTATTTCAATAGTAATATCAATATCAAAAATGGAATATATATCTTAAATTAAAGCTTATGTAATATACTTAAATATGAAAAAAAATAATTTTGAACTTTACTTTATTTTCATGGTGAAAACGGACATCAAACATAATAAAAAAAAAATACAATTTTTGTAAAAGAATTCTTTTTTATATTTTTAACTTTATAATGCTATAACTTTTTGAAAATTGTATGGATCAATCCAATTTTTTTATGATAAATACTATTTATATACTTTTTTCATTCGACATACTTTTTTTCTGACCATTTCACTTTATACAGGAGTGATACAAAACTTAAAAATGTATATAGAGAGTAGAAGTTTTTCAACTTATTTTCAATTAAAATATATTTATTAATTATTCATACGTACCCTAAAAATCAAACATAAATATTTGTTATATTAATTAGTAGAATTTTGTTATTATTTATACTATATGCGAAACTCTAATTGCAAATTTGAAATCGTCGCAAAAACGTGTTTAGAAAAGTATATTTTGGTCTCTGATGAAAATTCATTATAGACCTGTAATTTTATTCATAAATAACAAACAATTTTTTTTTTTAAGTATTGCATCAAGGCCTTTAACTTTTTTTTATGTTTGCCATAAAAGTTATAACTACTTTATAATTTTTTATAATTTCTCCGTAAATATTAGAATACTAAACTATTAAATATCAATTTCATACTACATTTAATTTCTATAATAAATATTTATTCATATATTACAGTTATAAAACTTTTATTTTATTTATTTTGTTAATTAAGTATGTAAATAAGAATTTAAAAAATGTCTAATATTAATGTTTTACAGGTATTTATTGATAGATTATTGGAAAAAATAAAAACATTGTAGATGCATTTTGGGTGGATTGAATCACAGATCCGTCCAATATAAGCTTGTAACTGCCAAACCAAATCTGTCGCATCTTACCAATTATGTAGTAGCCTTAATTACAACTTCGAGAGTAAGCTCATTTGTAGACTAATTACCGTCCAGATATAGAATATTTTAGAACTTATTTTATTTATTTTTAACACTAATCGATCATTGTTTATTTTTTTATTTGATCTGTTACTTGCCTATTTATTATTTGTTCAATTTGGTTTTTTTATTATTTTTCCTTTATAAATTTTAATTGATAGTTTAAATACTACACATTAGTTCATTGTTAATAGTTTATGCCTTATAATTGAGAATTATTGTTTTTATTAAACTCTCAGTTTTTAAGACTGACTCATCTTTATAATTATCCTTTATTTTAAAATTTAAAATTAAGTAAATAAATTTTATAGTAACATTTAATTTATAGTATGTTTTATGTATAATAAATTCTTATATATTCATTTTTTAAATATGATATTTTTTTATTTATAGAATACATATAAGTAGATTTATTTAAATAATGTATTATGTTTTTCAATCAATATTTCATAGTACATTTTGAATTTTTTTCCTTCAATACAAAGCTATTTATTTTTAATTGAATTTTTAAGAAACATATAATAACATCTGTAAGAAAAATTTCACCGTTATAAAAATTCATTCTCCCAATTTTAATATAAAAATAACACTTGTATAGCCTATTTTTAAAGTGTAAAATTCACCTCCAAACTGTTTTCTTAATCAAATTCAATGTGTATTAATTCAATTAGTAATTCCAATTTTTCACTTCGTAAACAAAACCTCATTTATTTATTAATAAATATTATATTTATAGATGGGTATTTAATAAATGATGGAACAGCAGGTAAATTGTTATGAATAATAGAAAATTTTCCTTACTTTTTAAATACCTGTATAAATATTTTCTTAATAAATTGTGCATGATCATATTTTTTTCCTAGCAATAAATCTAATTTTTGTTATCACTGTAGTCTCTCCGCCTATTAGAAAGGCATTATGTACTAAAAATAATTTGATTTTTTTATATCAAAAATTAACACAGGAATGTTATAATTTAATATAATCCTTATATTTTTTAATCTCAGTCATTATAATTAAACTAATTTTACATACAATGAGATATCTTATAATTGAATTAGATTAGCGGTATCTTTTAGACACTATTACACAAAAAAAATCACAATATTGCAATTTTCGATTCTATGAATTCATAAAAAAGAAAATATTTTAAATAATTGTAAGTGTATTTATCAAACTTTTTTTGAATTGCAACAAAAATTTTTTATTTAAATTTAGTGCAATTATAATTCATCATTAATTCTATTATATATATTTTTTATTTATAAAAAGCTTTAGTTTGTTTAAAATTTTCTCCGAATGTTTACATTATCTCTTCTAATTTATGATAAATGTAAACAAGCCTACTAAAACAGAATTTATGTAATATTCATTGATAAATCATGTTTTTATAATATTTGCGTGTCAATTAAAGAAAAATAAATTTTATTTATTCATTTTTAAATAATTGAAATGAAAACCATTCAATTAGTAAAAGTTAGACTCTTTTTAATACCTCATTTTCAATTTTTTAATGTTTTTTAATAAGCCCAAAAATTGTTAAATCAATTTATTTTTTTAATTAAAATAATTGATTTATGCAATATTATAAAACTCATGTCATATTTGTTTGGTTTTAAATATCAAACTTATTTATAATTATTCCATTTCACCATAAGTAATTTGTGTGTGTACATGTGTAGCTGTAATGAAATAAATAAATTTAAATAAAAAATAACCACATCATTTTTGATAAAGTAATTATTATTAATTTTGATTAGTGAATACTATAACATTTAATAAAAAAATTTCTAAAACATAAATATAATAATATACATTAATAAATTATATAAATTTTAAGTAATAATTAGGTCAATAATATAATGGAATTTTTTATTTATTATTATTTTATTAGTTCTTTGTTCCGTCATACAAAGTTGATACAAAAATAGTTGGCTATTAAAAAAATATAAAAATATTTTGAATTGTTATTAGACATGCTATTTATAGAATATTTAAAATTTAATTCAGCCAGACATAACCATGTTAACAAATTCTTCATAAGATACATTTCCTTGAGAATCTTCTTGACCAGCAAGTAATTGTTCTACTTCGTCATCTGTAAGTTTCTCTCCTATTTACAATAAAAATTAATCGAAAATCGAAATTTTAATTTTAGTAAATTTAGTAAAACGTACCAAGACTTGTAAGCAAGTGGCGTAACTCAGCTGATGAAATATATCCATTGCCATCTTTATCAAAATGACGTAAACCTTCATTGAAGTCATCAGCAGTATTTGATGATCGATTTTTTGATATTGCTTGATATATAGGCAAAAAAACTTCAAAAGTTATTCTTTCATCTAAAAAATATTTTAAACTAATAAAAAAAATAAATGTTTCAATTAATTAAAAACAAAATAGTTATCTTTTATGCAGTCTTGTGTTAAAATCACTTCAACTTCAAAAGAACAACTATTTAATATTATAATATAATAATTATTATATTTAAGTAAAATATTTGCTAACATATTTTAAGTTTTCTTATGTCTACAATTGAAAAAAATTAAAACTAAACATAAAGTCCAAAGGGATAATTTAAGACGGGTCTTTAATTCTATTTATTAAAGATATATGAAGTGATTATTTTAATACTAGGCACTCTTAAAATACTAACTTTTTAAACAATTTTTTTTTTTGGATGGGATATTATTAGTTATAACAGATTTTTATTTGGATCTAGCTTTTATATCTTATAGGAATTTTAACTTTATTTTTTTTAATGGAACATATACAGAATGTTCAGTAAGTAAGAAAACGTGTAAATTATTATAAACAATGAGAACAATAGAAACCCATTTTCTTACTTACTGAACACTATATATTTAAACTACCTTTTTTGTTAAGGTTATATATATAATAGATATTAAGTAATATGTATTATATTATATTACATGATAATGTAAATGCATAATTATAATATTAATTTATATTAATAAATCGAGGGGAACAAAAAAAATTTAAGATATTTGAAAATTTAAAATAATGTCCTTTAATAAATTGTAAAAATGTGTAGAACATAAATTCTAGGTGATTTCAATACATTTTAAGATAACAAAAAATTTGACATAAGAAGAATCCACTGTATAACACAATTGTATGGTTTGAAAATTCTTTTTATTAATTTGGCCAATAAAAGATATTTCATTGATAATTGATATTTGATGTTTTATCATTTTCAATTTAAATGAAAATTACCCGCTTTATGTTGTTGAGTGAATTTATTAACATCAGATTCAGTTGGATTTTGACCTAAGGCTCGTAATGCATTACCAATCTGAGAGATATGAATCTTATTGTCTCCTCGTATGTCAAATAATTGAAAAGCTTCTTGCATTTCTAAAACAAAAATGTGTATTGAAAAATATTTATTTTCTTTTAATTGGATAATAATAATAACCTTCCATGGAAGTAATGACTTTTACTGCATCATAATTATAAGAATACATTTTGTGAAAATATTTATATACATATATAATTTTTTTCTTCACTATATTAATTTTTGTACAATATGAATTAAATGGATAGTAATAATTTTCACTATAGCCTTGCTATAATAATTTCTTCCTTTTAAATTTTAAGGACAGGTTTCATGTTAGATCCAAATAAGGTAACAAAACGGACATTTGTAATTATTCCCCCAACCATTTATAGTTAATATATAAAAACAATCTAGCATATTTCTACTCACCAGAGAGATGTTCATCTGAATAAGACGCCTGAAAAAAAAAGATTGAGACAACTACTAAATAATTTTGTAAGATACTAATAAGTTAAAAAAAATAATAGATATTAATAATATGAATAAAATATCTGGCTAGCTTATACTAAACCTGTAGAAACTTAGTTGGGAATTTATGTAACATAACTTATACTTACTGTTTTACTCATTTTTATTATTATATTAATTTTATTATTTTAATAATTATATAAATGTTAACAAAATAATAATGATACGTATCTATTTGCAGTCTATGACTCAGCTGCATAATATTTAATAAAATGATAGCATTATGATAATAATCACAATACGTGTACGTAAACATATACTTTAAAACAAATAATTTAACACATTATTATATAAAAAAAAAACTAAAACTACAACAAAGAGTGTGACATTACGCTTTTACGATATCTGCTGACTAATATACTAGATTTAACAAAGTAGTATATTATAATACTTTTAAGTAAAAGTATTAACTCAAAGACTAGCACCACAGACGTAAATGAGACAGGAATTCTGTTATTAAAATTTGGCTCACAACAAAGCTTTTACCTATTTTTTTGCAGGCAAATAATGTTTAACAAAAATGTTAAATGCCGTCCATCGATGATATATATTTTTATTTAAAACTTAATTTTAGAATTTATTCAATCAGTAAATAGTAATATTGAATTATTATTCTTCAGTTAGTTCATAGTCTTCAATCCAGAGCAGACTACTGAGATTTCTCAATAACTCCTGCATATATTACAAAATGTTATTAATTATTAGAGCCGAATCATTCAGTTCGTAGACCATATGTATTAACTGGGAAAAAAATTTTAGCTACATTTTTTCGAAACAGGCTAATAATCCACTGCACATACTTAAAAAGTTTTTAAAATTCTTAGGCGTAGTGGCTATAATACCTAATAGTATAATACAGCCATGATTATTTGAGAGGCTTAACATTAAACAAGTTAACCCTAATTATATATTTCTTAACATTTAAAAGCCATAAAATTGTACATGTCATATACCTGTCATGCTAATTAACAATATTTCATTAATAGTATCAAAATAAACAGTTAAATTAATAAATTCAGTTATAGAAATGAATGTTGAAGGAAGAAGAGGTAGAGTAAGACCAAAATAGAGATTGAATGCGATACAAAGACGGCTGTGGGAGATCGTGTCAAGTGGAAATTTAGGATAAGGGGTGGCCGATAACAAGTAGTTGGAATTCAGGCAAAATAAAAGAAGACCAGTAGCGTAATTAACAAAAAGAATTTTGCTTTGAAATAACAAATGAAATATACTCTTCGTATTTATTCAGTTAGCAATTTATATCAGTATGAGCTACACGATAACAATATGAGACTTAAAATATTAATTTTCAATTTCGGGTTTCAGTGTCGAGTTGGCTAATTATTTATTTATATCTAACACCCTTCGAGTATTTTTATATAAAATAACTTTTTTGATTTAATTTAAAAAAAAATTAATAAAATAAATATCAATTCTTAAAACATATTTGTGTATTTATTATATTAGTCTGTATACTTGATAATTTATAAAATACAAAAAATAATATACAAATATTTAAAAAATAGTTGTCTTATAATTCCAATCATTTAAATGTTTAAAAATGTTCATATAAAATATTGAATATTCAAATAATATCCTGTAATCAAACTTAAAAAAAAAATTATATAATAATAAACAAAAATTTCACCACATAAATATTAGCTAATTTATTTATATAAATATTGATTTTTGAAAAAATGTTTTCTTAAGTCTTGATTAAAATAAATTACTAAGTATTAATAAGTTGTTTGCTTCTGGTCGAATAATAGTTTACATTTATAATAACTTATGATGTATCAATTTAAATAATTAATATTATAATAAAATACTACGTTTTTGTCAAAACAATTTTCCTGTCAGTAATCGGGTAATCAGTTTGAAATATAAAACTTTGAGAAAGAGGATTCCATTCTTTGTTTTTCTGAATACAATGGTTAATAGCTTTTTTTTCTAACAGTTTATTTATTTCTTGATTTCCACTCTTTAATATTGAATGTAAAGATGAATTTCTCACATTATTGCTTAACTCAACATCTGAACCTTTGTCTAACAATACACGGACCAATTCTAAATCACCTTTTTGAATAGCATAATTCAATGTTGTGTTTTCTTTACAGTCAATAAGATTATTCCATTGCTCTATATGATTCAGTAAATACAAGGCAATATCACTATATCCTAACCGTGTTGCATATCCTACTAGATTCATTAAAGTTGAAGAAGATGGTATAAAGTATTTCATGAAAGTTTTTATAACTTCTAAAGATCCAGAAAATCCTATAACCTTACACCAAAATATTTGATCTTTAAATACATTTATGTTAGTTTTTTCAATTAAAATTCTAAGGATATTTATATCACTAGAACGTAAAGCTACATGGTATAAATCAATATCTATGCTATATTTACTTCTGTCTAAAAGATACTTGACAAGCTCTGGATTTGAACTGAGAATAGCATTATGTATAGGTAACATATTATTTTTGTTGCGACAATTCATATTTAATCCATTTGAATATAATAGCTTTACAACCTTAAAAGCACCACGCACACAAGCAAGATGAATAGGTAAATCATTATCTTTGTTTGGAATACTTAAATCAGCTCCATTTTTAAGTAAAATATCAACCATTTCTTCATTTCCATTACAAGCAGCATAGTGCAATGGTGTGTTGCATTGCATAGTTAATGCGTTTACATCAACATAGCATTTCAGTAATTCTTTTATTACCAAAATTCGATCATGTTTAGCAGCAAAATGTAATGGCGTAACTTTGCTATTTGTTTTTTTATTTGGTCTGGAACCAGCAGCCAACAATTCCTTTACTATTTCCCAATGGCCTTGATATGCAGCATAGTGTAAGGCAGTAAGTCCATTATCATCACTTTTATGAATGTCTGATTTCAATTCAACAAGTATTTTTACAGCATTAATACTTCCAGATATCACTGCATGGTGCAAAGGTGTCATTCCTTCACGAGTAACTCCATTTAAATCAACTCCAATATCTACAAGTCTTTTAATGAGTTCTGCAGATCCTTTAAACAAAGTAGCATAATGTAAAGCATTCCATTTTTTAATATCTGTATGTAAAGAGCAAATTCCACTTTCAGTTAATAGCCAACTTTGTTCTGTTTTATTATTATGAATAGCTAACATTAGAGGATTTAAGAAATCTGCTGTAAATGTTTTATTAACATCAGCACCACTTTCAATTAGAGTTTTTAAAATAATTGGAGTTGATATCAATGTTGCATATATCAATGGGGTACCTAACGAGTTTGAGGTTGCTTCTAAATCTATGTCAGAATGTTCACATAAGTAATTAACAATTTTTAAACTATCTAACTTGATAGCCATATGAAGTGCTGTGAAACCAGTACTTGTAAATGCATTAACATTAATAGTCGGAAGTTTCAATAAAAATTGTACTAAATGTAAGTTACCAGTTTCAATAGCTAGATGTAAAGGTGTGTATCCTTTTTGAAGTTTACTTACTTTATCATATAATGACATAAAATTTTCAACAGTATTATTAGAAGCAAAATCTTGTTTAAAATTTATTTCAAATAAAGAATCTATAATAGGAATTTTTTTTTCATTATTTTTTCTTTGAGATATTTTAATATTTTTACGTTTAGACTTCTTATTATTAAAACTTGGTGTGGTTACATCAAAATATTCATAGTTAGACACTGACATATTCACCTGAAAGAAAATATTAAAAAATATACCAACAGCTTTAAATGACTAAAGTAAGAAAAACTTTTAAAGATGATTTTTAAAATCTAAAGTTTTTCGTACAAGTCTTAATAATTAAAATAAAAATTTTAATTAATCATATCATTATTTGAAGATATAAAAATTAACTCATATTGGTATTTTATAATTTCATTGTTAAAAGTGACATTTTAAAGGTAACTTGACAAAGGTAAAATGTTCAATAAATCATTTATTTATAAACCAATAACTTAAAAATTATCAGTTGATAAATTGTGTTATTTTAAATATTTTTCGAACGTACAAATTTTATTATTTTTCAATTATAGTAAATGAAAATAATGAGATATTTAATACTATTTAAAATAAAGAAAATAAGATATCAAAGTATAAAACATGAAAATACACTTTACATAACCTTTTGATATAATTACATAATAATAGTTTACAAGTAGAGTTGAGGAGAATATTTAATTTTTAATAATGTTCAATAATAATAAGTTTTTAAGAATTAAAACTTGAGAATTAATTAAAAAATTTTTTACAAAAGATCTAAGAATTATTTTCCAACTAAAAAATTTTATTGAACTTATAAAAACTATAAGTATAAGCCAACAGAATTTTTTAACAGTTAGGAATCAAGATTTCTCCAAGCAGGAATGAACCAATTTTTAATTAAATATATCTTAAGAATAAGTAACTAATATAAATAATCTAATATTATATTTAGAACAAATGTTCTATATTATATTCTATAATATTCCTTAAAATCAATTAATTTTAAAACATTTTATTTACTACTATAAATATATATTATTTTAAAATCATTATGATTAACCTGAAATATTACTTATTAAATCAGTTTAAGCAAAAAATTGTATATAATGAGTTATAACTTATCGAAATTTACTAATCATTAAATATATATATATATATTATATTACTTTATGAAATATTTAATTTTCTTTTTAAATATTTAAAATATCATTAGAGAATATCAAATAATGAATCAAAGTTATTTTTTTGATTTCACAAAAACAATTTAAAGATATCTTTACTTTTTAATTTAAAGGTAAAAAAGAGTTGTCATCAATAAAATTGGCTTGCCATTAAGGTTTTTGTTTTAGAATGTATAGAAAACTAAGAAGAACAAAACTGAATTTTTTTTAATTATGTAACTTTTTAAATGATTTGGGAAAGCTAACATACTTTCAAATTTATTTGTGTCCCTAGACCAAATTCATTCAAGGATAAAACTGTTTTAAGATAAATGAGATTGTTGCATTCAATATAGATTTGTTTAACAGGATTAAAAGTTTAATAGTTAGAGAAAAATATCTAATATGATGATAACCAAACAACTAAATAATATACCAGCGAAATATATATTTTTTTTTTATTATAAATGTTTCTCCACAAGCTATTGAAAAAGCTTCACATGGACAAAATTAAAATAAAAGTTAGTAAGATATAGAATCCCATAGGAATAAGATAAATACTTAATAAGTAATGAATACTAATCAAATCAAGTATAATGTCTCATAAGTTCCTAAAAATTATTTGAATTAATTTTATATATTCATACTTAGTACTGACGATCTGATATATGCTAATTTAACGCCTTGTATCTATTATATAACTAATAAAATGCTAGTTAAAATAAAACATCTCAAAAAATATATATATACATATATGTAGATACTGTCAAATTATTGTATTCTTTTTTATAAAACTTCAAAAGTAATTAACTAGGCTAATCAAAGCAGATTATTTCGTTTAACTATACTCCTCCCGTAACTTGACTAGGAGCGCACTACACAAGGGTGATCTTGAATAGGTGTGACGTTTTTATTTGTTTATAAATTCTGGATTTCCCATAAAAATGATAATATAACTTTTTTTGTAACTTTGATTCTGATATAAATAATAGATGATAATAATGAAAATGATTGATCATTCAAATACGTTCCAATGTAATTGAACTAACCCTCAAACAATTAGTTCATTAATTAGAATTTAGCATTTATTATTTATTTTTAATAAATTAGTAATTAAGTAAATATTATCACTTAAAAAAGTTTTACCTAATTATTTTTGAAATATTACTAAAATTTGGTTTAATAACTGAAATTGACGTATTCGCTGAAGAGGTGTATTAATTGAATACTGATTATAATACGGAATTACTATTTATAACATCAATCCAGTATTTCTTAACAATTGCCTACAAAAAAAAAAATTATGATAAAGTTTTCTTAACAATAAATTATTTGTATGAAACTTAAAAAATAAATTTATTTGTATAAATTTTATGTGGAACGTATTTTCACAACCTTTTTTTAGATTAACTTTGAAATTTCAAAAACTTATAAACGAAAATTAAATGCTCTACGATAATTTAACTTTTAATTATTTAATTAATTCGATAGCAGAGATGATATTTATTTTTGTTAATTTACGATTAAAAATGTAAATGGTGGGGAAATTTATGTGTTTATAGAGGCATCATATAAATAAATTGTAATAAAATAATTTATAATTTTTATTGTATATTGTATTTATAATGTAATATACATTTTGTTTCTAAAGTGTAAATTTGGAACGATGTTAATTAATTATATAAATTTTGACCAGTCATAATATGAACTAAATTATAAAATTATAAATCTATAAATTAATTTTTAATTTTATCATACAACAGCCTTTTTACATATTTAGTAATTACTTAATGAAAGTTTTTGTTTTACTTTTTTTCCAATGATGTGCAGGTTAAAAAGTTGAAAGTTAAATCAGTTTAACGTTTTAACTTAACTGCATAACATAAAAAATAATTAATTTAATTTTTTAATAAGTTAAGTGTCTAGTAATTTTGGTTAATAGACTATTTAGTATAATACTGAAATAAAATAAAAATTTGAAATAATGAAAAAAATATAGGAATTACACTCCAAATAAAAGTATTGAAATGTCTATTTCTTGAAGAACAATATAAGAATTATGTGATATTTAAATGTTTAAGTAATATTATACATGTTAAAAAATACATTTCTTTATTGAATATTTTATGATCGATAATTTAAATACAATTTATTGTTCCTTAAGAATAAAAAAACAATTACGTTTTATATGAATAGAAAAAAATTCTATAATGAACTTTAACTAAACCGCGGAAAGTATTCCTGGTCTTGTAAAATTAGCTATTATAAAAGCTAATCTAAAATATTTAATTTATAAAACTAATTTCCTAAAACTACTTAAATTTTCTATCATTTAATTATCATATCTAAATTTTATTGTACTTGATAGAAGTATTTTAATGCTTCTATCGATTATAATGTATACATTACAATAATTTATTAATATTTAAAATTAAATTAAAAATAAATAAATATATAACTCGGTTTAAAAAGTTATAATATCAAATTCCCGCTATATATACCATGGTTGTGTTATCTATACTTTAACTAACCAATATTCACAAAATGACGCTTGGTATCTTAAGTCTGTTTGCTTACTTTGTAGACATTAGAATTTGACTGAACTCTATGTTCTGTTGGCTCATCTAAATTGTTATATGTTTACCTAAATTGTGAATTTTGAGTCCGTGTCAGTTTTAAATATAGTCTAACACCTAAATATTTTGTCACCGTTTATGACTCCCATTTCATTACTGGTTGTAAAATAATATTTTATCTAATTGTTTAACTTAGCTGAAACACATTTTTACTTATAATTAACTTGAATTTTGACAATTTTACGTTTGATTTGTAGTTTTAAATCTGCATTTATTACATTGTACTTTCATAATACTCATAAAAACCTGTAAGTTATTCCAATTACAAATTTTTAATTTTTATATTATATCCGTTTTTATTTAAATCTAACTAGATATCAAAATTTATATTTTATTTGTTATTCTTTGTAATTGACTTTATTAGTAGTGAACTTTTTTTTTTTTTTTGCAGTAAATGATGAGATTAGGAGATAGAAATCGTGACAGGAGTCGCAGTCCGCTTAGATCAAGAAAAGGAGGATGTAAAAAAGTATTTGTTTCCAACATACCTTATGAATATAAATGGAAAGAACTTAAAGAGCTATTCAAGAAAGAAGGTAAAAATATTTTTCTTTTTATGGTTATGTTTAGTAATTCAATACAAGATCATCTGATTTTATATCTGAATATTATTTATTCAGTAATAGCAGTGATATCTCTAAGTTTTGCAGATTTTGAGGAATATCATATTTGTAAGGTCACTGTTTTAAAAGTAGAGGGTAGTATGATAGATCTTCCCAGTAAAAATAATTGCATGATAAAGATAAAAATGTTTTAAATATATCCCATCTTCAAACAAAACTAACTTCTTTAAAGCCCCATAAAGTGTAGAGGAAGTATCCTGATAATTTTACTCTTATGCCAGCACTAAGTATTAGATTTGGGCCCCCATCCCCAGAAAAAGAAACTAGTCCAAGTTCAATTAGATTCCCTTAGGAAACTTAAAATATGTATTAATTTTTAATTACCAATAATTTATACTCCTTTAAGAAAAAAAAAAAAATCTGGTTGTATTATTTTATTGGACACTAGATTTACAGTTCAACAGTATAAAAATTTATAATCTATAATCTATTTTAACAATTATATAATTGTCCTTATATTTTCTATTATTTAAAATAAATTTTCTATAAGTATTCAATAATATATATTGTATGGTTTCAAACAAACTTTATATACATCTTTGATAAAAATTAATGTTATTCCTATGAATATTCTATAATCTACTATACTAATACAACCTGTAATATTTATTTTTAAAATAATAAGGCTGTACCTTTGTACATTTTTAGAAATTCAAAAAAAAACATAAATTCATTTCAATTTTTTAACTTCTATGTTAATTTTTCAATTTGTAAATTTAAAATTATTTATAAGATAATTATAATCTTTTATAATTTTTTATTACTTTCTTTAGTTAAAAAAATGTTCTATAAGTTTTCTGTTGTTTTCTATTATTTTACTGTAAACAATTTTATATATTTATTTGAATATTTTCAGTTGGTGATGTTGCTTATGTTGTTGTCTATACGGATGAAAAAGATAAATCTCGAGGTTGTGGTACTGTGGAATTTGATAGAGCAGAATCTGCACAACGGGCAATTGATAAAATGCATCGATTTGACATAAATGGAAGAAAATTAGTTGTTAAGGAGGTATTATTACTTTACTGTATAATGATATTAATATGAAGTGATATTAATTTTAAAATTACTTTTATTGTAAGGATGATATTGAACGAGATAAAAGTGGCAGACCAATTGGCAATGGACCTCGAAGTGGTGCTGGAGTTATGAGTGTAGGTGGTGGAAGTGGTAATGACAATAGAGTTAACAGATTACCATTAAGAAATGATTATCAATGGGAAAACACCTATGGGTTGTCACCTCAGTTTTTAGAATCGCTCAATATTAGAGGACCATTGATTAATCGCATATTTGTTGCTAATGTAAGCATTAATTGATTAAGTTTAATAATAACCAAAAAAGGTGTATAAATAATCGTTGTTGCAGCTTGATTTTAAAGTTGATGAAAAGAAACTAAAAGAAATATTTAAACTTGCTGGAAGGGTGATTGAAGTTGAAATTTTTTCTGATAAAGAGGGAAACAGCAAAGGATATGGAATAGTTGAATATAATCATCCAGTTGAAGCTGTTCAAGCAATTTGTATCCTTTTTATTTCAAAAATTATTTTATTTTTTATGCTTTTGAATAATATCAACATAACTAATAATAATTTCTTGACTAAGTTTAAATAGCCATGTTTAACAATCAATTTTTGTATGACCGTCCAATGTCCATACGACTTGATTGTATTGATAAAGATCCATTGGCTAGACTTCCAGAAGGCTTAAAGTCAATAGGAATGGGATTGGGTGCTGGAGGTGCACCTCTGTTAGATGTTGAAAGTAAATTTAATATAAATTTGTCAATTAGTGAGATAAAAATATTGAATATATTACAAAATTAGTTTTTTAGTATTATAATCTTTCTTTTCAATTGATCTCGCATTTTATTAATTTTAAACTAAATATATAAATTGAAATTTTTTTGGAATTTCAAAATGGTTTGTGTATATTTTGCATTATGAGTATATAGTTATAATTAATATAGTTTATCATTGTTTATCTATATATGCAAATAATTTGAACTTGATATAATTGCTAAAAATAAAGTAGTACATAAAATAACTCTTATAAAAGGTTCTTACTTTGATACTGTATATCTCAAAACGACTTGTGAGATTTCACCATAATAGTTAAATACAAATATCATTACTTTTTTTTAGTTTCAATTTTGATTTTATTTTTTATAGAAATAATAATTTAATTTTTATGTATTTAGGAAATCTTCCATCAAATAGCTCTTCTTCTGTTCAATCTCAATCTTTAAATCCTCCAGTAAATACATCTGCACTGGCAATGCTTAGTGGTTTAAGTGCAGATCGCTTGGGAATTGAAACTCAAAGTCGCCGTTCTTGTAAGAATTAATTGTTATGACAAAAATTTATTATTTACCTATAATATTTCAATGTTGGTTAATAAAGTTGGTGGTGTAAATGGCCTTGGATCATTAAGTGCTACTGACTTAGGTATTGGAACTGGAAGCTTGGGAACACCTTTTGGTTCTGCTCTTAACTCTAGTGGAACTGGGACCTTAGGCAGTACTTCATTACATCAAAGTAATCCAAAATTATTTTTGTAAAAAAAAAAAAGTAAACATTAACATAATGTTCATTTTTATTGGTTTTAATGAGTACAATTGCATTTATGATTTGTAACATATTTTAGTATTAGTGTATATGTTAAAGTTTTTATGTGTTCTTATTTTCAGCTGCATTAGGAGGTCGAGATTATGATTCTTTATCTGTGTCACTTGGTGTTCGAGGATCTGGCAGTGGTGGAGCATATGGTGGAGATTTTAGATCTGCATTAGGTAAATATTACTATATATATTTATATATATTGGTTATTTTTATATATCAGTGTGATTAGTTATATTGTTATATTAGAAATATCTTTTCTAGGATATATGTTTTGTATCTTATGAAAAATATTTATTTTTCCAATTTAGGAAGTGGTGATATGGGTCCAAAGAAGTCTGATACTATAATGGTAAAGAACTTGCCACCTAACACTACATGGCAAAACTTGAAGGATTATTTCCGCGATTGTGGTGATATTAAATTTGCTGAAGTTGGTAGCAAAGGATTTGGTATAATCAGGTTCGCATCAGAATGGGATGCTGAAAGAGCTATAAGTATCCTTTTAAATAACCATCTTGACATGGTATTGGGGTCATTTAAATAATGAAATATGTAACACAGTGTTATGTTTAAACTATTGAATTGATTTATTTTAATTTAACATAAAGATAATATAATAAGATTGATGAATTGTGACGTATATAGTAAGTGGGTGATTCAGATACAAAAATGCACGCTTAAGAAACATGTGCGGCAGTTGTTAGTCACAGGTGAAATAGTTTCCATAGTCGCTGAGGTGTCTCATGGTGCTGAATCCCCTAATCTCTCCTATCTACCGACCGCCGGATAAAGTGAACATAGTGTTAACATTAACACTGAGAGTGCAAATGTAAACAGTTGATAATCTCGACCCGATAATGTTCTAATTCATAAAAAATGAATAGTTCACTATTACAGACCATGTCAATCTCTTTGTTGAATTAATTTATGAATTGTCCAAACTCGCTATCAATTTCAACCTAGCTAATTTGAATTGCTAACTGTTGAAAGGAAATAAGTCCAAATATCTAGGATATGTATATTTTCTGTAATCAATTTTTGAAATTTTTAAATGTTATATATTTCATTTTTGAGTGGCCAGATTTGACTCTTTATTTTCATTACTATTTTTATTATTGTATATATATATATATTTTGCAGTAAATTTTGTATTTAGAACTTCCTAATACACAATAATTATGATGAAAAAAATATTTTTATTTCCTTTCTGTAGTTAGCAATTCATATATTAAATATATGATAATATAATTTTTTTTTTATGAAGCTTAGTTTTTCTTTTAAAAATAGATATATGATGAAAGAGGAAAGATATCCCTTAAATTATTTTTTTTATATTTGGCTGAAAGGGTTTAAAAATATTAATGATTATGAAGGTAAAATAATTTTTACTTCTATCAGAATTATTTTCTTGGTTGCCACAGCTCTAAAAAACATTGAAAAATCAGAGAAATTCAGAATAGTTTGAGAAATAATAGAAATGTTGGAATTTTTATGATTAAGCCAGGAATTTTTAAAAATTGATAAAACCTATCATATATCTAGACGACTATGTAAAAGATAAGTTTGTATTCAAATCTTTTATTACAATTTTTTTTTTTTACAAATAATAAAACTTTAAAAACAAGAGATTATGATACTATAATTACACAACTTAGCTAAAAGAGAATAGATTAAAGTATGTTTCTGGAATTCAGCCCCGCATATTTTTAAATTTGCATAATCATAAACAAAACAATATTAAAATAGTCGGGGACTTGATGAAATCACATGCTCTATATAGGTGTATGTTTACTACAACTGCTTAACCAAGTATAAAACTTTTTAATTGACCGGTAAATAATGGAAAAGTTATAGTTTGGATATTTTTAATTTATGGTAGCCATAATTTTTTATTAATTAAATTATTTTTGTTATAATTGAAGTCTTTTTGAACCAGGACCATAAATTATAAAGAAATAAAAATAGTATTGTCAATATAAAATTGTAATATATATTTCCTTAACTGTATTGTCTTCAGCTCTGAAACATTTATCAAGATTTGACGGCTATACTATTGAAGTAATTTATTTCTAACTTCAAGTGTAAGTAATCTTATGTATTTTTTAATAAACTGATCACCATTTTTATGGTGTATAATATGTATGTAAATTTGGTTTATTCAATATTTATTGTAACATAATTATTGTCTTTTCATCAATAATTAAAGTTAGGTGTAATGTACTCTACTACAGCTTTATGACTGTGTTGGTGTCTTAGACCTCATTACTATAATTATATGTATAACTTTGCTTGGATATAAAAAGACATTTGTCATTTTGTTCTTGGTCTAATTTTTTATAATTTTGATTTTATTGTTTTTGCAAGTCATTATATTTTCTCATCCAGCTTCAAATTTGAGTTAAAATTGAATTAGTTTGTAAAAATATACCTTTTTTCATAGTGTACTCTTTGGTGTGTGAGAATAAATTACATGATCAGAAATTTTATTATCTTGTTTTGTATAATGTCAATCTTCCTTTACTCTATTATTTATGTATCAATGGATGTAATAATGTTTAAAAAATATATCTGTTGAGAAACGTGTTGAATAAGTCTGTGAACAGTATTTTTGATGCTATGCTGAAAAAATATTAAACCTTATTCATGGTTCATTAAACAATGAAATTGTATCAATGATTTAATACACATAATTACTTTCTACCTTACTTGGTAGTTTGGACAGTTACTAAAATACACAAATATGTCGATAAAGTCATTTTTTTTATCAGCTGAATATATATTTTTATAAGAAAACTGTATTTTTAACTATAATAATGATAATTCATTACATATTTTTAATGTATTATATTTAAAATTGTTCAAATGTTATATTTATTCTATTTGATTTTAAAAAGTTGACAGTGAATGGTTAAATTATTTGAAGAAGTATAATTAAATATTATTTTGAAGAATAGTGATTTGTTAAAAAAATTTAGTTCTTTTTTCAATTTAGTAGTTTATATAATAAATATTTGCTACAATAATGACAAAGGTGATTTAATCATTTTAAAAAATGAAGCAAAGATTGTTATCTTTATAAACACTGAGATACATTTATATACTGATGTGATGGTTCAGTTAAAGTTATGACCTTGATATATAAATTCTATGTGTTCCATTTATTTCAATATATTATTTGTTCATAGTTTATGTTTAAATTATATAATAGCACAAATTGAACAATTGTTCAACATATGTACCATATAATTAATATAACACTTTGTTGACTATTATAACTTTCTTTTTATTGATTATGGGTTTTATAGTTACACCCTTGAAAAGGAAGGTATATGTTTGGCTTTTATAGTCTGTTCAAATGAATTAGGTATAACATGATTTATTTTTTGGAGAAAACTTTCTCTAAATTTTCTTGGGGTGTTAAGCTTTTTGTTGAATTCAAATATTTATTTATATTAGGCCTTCTTTCACTATCTTCTAACTGTGTTCTTATCTTTTGGAGTTTTAAACAAGTAAGTTTTTCTATTCAAAATTACATACATTTAAATCATTCCTTATTATCTAAGTTTATTTTCAGAGGTATTTAATTGAAGATTTATTAAGAACAATCAAAGCAAATTTGACGGCTGTAAGTTTAATGTTGTACTTTTTGTCTTGTACTTATAATAGGCATGCAATACATTCATGTTTTGCAAAATGCCTGGCTGTTTTATCCTGCAGTAAAAATATATATCTTAAAATGTCATCAGTATGGATCATAGCTGGTATGCATATATTTTGGTCAATTGTATTTTTTGTCAATTCAATTGCAGCCATTGAGCCTGCTTTCAGTCTATTACTACAGGCTCAAGATTTTGTCTGTTTCATCTTCGAAATGCAATTCTACGTATTATTAATGCTGATAAAATATTCACTTGAAATGATAACTAATAGGATATCTGATTTTATTCTTATGATTAAGGTAGTACAATAATATAATGTATCAGTTGATATTTCTTGTATTAATTTTTTTTCCATTGAATAAAAGGAGGGGAATAAATTAAAAAATTCTACTAGTACTATTAAAGAAATTTGTAATGTTTATTTGGTATTTTTTTATTATTATTATTTTTAAAAGGGAGTAGTTTTTAGGCTTCTAAATTGATTGAAACCACTTATGAATTATAACTATAATTTCACATATGCTCATAATTTTAGATGACATTTTGATGATTTTGTTTCTTTTTAAATTCAAGGGTATAGTTAGTTTATAACACTTTAATTAAATCAAAACTATTTAAAACATTTATGATTATAATTTTTCTATAGTTTTTATAATATTATACAGGAAAACCAAGTTGGCTCAAAACTTATTCTGCCCGACTACATGGCTAGTTGTTTCGAAGACACAAGACTCTTGCAAATGGAAGTTTACGAGATTATGGTTTCAGTTAATAAAATATATGGTTATCATACTTTTGCCATAATTATTAAATCAAGAATATTATTTACCATGAATTTATACTCTTACATAACAAGTTCTGATTCTATGGAACTTTTGGAAAGTATAGTTACATTTCAACGAATTGCATTACTATGTTACTGTAGTGAGCTGATCAAGAGAAATGTTAGAAAATGGTACTAAAAGAAATGTATATAATGGTGAAAGAGTTATTTTTAATTTTTACAGGAGAAAAAAATCAAAAGTGTGATAATTGAAATGGATATCAATTTACTACCAGAGAAATATTATCATCAGGTAATCAGGCAGGGTAAATTCTAATGAGGTATGAGGTAGATTACATCCCCATGAAAGCTGATTGAATTATTATAACTTATTTGTCATTTTTGATATTAAAATCAAGTTAGTAAAATTTATAAATTCCCAGTATAAAACTATACAGGCTTATCTAGAACTGTGTAATAAAGTTTATTTATTGAAAACTCTTTGTATTTCAATGTTAAAAATTAAACTAAAGTTCTCCTTTCCTAATAAATTGTTTTGTTTTTGATGTTAATAAATTATAATTAATGAATAAAAAGAAGTAATTTTTCTACTAAAAGTTTTAATGTTGTGCTCTAGTCCATAGGGGTATGAGAATTTATTTTTGTTAGGCTTAAAAAGTTGTATATTTTTTACTACAATTCTTTTCAAAAAAGTAAATTAAATATTTATTAAAAAACATGCTAAAAAATGATTTTGTCTTGCTTTCTTATATATTTAATTTAAGTATTACTTTGCACAATTGAGAATTTGAGAAATTATATTATTTTTAGACACTTTTATTTAATCATCAAGTAGAAAAACTAAATTTTGACTTTGAAGCTTGTGAAATGTTTCCTATTAATTTAGAAACATTTTTATCAGTAAGTACACTATTAGTTAGTCCTGTTTAGAAGTTTATTCAACTAATTTCATGTACTATTTACTATTTTACAGATTGTTATTACAACTGCAAGTTATTTACTTTTATTTAGCCAATTAAATATAAGTTTTTAAATTGTTTGAATTTTAAAAAAATTATAGTTGTATCTCCTGACAATTTACTGTAGCAAGATATATTTAACATTTAATGGCACCTTATGCCTGAAAATATTTTGTTCTAATTAATACTATTGTTCAGGACTTCATTTTTAGTTTTTTATTTCACCTTAATTTTAGCTTAACATTTTTAATTAAGTAATATATTGCACATATATACATTTTATTTTAATTTTTTCTTTTTATAAATTAAACAAATTCTGTAGATATCCTTGTAATCTTATAGGTGTCAATGATTAGATCATGAACATTTTGTATAATTATATAATAATAGACCAAACCATAATAAAGGTAACATTAAAATAAAACCATTAGAAATTTTTTGGAAATTTTCCATAGTAAGAATATTAAAATCAAAATACCAATCATAAACATGAATCTTGCGAGTAAAATTTCTGTAGGAACTTTAACCTCTTTGACTATTTTATTATTAAGTAAATACACCATTTTACTTTCTTTCAATAATCTTAATTTTGTTTCTTCATCTAACGTATCTGCTAATTTATTCATTGTATTTCTTAAATCATCTTTGGCTCCTTTTACATTAACAGAAAAGTAAAAAGCTTCTGATCCTTTTCCATCTGAAAAAGCCATTCTTTGTTTCGCCATCAAAATTTGACCACCAGATAATATTCCCATATACATATGATAAATAAATGGAGTCAATAATATGTAGTTTTCTTTTTCTAATTTTTGTAAATAATTTAAGTATTCTTCTGTGGCTTTAGTTTTTGTAAGGTTATATTGCCATTTGTCTCCAATATAATAACGTAAACTTTTTTCAAATTGATTAGTGCGGAATAACCCATTAATTTTTGCAAATTGATGAAGAATATTGTTATTTTCCTTTTTCATGGCTACTTCAAGAAACTTATATACAATATAGAATCTACGTAATCCTTCAACCCATACCTTGCTATCAGTCATCCCTGAAAAAAAAAATTATTTAACCAGAAACATTAACTACATAGTATTTTAATTGGTCTAATGTAAGTATTTATATTACTTAAAAAAAAAAAAATTATAAATTTTACCTAAAGTACTCTTAGTTCATAATACTATGGGTAATATTCTGTCTATAAAAATTTGAATTTTATTTAATAAATTAATTTATTTTAATTAATTTAAAAAATCAACAATAAGTAGTAGTTTTACCTTGCACTATCTTTAATTAATAAATGTCTATTGGCAGTAGATGTCATATTAAGTTTAAATAAGATATATTAACTGAATTATAACTGTAAAGATCAAATAAATTTAGGTTGTTGTCAAGAAATACATAAGTTTCAGAACATTCAGTAAAGGGGAAAAGCTACCCAATTATACAAAGGAATTGTTTTTAAAAATTCAGAAACTAAAGGAAAAATATTTCAGTCTACATAAAATTTAGTCTTGCTGTCTATGAGAGATTTGCCACTGTGAAACACAGTAGTTATACCTAATCCTCAACTTACAATCTCTTAAATGGTTAACATAGTTCTATTGTTATACTGATTACTTGTGTCTAATGTCAATAAATAAATATATATATATTTATTTATTATATAATTTACGCCCGCGAAAGGGCAAGAGTATAGTAAACATTAACATAAAATTAAATATATTTATAATAGTGTACCCAAAATTGTTTATCATGAATTTATATAGTTTTTAATTATTGTTTATGTACTGTATACAAGCATACTCTTAGTGACTTATGAACATTTTTTTTAAAAAACTTTATTAATATGTCTTGCTTTAAATTAATAAAGCAAGATGAATGGTATCAACTAGTATAATTTGAAATTAATTAGTAAATACTATTTACCAATTTTTCATGTAAATTCATATATTTAAATTATATGAATATAAATATATCTATAATTGGGTCAAATTGTTTTAGAGAGTAGATTTTAGTATACATTCATTTTGTCTTTCCTAAACCTAACATTTAAAAAAAATTCAATGAAGTAACTCAACAAGTATCCAAATTAGTGCATTGATTGAAATCAGGGTTTTATGTTTGTATATTATTGGCCAGTTACTTTTTAAAGTAAAAAAAAATTATACAAAATAGTTCAGATATGAAGTTTTACAATATTGATATAAATTTATTGCAGAAATAATTAATTATAATTGCATTACCAATTCAAACCTTATACATGAACACATTATTGAAAACAACTTAAATATATAAAATGGATCTTAAAGTTTACCTATAGTTAATTTAGCATTAATTAAAGCATCACTTAAACGATGTTCTTTTCTTGTAGCTCTTCTCATTCTGTCAGTAAATTTAATCGGTTCTTTAGAAGTATATTCGTTTATATTGTCATTAAACTCCATATTAGATTTTTTTAATGTATATATATCCCCAACTAAAAATAAATTCAATTAAAAAAATTAAAACAACAAAGCTACTGAAGATCGCATTTATATTATTAGTCTTCTCATAATATAATTGATATGTAATTATTAATAAAATCTCATTTTCTTTGATATGGCTCATATCATAGAAGTTCATGATTTTTTTATTTTATCAGTAATAATATCACTAGGAAATGAGATAACGCCATTATAAGGTAAGTCATTACCAGCTTCAATTTCAAATTCCTATAACTCAAATAATTGTCTAGTTGAAAGAGAAAACAAATTTTTCGAGTACTCTGATAAGTATTTTATATAAATAAACATTACTACACTTATGTTCTTCTAATCCAATATTACAAATAAACTATGTGTTCAAAGTTCATATTTTATTTTTTGTATACTCNTATAAATAAACATTACTACACTTATGTTCTTCTAATCCAATATTGTCTGTATATCCGGTAAATGTCATTTTTATTATTTTCAGGTAGTACTGCAGTATTTGTTACAGAATAATAAGTACATGCCCATAAAGAAATAATAAATTGGCTTTAATTTTATAATTAAATTATCAGATTAATGTGATAAACACATTTAAAAAGTAAAAGATCTTTTGACACGAACGATATTATGTGCCAAACTTTTTTTATATAAGCTCGACTATTGAAAGAAAAAAATACATTGTCATTTCCAAAAAAAAGTTTGTTTTAATTTATTATTCAAAAGTTACAATAGTAGGAGGGTAGTGAGTAAAGACACCCACCTATAACTAATATATATACAATTTTAGAAAATAATTAAATATTAATCTAGAATTTACACCAGCTTACCTATTTTTGATTTTTACACACACTGAATAATTAAAATTACAATGATATGTGTTAAATCACCAGAAAAATATTTTGACTACTATTACGTTCACGGCGACTGGTAAACTTCTACACATACATAGTAATAATGTAAACTACTAGGATAGTTGGTGTAAACTGCTTTTTATTTAACATCATTATATTGAGCTCTAATTTTGTTTGTTAATTATGTGTTTAAAAATTTTATACATTTTAGTAAACATAATATTAATAATTAATAAAAGATGACGATTTGTGTATTATATTTATATATTTTATTAAAACTTTATTTTGGTTGAGTCGGCTGCGTGTATTATATTACATAATTTTCCTTTGATCATGTATTGTAATTTAGTATGCACGCCTAGGGCAGTCAGTTACTCTTTGAACCGGTTCATGAATTGTTTTGTCACCCCGCTACCTTCTTCTCCTGAGCATTGTTTTTTGTTATCTTTATTATATAATATAATAATTTTCTTTTATTATATTTTTATGAAAATCTAATTTTTTTACAAATATTTATTTAACTAAATCCAACCTAATTATATAAAAAAACCGGCACAGTGGGTTCGCGGCAAATCGGGGATGTGACTTAGTTGGGTCAAGTATGATATCTGACAGTGATTAAAGTCACTATTATGAAAAAGCTTCGATGCAAATCTGTAGATAGTGTTTAATTTTAAAAATTGGTGAATTATTCCAAAAGCTACATGATCTCCTATTTCCTTATTTATATACTGATTACAAGTTTTGTAATTTATAATATATAAAGGGAAATGGTGTTATTTAAAAAAAATGTATGTTCAATGAAAGAGGAACATAAATATTATTTCTCATAAAAAAATTGTATTGATCCATACACTTTTCAATAAGTTATAGCATTATAAAGTTAAAAATGTAAAATATAAAATCGAGAATTTTCACACAAAATTAGAATTCGATAACTATTTTCACCGTGAAGACAAAATAAAGTCCGAATTTTTTGTTTCCATGATTAAGTATATTACATTAGCTTTAATTTAAGATTTATATAAAAATGTCAGACCTTCCGGAACATTTTCAAAAGTCAAGTTGAAAAAGTTAATTTTTTGTGAAAAAGTTGTCATATTAAATTCTCCTTTGTGAATAGGCAAAGGGTTAGATTTATAAAAAAAATATACCAAATAATAAATAAAGACATCATGCATCTATAAAAAAAATTGTATTGATTTGGTGATTTTTAAAAAAATGATGGCTGTTTTAAGTAAAAAAATTTAGAAATTTAGCGATTTTTAAATTTGTAATTTTTTTGGAAATTTCCCCTGTTTACGGGGAACGAGGGAAATTTTTTCAATTATAATAGATACGATTTGTGATCTTTTGACATATAATTGAAAGAAATTGGTTCGGCGAGAGCTGAGAAAAAATGGTAACAGACACAAAAAAACACATCATAGTAAAACTAATACCTTTTCAGCTTCGCATCGTAGCTAAAATAGGGTTACCATTTGAAAATTGAAAGTTGATGCTAATATAAAGGATAATCCTTTATATAAACCACCGCGCCTCGCCAAATGTTCAGATATTCGGTAGTCACTTGCGGTTACAAGAGGGGCATCCTCATCGAAAAGCGAGGTCTCAGCAGAAGCGTTGGAAGCCGATTGTGAACAAGACGAATCAGGAACCTATCGGTCAAGGAGCTCAGCTAGGTATTGGGCAACAAGTGCCCTGTGCTCCTGGGATCTTCGAATCCTTTTTATCGATTCGAGGGATCGACCCTGATGTCGCTCGACTAAGTATCCATTGATACGTATGTTCACAACGCCGTCAGCCTTCACTGTCGCCTCAAGCATCGCTATGGTGCGCTTCTCCTCATCTGACCATCGCATTTTAAAATCGTATTAAAGATTGCCAAAGCCTGTGACCGTATTTGAGACGGACGATTGCCCCGTTTTTCATGACTATAGATACTAAAGGGACCTCTTTATATATTGATATCTTATTAAACATAAATTTGAAATAAAAACTCATGTATTTATCTAAAAAAAAAAATTTTTTTGATTTATCCATTTTTCATAAGAAACGCTTTGATATAAATCTGTAGATAATGTATAATTTTAAGGAATTGGTGGATTATTCTAAATTAACATATTTCTTTAATTAAACCTACATAAAATCTTAAATATCTAATTATAGATATGAAGTCAGAGCAAAAATTTGGTATAGCAATGTAAATTTTGGTCTAACATTTCATATGTTCCGGAACATATCCAAAAATTGTGTTCATAAAATTTTTCAACATACGTGGGTGGTCTTTTTTAAATTTTTCTTGTACTTTGGTTTTTTATTGAATTGTCATACCCAATAAAAGAATATTTTATCTTAGATAATCTATTAAAATTTCATTAAGATCAGTGTTTTTAAGAAAAAGTTATTGCAATTTTAAAATGCAAAAAATTTGTTTTGAAAATGCCGTTTTTTACAGTAGCGTAATTTTGAGATATTTGTCTAAATAATAAAATTTAGGTTTATTTTCAGTATTTGATGACAATAAGCTAAATTAGATTAAAATTAGGTTCTTTTGATATATTGATCATTAAAATTGGTCAGTGAGAGCTGAGAATTTTAATGGACAGGCATATACCAATTACGTTATTAACTTCGTATCGAAACTAAAAAATCCAATCAAAAAGACCTTGAAGAAGTTTAGTCAATTAAGCGTATTATAAAAATCATTTTTTAAAAAATTATTTATACAGTAACATATTAGTAAAAAAATTGAAATGCTATAGACCAGGTATTAGATTACAAAAATAGGGAAAAAAAAATAATAATAACAAAGTAAAATCCTTGATATCCATTGAACTAACAACAAATTTTCTCCTTAATATTACTAAGAAATTAAAAATTTACTAATATACCAATTAGTTAAGCAGGGATAAATTAAAAAAATTCATCCACTTAGCAAATAATTTGTAGATCTATTGTTATACGCTGTCCGGTGTCCTTGATTTTATTGATTACTTGCTGATACCGATAACAGTTATTTGATAAAAAATTGATAGACTTATTACGATTGATAATATTTTATAAAAAAATTAATAGAAAATTGAGACTTAAATCTCTATTTACATAAGGTGTAGCTCTATTGAATTAGCCAATTTTCAAAGTATTAATATTAACATGTAGTGAATAATGTTACCCTTCGAATCGAATATTTTTAGTTACGTCTTTTACATTTATAAGTTATTGAATAAATCATTTGCTTTAAACTAACTCTAATATGTAAAATAAAATCAATGAACTATCTCTAAAATTAGAGATGAATCTAGTCTATTTCAATTACAATAATATTTCTCAATGATATAATGCATTTATCTTAATTCAACCTGTTATAAACATTATTAGTAAAATTGAATATTATTGCTTTATGTATGTATGTATTTTCATTATATATTATTTAATCTTGAATATTGATTTTTTGAGAAACTTTTAAATTGTTTTTAATGATTTTTGACTAATTGTATTCTGTATTTAACATTTAACTTTAAAATTATTTAGAAAATGAACATTATGCGAAAATTGCGTGGTAGCAGTGCTGTTTCTTCTGTAAATAGTGATAATAATACAAACTCAGAAGATGATTCTAGTCAACATGCAGCTCTTGGATTGATGCATTTAAAAAAACTTTTTACAGAATATATCCATACATCACATATGCTTACTGAGAAAGAACGTAGTGTGAAACTTTACACAATGATACCTTTATTTTGCAAAGTAAAATTAAAAAACAAACTTTTTGTTTACTATAATATTCAATTTAATTTAAAAACTTATATCTATTTGATTAGGTTTTTGGCAGAAGTCCATGTACAGAAATCATTGAAAAATTTTGTGATATTAATACTTGGTGTTCAGAAATGTCTGCTCTTATGGTTTCTGAAATACGATTACGTGCTTCAAATCAATCAACAGACACTGCCAGTAAAGCTATTGCAAGTTTTTTAGAAATTGAAAATTGCGAAGAATCTAGCAATGGCTGGATGTTATTATCAACATTAAATTTATTAGCAGCAGCCAATCAGCCTTCTCTTATTAAAGTATATTTATAAATATTTGTATTTATATTACATATAAATAAGATTTAATAAACTCAATTTGTTTGGTATTATTTTAGATTATGGTTTCAGCTTCTTTGCCATCAACATTAGTTAAGTGCTTATATTTATTTTTTGATTTGCCACCATTAGAAAATGAAGATATTAAGACAGCACAAAGTGAATTTACTCCTAAAGAACGTCGAATTTTGTTACAAAAAATATTTGTTCAAATATTAGTTAGATTGTGTAGTAGTTCAATGCCAGCTGAAGAATTAGTTACAAAAGATGATTTATCATTATTATTTTCTGCAATCACTAGTTCTTGTCCACCATTTAATGCAGTTTGGAGAAAATCATCAGCTGAAGTTCTGATTACTATTTCTCAATATGGACTAACTCCAAAAGTTATACAATATATACATAGTTAGTATAAAGTTCAGATAAAAATAAAATTATGAAATAAATAAATAAAATAAAAATAAAACTTTCATTATTGTTATTGCAGATAAAAGATGCATTGAAATGTGTATAGAAAATCTTAGAAATAGTGCTGACTTAACTCCATTAGAAATTGTTGATATGTTTGTAACTATATCTTATTTTCTGAAAGATTCATCAGAAGTGTCTCATGTTTTACTAGATGATTTCAATAATGCATTTGGATACAAGTTTTTATCAGATTTCTTATTAAGGTACAAACTAGACAGTAACATTTGTTTGTAATAAAGTGAGTTGTTTAATTTGATGCCTGCATTTAAATAGCTTTAAATACTAATTTAAATGAGAAAGTTATTAAGTACTGTTAATTTTCATGTTTTTAAATTGGAGGATAACATTAAAAATATATTAGTATATAATTTCCTTACTTTTCATTTTATTTTTAGTAATCTGAGTATTTTCCCTAAGTTTTAAATACATTTTAATTTTTTACTAAAAACTACCGTAACTTTTTTAAAAACGAACATATCAATATAATTTTTTTTTATATAGATGCTTGATGTTTTTACTTATCATTTGGTATATTTTTTGTAAATCTGACCCTTTATCTGCCCACAGGGGGGTATTTAATATGACAACTTTTTCACAAAAAATTAACTTTTTCAACTTGACTTTTGAAAATGTTCCGGAAGGTCTGACACTTTTATATATATCTTAAATTAATGCTAATGTAATATACTTTAATTTGAAAAAAAAAAATTTGTCCTCTGGACTTGTCTTCGTGGTGAAAATGGCTACCGAATGCTATTTTTGTATGAAATTTCTCGATATTATTTTTTACCTTTTTATCTTTATTATGCTATAACTTTTTGAAAAATATATGGATCAATACAATTTTTTTATGAGAAATAATATTTTTTAATAATCTCTTTTTCATTCGACATACTTTATCTTAATCAGGATATTAATAAGAAACTAGCAGATCATGTAGCTTTTGGAATAATACACCAATTTTTTAAAATTAAACACTATCTAAAGATTTGCATCGAAGCATTTTTTTTTTATAGTGATTTTAATCACTGTCAGATATCATTATACTTGTTCCAACTATGCCATGTCACCACTGTGCTGGGTTTTTTTTGTTGCATATTTTGAAGTTTGATACTATTTTGTGTTTTTAGCTCTGTTTTATCATAGAAATAGAGTAAAATGTATGGGGTATCAATAAAAACCTATTTTTTCATAAATAAAAAATTCTAGGAGTAAAGCACACTATTAACTAATATTTCATGATTTAAGAGAAAAAATCTTGATATTTTCTATTCCTTTTGTCTTAAAGGTTGCTGATTTCAAATTTAATATGAGTTTTTAAATTCATCTTAATTTAGGAGCATAAATAGGGCAACATTTTTTATGAACTATTTAGAAATATATGTTTTTAAGGTCACTACATTTTTTCCATCGTATGCTTGAATAGCCTGAGTAAAAATGTCCTAAATAATAAATATGTAGATAGTGAAAAGAGGATAAATATGATGGTTGCAGACGCTAATTGTTAAATTACAAATATTGAATAAATTAAAACAGTAATTAATTATTCATAAATCAAGAAATGTATAAAACTAAAAAATACCAAAAGTAAAAATTTTAGCATAATTATTATTTTAAGAAAAATTAAATGGCTAGTGTCATATAGAATCATTCTGTATTTATGTATATAATCATTATTTAAGTAACAAAAATTCAAATTATGTCAGAATTTTTAAATTAAAATGTAAAATTACAATTTACTTTATTGAAATCAACAAATTTATTGATAGTTTTATAAGTTAATATATTTTTTATAATTTTTGTGGTTTCATTAGCTTAGAAAATGATGAAAGCAGTGATGCACTTGAAGCTATAAGAAATTTAGTTTTGATCATTGCATCTCTATCAATGAGTGGTTTTACTGAATTAAAACCAGAAGAAAATAATACTGATCTCACGAGTCAAAATTCAGGATTTATAATTCCACAACCAAAAGGTCCAGGTAAATGTTGAAAATTATTATTTTAATTTTTAATTATTACTAAACAAATACAGATTTTTTTTAACTAATCATACAGTTTTATGATTATATTTAAATAATTATTGCTATTTCACTGGGATCTAAGTATAAAACTCATAAAAAATGTATATAAATTTAAAATTAAATTGTTTGTACTGTTAACTTATAGTAAAACTTTGTTTATATTCTTTGTTAAAATGACTTGAAAAGTAAAAAATAACCGTTTTCTATTTAAATTAAATATTTTATTATTTATGAAGTTTTAATTTCAGAGTTTTTTCATTTTATTATTAGGACAAAGTGTTCGTAACATCAGTGCATTTAATGTTCTTCAATCAACATTTATTTGTTCAGATTCTAGTGCACTTTGTTGTACTATTCTTGATGCAATATCAAATGTGTACCATTCAGATGAAGCAAACTATTTTATACTAGGATCACAGAATACTTTTTCACAGTTTATTGAACATATACACTTAAAAAATCAACAGATACAAGAAAAATGTTTCAAATTGCTGGAGTTCATTGTTTTTCATTTAAATTTTGTACCAGTAAAAGAACTTGTTTCAATGGCCCAATTTTTAAAAAAATCCAATGAAATTGAATGCATCAAAATTTGTTTGCAAACTTTATTAAATGTTCTTAAATATAACAATTCATTTAAAGACGTTTTCAGAGATATTGGTATAATAGAAGAATTATCCATTAATTTAAGAAATTATACACAAGATTTTGTAGCTGTAAACAAAACCAAAGGTGAGTAATTATTAAACTATAAAATTAACAGATAATGTAATGTAAAAAAATATTCATTTTATATTAACAACATATTTTAATATTTATGAAAGATGAGAAACATGATATTGATTTAAAACGTGTTATAAATCTAACATCTGAGTGTCTTGTAAATCTTATGACATCTTCACCTAAAAACTGTAAAGTTTTCAAAGAATGTGGAGGAGCTCAAATGTTATATATTATACTTGAGTATACATCTACTCGTCAATATGCATTGGGTATTTATTCTTCATTATAGTTTTTTTTGTTATATATTATGATGTTTTTATAGTTAAATACTGCAATAAAATATATTGTTTTTATATACTTAGCTATATTAAGAGAAATGATATTAAGTACTGGTGGAGAGGAAGAGATGTCAACACTTTTGAGTACACTTCATACAACAAATCATTCATGTGTTTCATTAAAATCTAGTATTTTGAAGTTAATTTTAAATTGCATGAAAGAAAGTCACCGAACAAGGACAATGTTTCGCAAGGTAGATGGTTTTGTTTATACTATTAGTGCATTGGTATCGATGGAAGGATGTTTTTTGAATGAAAAACGAATTGATCATGAAGCATTGAAGTTTGTCTACACAATTTTTAATACAATAACTATTGCTATGCGGTTTGAACCAGCTAATGCTAAATATTTTCATCAAGAGGTAATTAAGTCAAGCTTTTAATATATAATACATGTCTTAAATAACCTACTTATATTGAGAAAAACTTTATCTTTTAGATTTGTTTAACAAGTTTATGTGATACATTACGTTTACTTGGATGTTTTTCAAATGAAACTCAATTAGATGATTATATTGATATAATTAATATAACACTTGAAGAAAACATTTTTCATAATATTTTCACATCTAACATCACCAATCCAATGCAAGTTCTTTTGAAAAAATAAATTTTTGTTTTATATTTACTATGTAATTTAAGTATATTTATTTAATGAATGGGAATTACATTATAATTATGAAGTATATAAATATTATTATATATATATTGAATGTTCAGTAAGTAAGGAAACAGGTTTCTATTGTTTTCATTGTTTATAACAATTGACCTGTTTCCTTACTTAACACCTAATGTTTCTCTCAATTTATCAATCATGAAATATTTTTTATGTTCATCCTTGATACCTTCTTAAGAGTCAACTTCCTTTTTTCAAATGGCAACAATTAAACTATGTGAAGTAATAATTGGAAGTGAAGAAGGGTGCTGCTATTTTTACAACTAGACATTTTCTAACTGTACACTTCCTACCCCTTAGTTTTAAACATGTTAATAACTTCTGAAATACTGGTCTAAAATTAATTATGTGTATTGCCATTTAAAAAAATAAAGTTGACTAAGGTATAAGGGATGAACATAAAAAATATTTCATGATTAATAAACTAAAAGAAACATTAAACTAAAAGGAACCAATAAAAATATTATCAATTTTTATTTTTTGATTAATTAAGTGGTTCATGATAAATGAATCACTTTGTACATATATCCAATATACATAAATTCTTTGCTTATTCAGTTGCAATCATATTAATTTTATATGATATCTATAGATAGTCGTTTAATTTTTATATCATTTTTGTCAAAATATTTTTAGTGATGCAGATCAAGTGCCTAAGTGTTTAATATATGCTTGTATAATGATGCGGTTGTTATATGATATTGCACTTGATTTGTATGATAAACCAAACAATACCTCTATTGTATCATTCAAATCACCAGCCCATCGCCGATATAGTGAGGTTAATATTTCCTATTAATATGTCGATAAAAAAATGTTATATTTAATAAAATCTTTCTTCTACTGATTATAAAATTTTTATTACAATTTATTTGAAGGTTGCTACAAAACCTTTGGACTCTCAAAATAATAATAGAAGAACAATTCAACTAAATTTAGTTCCTCCAACACCGGAACCAATTATAGTTCATGCTGGTGTTGTTATAGCTATGTTACAACTGTTGCCATCTATTTACAATCCAAAAATACCTAAGGTAATTTCTTATTTAAGACATAAATAATAATAAAAATTAATTCAAAAATTAATTCAATTTCTTTATCAATACATTTTAGCTTCGATGCGAAGCTGAGAAGGTATTAATTTTACCATGATGTGTGTTTTTTTTTTTTTTTGTGTGTCTTTTTTCTCAGCTCTCACTGGACCGATTTTAATGAACAATATGTCAAAAGATCACAAATCGTATCTAGTTGAATACATTAACCTTACAAATTAAAAAAAAAACTCTCTTTCCCCGTAAATGGGTTATATCTCCAAAAAAAATAACAATTTTTATAATCGGTAAATTTTGTCATTTGTTTCATAAAAATAGCATAACTTTTTCAAATATTAACAAATCAATATAATTTTTTTTTATATCGACATTTTAGATATTTTCCTTTCATTTGATATAAATTTTTTGAAAATCTGACCCTTTACTTGCCCACAGGGAGGGATTCAAAATAGCAACTTCTGCACAAAAATTTAACTTCTTCAACTTAAGTTTTGAACATGTTCCGGAAATACTCCGAGCTTCAAATATATGTTAAAATAAAGCTTATGTTATGTGATGATTTTAATCACTGTCAGATTAAATCTATACAGGACCTAACTATGCCATGTCCCCACTATGCTGGTTTTTTTTTATTATTATTTTTTATCTCAGATTTGAATTAATTATTTATTTAATTATTTTATTGAAATTATGTGCTATACTTGGATATTCTTCAACAAAATAATTTTTTTAATAAAAATTTTGATTGTTTTCTGAGTTTGTATCAGGCAGGTCTGTATTATAGTGGATAGGAGTAGAACATTTCATGACTAGTAATTTATATAAGTTCAACATCAAATTTTTTTTCAACTTTTTATTTTTACTTATTGCATTTTGATTATGAGCCATGAGTTCAAAAGTACATCTACTACACAATAACTTAATTAAGTTCAACATTTCTCTATATTTTTTTATGTTATTATTATTTATTATATCAATATAAAATATTATGAGTATATATAAAATACTCAAATACTAAAGTAGTTTAAAAATATTATAAAATACTTTAAGTCCAACAAATTATAATAACTGCTGTTTTTATAATTTAAAAACTCTTAACATTGTTAAATTTGATAAAAAACAACATAAAATACAACACATAAAAATAGTTTGCACAAAATGGCCATTTAAACATTCAGCTTCAAAAAACTTATCAAAACAAAAGAAAAGGTTTTAATAAACATTCTATGACCCAAATTTTGTTAAGTTCATCATCATCTATTCAAGGCTACGCCTGTCTTTGAAGCCACTCCTCTCTATTTGACACCAAAATATTTCAGTGAAACAAAAGACTCGCAGTTCATGAGTACTAGAATATTTTCAAAATATTGTTTCCTTGGCTGTCCTCTTGGTTTCTTCACAGTTATTTTTCCTTTGAAGATGTTGATTATAAAGTCATTGTGTCTGATTAACTTTATTTTTCTTGATTCATTTTGTTAAGCTAATTAATATTGTGATTAAATATCAAAGTAATTTGAATAATATAAACACTTACGAAAAATATTGTAATTGATTCCTAAAAATTACTACCACTATATCATTAAAAAAAATTTACTATTATTTAGATGTCATTAACATTACAAGTATACATTGGAGAAATAATTCGTTCTCTAGTGCGTGGAGAAAAAAACCAACAGCTTCTTTGTGATGTAGGATTTCCTACTACTGTACTAAAAGTTGGTCGAATAGCTCTACTAGAAGAGACACATCCACTTCACACAGTATTTCAGTATATGTTTGAGCGGTTAGCCATTCAGTTATTAGAACCAAAGGATTTAAGAGAGTTTTTGAGACTTGGAGAACCTCTCTGCAGCGTACCTTTGGATTTATTAGACTGTTGGATAAGCCATGGAAGTAAAAAACCTGGTGGTACAGTACCCCTTAGCCGAGTTAAAACACTTGTTTCTATGACTACTCCAAGAGATCCCTGTATGTTCACTTTACCACCATTTTTTGAAATGGATTATTCCTCTGAAGGCTTTGGCTGCTTATTTTTACCTAGTATTGCTCCGCAATCACCAATTAGTGGACCATCAGTTGTTAATGTTGCTACTCTAGTCAGTACTGATATGAATGTAATTGGTGGGATTGGAACTGGTTTGTATTTTTTAGCACAAAATAATAAAATTTGAATACAACATATGTATACATTTCTTTTATTGTAGGTGATCGTATGTTTCCACCTCAAAGTGGATTAAGTTATTCTACATGGTTATGTGTAGAAAAATTTTCAGAACCAAGAACAGATCCACATCCCGTTCGTCTTTTAACATTAATACGTAATGTTCAAAATACTAGGGATCATTTAGTGTGTTTAGCTATTGTCTTATCAGCACGAGATAGAGCTCTCACCATTTCTACTCAAGAGACTCCAGTATCAATAAGTAAGTAAAATATTAATGTTAAAATAAGTTAAATTTATCAATTATTTTTTTTACAGCTAACTCTGATTGGGAGCCTGAAGTCATAGGTGATTCGTGTGCTAGAATATGGTATCCTGATCTTGTACAAGAAGGTCAATGGCACCATATTGCTATTGTTTTAAACCGAGCAGTATTGAAAAATTCATCGTTTTCCTTATACATGGATGGTCAACATGTTCATACACAAAAGGTATTTTTTTTTTCATTATTAAAATTAACTAAATTCAATGGTATGATATGATTTATGCATAATATATTGATCAATATATTATATTAAAAATTGTTGTGAAGAAATTCATAACTTGATATTTTTTTACAATAATCTATTACTGAATTTTTTTTCTAGCTTCATTACATATCACAAAATCCTGGTGGAGGAGCTGCAAACTTAACTACTGCATCATCTGTTTATGGTTATATTGGTACACCACCAATTTGGCGAAAGTATTCTAAACTATCTTGGAAACAAGGACCATGTTATTTATTAGAAGAAGTTTTAAACCCTCATGCTGTTAAAATATTATATCAATTAGGTCCTCATTATTTTGGTAGCTTACAAGCACCAGATATAAAAGGTGGTCAAAAGATTAATTAATTTTTGTTAATTAATAAATATAATATACTTATTTTTACTACTTTTAAATTTCATTCAAAAATATTATTTTAAAAATTAAAATTATTTTTAGTAAAAAACCGCTTTTTGACTGTGTTATCATCATTAGTGCTTAACACATACCAGCCTATATAAACAATTTAATGTTTTTTACTAATATAATTTTTGTGGTTTTTATATTTATGTATTTTAAATAATATTTACTTATAACATAATTTTATTTTATTTTTTTTCATTTTGTTTCTTGAAGATTTAGAACATGTTGGACCTTTAGTATCCGAAGAAAAGTTAATTTTTGGATTAAATGCAAGAGCAGTATCACAGCTAACATTGGCAAAAATACGAAAAATTTATAGTCGAGTAGATAGTAAATCAATAGCTAAACAAGTAAGTCACAGCAAAACATTTTTGGAATTAGTTATTTGCATCAAATTTTTTAAATATTAATAGCTTGGAATGTCAACTCATGAAAATGCTACACCTATACGTATAATGCATAATACTTCAGGTCATTTAGTTGGATCTGCTAGAAGTTTAGGAGGTGTAATTTTAGGCTATTTAGGAGTTCGTACATTTTACCCTTGTCCAGTTTTGAAATTAGTTGATAACATTGGAGGCTGCTCAGTGTTGTTAGGTAAAATCTACATCTACAATTTTTTTATCTGTCTATATGCTTACATAAATATTTTTTTGCTAGGTCTTATTGCAATGGCTAAAGATATGGAAAGTCTTTATGCTGCAGTAAAAGCTTTGAGTGGTGTACTTCAACTGAATATAACAGCTAAAAAGGAAATGGAACGCAAACATGGATATCAACTTTTAGCATTATGTTTGCGCAGACATAAACATATTTTAAATGCTCATATATTACATATAATTTTGGATTTAGTTATAACAACTAGGAGTGTGGAAGCTCCTAGTATCCCAGATGCAGCTATGTTCAACGACTTAATTTGTGAATTAAATGTAGATATCTATGTGTTATTTAAAATTGAATAGTGATAACATAACAAAATTTTGGTTTCTATGAATTTGAGCCTATAGTTTGAAATTTTTATTATTTTTTTGTGTAGTATTTAAAGAAACTTTTTATGATTTTTAAGGTATTTAGAAGAATGAAAACTAATATTTTGGTTTTTAAGTAATTCAAATTTTTTTGTTAAAAAATAAAATGAAGCCCTTTTGCTCAGATATCATATTTTAAATTTAGTGGTTTGTGTTGCTTGTTAGAAATTTCTATAAAGTATTGGTGTTTACTAATATTCTCTAGATATTCTAAGAATATGTAAAAAATGACAAAATACATTGAATTTATAGTATGTAAAAACCCATTATAGTTATTTTATTGTTTAATTATTAGGGTTTGTTACCGTAATTTTAAGCTGTTAGGTTATGAATCCTAACACAAGAATTAAATTTCTATAAATTATAGATAACGAGAAAAAAAATTAAATTATATTTACTTTTTATAGCTTTGGCAAGAAGTGCCATCTGGTCTATTACGATCACTCCTTGAACAATTATATGAGCTAGTATCTGACTCAAATGAAAAAAGAAATAATTTAGTTATATTGAGAAATATGGAAATGGTTCGTAAAATGGTGAATTTTTTACCAATTGTTTTCAGTTCTTCTCCAACTTCAACTACAGAAGTTCACTTTTCATTTCTTGGAGCATTATTGGCAAAACATCCTGTAACTGAAGATCTCTTATGGTAAGTTTATTGCCTATACAGTTAGATAATTATTGAAATTTCCATACAAAAAATATAAAATTATTTATAATAAAATCCATTATTATTGAATTATTGAAAATTGTTTTTTGTATAGAATCCTAATTTATATTCATAATACTATATTTTGATCGTAAAGCAAAAAAAAAAAAATTTATATTTTTAAATTTAACTTTCTTTTTTATATACCCTTTCTCACTTAATTATTTTAATATTATGATTGTAAATACTTTAATTATTATTTTAACATAATATAGCTTATGTATTCATAACCATATTTAGTATTCTTTTGAGGTATCTCAAATACTGAAAAATTTAAAAAAAATATTACATTTATGGTTTGATATTATTTATATGTTTTAAGTTTTGGTCAATACATTGTTTCAACAATCAATACTGGTCTGAACTCTGAAACTTCTCTTGAAGTAAATACTTTAATAGAACAACTAAAGATATCAGAGAATAGTATTGAATTAACAAATGAAGAAAAAACTATTTCTCTTATTTTATTAAGAAACAGATGTTTACAACTAATGCATTGTTTGTTATATACCAATAAAAACGCTATATGTTCTGGGTATGTACAATATTTAATTGAATATTTAATATTTAATTCAAATAATACAAATATACTAAGCAATTTTTTCTATTACAGATTTTGTGATGATTTTGTTAGAATATTAGGATTTGATTGGATTCTATTATTTATGCAACCCACTATTCATAGTTCATCAGTAATTTGGGCCTATAAAATACTTGCTACTTTGTGTTCAGTTCCAACTTTATTGGTAAAGTTTAGAGAAGCAACTAGTAATGGAGGCTGGTTATTAAATACTGAAATTCTTCAAAGTAATCGTTCAAACTTAATGCTAAGTATGTGATTTTAATTATGATGACTATTCTTATAGTTAATTTATCAAATAATTAAATATTTCAGACTATCAGCTTTCTCCTAGTATCCAAAAAAGTAATAAAGATATATTTAATAAAGCTGAAACTTTAAACATTCCTGGATTTCAACATTTATCTTGGTTTTTACTTCATCATACTGTATTACCTGAATTATATTATTTTCTCATGGCTTTGATGTTAGGGCAGCCAGTTAGGATGTTACCTAATGATAAAAATGTAATTGGTTTTCACTTTTAAAAAGTGTTAATTATTAATAATTATATATTAAATTTAATCAATAATATATGTTCCCACAGCTCAATTTAGATGGTATTTGGAATTTTATGTTTGGCTTACCATTAAGCCAATCATTGTCAGCAGTCAGTGATAAAATTACACTATGTCCAGAAGCAGTTTCAGCTATTTTGTTTACTGTAAGGTTGATTTTAAATCAAGATAATAGAGAGTAAGATTTATTTTTATTTATAACTCGCTATCAATAAAACTTTGCTAAGTGTAATGATTTTTTAGAGTCAAATATGAAGACTGGTTAGAAGAACATCCAGTAATTATAATTCAATTTCTTTTTTATCTTTATCACAATCTTCCTGATTGGATGCCAGCATTTATGACTTCTGATATTTTACACCCATTAAGTGCTACTCTTTTTCCCTTTTCAAATTCAAATTTAAGTGAACCGACCTCACCAAATGATGATTGTTTCCTCAAAACACCTGAAGGATCACCATCACCAACAATAGTAAAGGAGCAACAGTCATTAACCTTGCACCCATCAAGAAAATTTGTTATAGATTTTTTAAGAGTTATAATAGTTGACTCATTATTGTTACCAATCAATAGTAAATCATTACCACCATTGGATTTAGTTCTTGATGTTAGTAGAATTTATATTTTCAAAGAGAAATATATAAAATATGATATTCTTATTATGTAATGATATTATATATAATATATATATTTTTTTTTTGGAATTTAGGCTTCACCTGAAGGTGCAACATCATCTCAAGTGTCTAAATATCAAACTGAAGTTTTATCAACTCTAATGGATCATCTATTAGCAGCTGATATAATGATTGGAGAACAAGCAGCAGTTTCTTCTATTCCTGGTGGTAGTACACAAAATATTCCTCAAAATGTATGCTATTTAACTTGTCGCATAGTAGATAAACTTTGGCAAGGTGTTTTGATAAAAGACCCTCATGAAGTTTTTGATTTTATTATGAAACTGATTGTGCAAGCAAAACGAAGACCTTGTTCTGTCTCAATGGAAGGATTTTATCACTGTTTAAATAGAACAACATTGTTTTTGCTGTCAAGAAATACAGATTCAATTGCTTCTCAGATGCCTGTTTTGGAAGCTTTACACAAATTAACTACAAACAGGCAAGGAAAAACTGAATCCATTATTTTTAAATATATATTAATTGTTTAATAATTTTAGAACATTGGTATTTGGATCTGGAAATCATGAATTGGATTTCATTGGATGTCTTATTTATTGCTTATTACAGTTGACTTCTGATATGAAGATAATGTAATATTCTTGTAAATTAATTTTAATACTTTTAATTAAATTTAAATATTTATTAAATAGATTGGATACTAATGCAAAAACTACATGGCATATAAATCCTAGTCAAACTGTAGAAGTTGAAGAACAAACTACTAAACAAGGACAAAATTTGATGGCAGTAGCAGCAAAACGAGTTTGGGAAGAGTTATATATTTCAAAAAAACCAGCCATTGAAGAGGTTAGTAATAATAATTAAAATATTTTTATAAATCATATAAGCAGTTAATGAGTTATTTTTTTTAAATGAATTTGTATTATTTTTAGTAGTAAAATATTTATAATAAATATGATAATATGATAGGTATTCAAAATTCCTCTACCAAAGGGGCTTAACAATAAAGCTCCCGACTTACATTCTGTTCGTGAACTGATCTATGAAACAGCTCAAAAACATTGGTTAACATATATTGATATGGAAAAAAGATCTTTATACAAAATGCCTTGGGAGTTACAAACTCAAATACAATCGGTATCATACATTTCTTTTAAAAATTTAATTAATATATTTTATATATAATAATTAACCTAAATATCAAACTATCTATTTTATAGAAAATTCAAAAAGTTACTGGTGGCCTAACAAGATTAGCATCTAGAAGTAAAGTCCTTAGACGAGATGAAAGTCGTTGGCAAAGTGGAAGTCTTTCTAGTATTTCAATACCTTTGTCAAGGATTACAAAAAATGAATGGTTTACATGGTTCAATCAAAGTTTAAATGCTATTTGTGAACTTGTATCTATGCAAATATCACGACAAGCTCAACATCATTCTTTTACTACACGTTATATTTTGGATCAATGGTATTTGGTTGAGCAGGAATTAACAAGAGAAAGGGGTCTTTGGGGACCATTAACTCCTTGCAAGTATGTAGCATATTTTAGAATAACTTTAAATTGACAAAAATTTGCATATAATTTAAAAAATATTATAAAAATCATTGTAATATATTAGATTAGACAAGTGGATATTAGACATGACAGAAGGTCCATGTAGAATGCGTAAAAAAATGGTAAAAAATCATCTGTTTTATTCTCACTATCCTTATCGACCAGAACTTGAATCAGGAGACAATGTAATAAATTAACCTAAGATATTATAATTATAAAATGTTAACATAATATTAAAATATTTTAGAAAGGATTAAAGTACCGTGTTGCTACAAGTTATGATAGTAAAGAGTTTTGCCAAAAATTCAAAGCACCAATATTGCTTGATATGGAAAATTTAGCACCTCAGTCAAATGAAAATGAACAACGTACAACAATCGATCAGAATATGTTTGATGTTGATAAGAATTTGGAAGACAATGGTAAACTAAATATTCTAAATGTATTATTTGAAAATTTTAATTTTAATAAATAAAGATCTCTTTTTTGCGTGCCTAGAAATTTTTACTTTTAGTATAATAACTAACTTTGGTGTACTGTAATTAAATATTTATATAGGGTAACAGATCTTACTAATAACTCTTATAACTTTTAGTACAATTAAAATTTTACTGTAATTTTTATTGTTAACAATTTTTACATTTTTGGACTATATTAAAAACATATTTTTAATGTAGTTCAAAAATGCAAAAATTCTTTAAAAAAAAAAATTACACAAAATGTTCATTGGATCAAAAGTTTTTGAATTTATCATATCTTTGTGATTCAACCTGTGTATATTTATATTATATAGATTTATCTTTTATGGGATTGAAACGAGTTGTTAGAAGATCTACTTCTGAACCAGATGAAAGTATAGATGATAATGACATAGAAAGTGGGAGTGAAGATCAATTACCTCCAGATGACAACCATACAATAATTCGTCTTTTAGAGCCTAATGAAAAAGTATGTTTCTGAAAATAAATTAAATTAAGTACAGAATAAAAATGACCATGATATTTAATATCCCTTTTGAACTCATTTAATCTAATTTTTATTTTTCAATAAAACAATTTAAATATATATATATATATGTTTGTCAATTAAATATTATTGGTCTTTGTTTAAAAGAGGTTACCTTAAGTAAAATAAATAAATTAATTAAGTAAATTAAAAAAACTTTAAGTAAATATAAAGTAGTTATAAATAAATCAGGATTATTTAAGTTATTAATTTTTAATTATATAGATAAGTCATATGTTCAGATGTGCTAGAATTCAAGGTCTAGACACTTATGAAGGGATGCTTTTATTTGGAAAAGAGCATGTTTACATTATTGATGGGTTCACACTTTTAAAAACTAGGGAAATACGAGATATTGATACTCTTTTACCAAATTCATACGAACCATTATTACCAAGTCCTGGTAATGGTAGCCCAACCCGTATACGAATAAAAAAACAAAGTTCAAAGTTTTCTTATGATGATATAAGGTAAGTATATACTTATTTTTAATAATTTAATATATAAATTGAAATAACATGCACTTTTTAAAGTATATATTTTTCATATGTACTAATTAAAAATAAAAATTAATTTAAACCAACTCATTCATATTTTTTTAGTTCAATAGGTGATTATTTCAATAAATATACAGTGTGATTTATTAAGGATACTCCTCTCCAATTTTTTTTGTAAAAATATACAGATTTTATAGTCAATAGTAAATAATAAGTTTACTTTTAGAAAAAATTCTAAGGGTATATTATAAGCATAACTAAATAGGAATCTATAATTAATGTCACATATATCTAAAAATTATATTAATTTATTAATTAATAAATAAATTAGTAATATTACATATAGTTATTGACCAGTCAATATTTTATTCAATCCATTTCCTCTATTTAATAGTAAAAAAATAATTACGGGTTCCATTTAACTCTCAAAATCTACCCTTATGAATAATTTTTTAAAATAAATTTGGTATTTACAATGGTTTATAAAATTAATTTTAATTTTAATTTATACATTTTTATGAAAAATGGTGGGTGGGATTTTTAATAAATCATAAAGTGTTTTTTTACTTTGAACCTAATATTTGTCTAATTACCATTGAAACATTTTCTATTTAAACAAATATTTATCATAATTTATAGAGAAGTGCACAAAAGACGATATCTTTTGCAACCCATTGCTTTAGAATTATTTTCTGCAGATGGTCGTAATCATTTATTAGCTCTTCCAAGAAAATTAAGAAATAAAGTATTTAATAGGTAAGATAAAATAGTTTATAATAAAACATTAAAAAAATTGTTTTTTTTTTTTAACTTAAGATAATTTTATACATGTTTTATTTTTTATTTTATTTATTTATTAGATTTATGATGTACTCTACATCAATAGCAGATAATGCTCACCAATCAGTTGCTGGCCAAAAAAGAACTGCTAATATTGAGCAGAGCACAAATATTCTGTCTAATTTGATGGGAGAAACAACAGTAACACAAAGATGGGTGGTAAGATTTAACGAATAATTTAAAGTATATACAAATAAAACCTATATTATTTAACTATAAAAAAAATAATTGCTAATATTTTTGTAGAGTAAAAATATTTGGTAATAACTTTATTTGTATCTCCCTTCCTGTAGAGTGCTCAAAACCTCACTAAGGGGTATTATGCTTATTTTAGGAACTGCTTACATTAAAAAATACAAGATTTAAGCAATTATATAATTAGTTATAAAATTCCATCAAAATAATAATACTTTCAGTTATATTTATTTTGATGTTATAATTAAAAAAATTAAATGAATACAATTATAAACAAATTGTATAAAAATATGGATCCACTGATCAATTATATTCTTTCAGAGAGGTGAAATATCCAATTTCCAATACTTAATGCATTTAAATACATTAGCTGGTCGTAGTTACAATGATCTTATGCAATATCCAGTATTTCCTTGGATTCTCATTGACTATGAATCAGATGTTCTTGACTTTTCAAATCCAGCAATTTTTAGAGATTTTTCAAAACCAATGGGTGCACAGTGTCCTCAAAGACTAGAACAATTTCTTAAAAGGTAAAAAAAATGTTGAAATATGTAGAAAAATTAAGTATTTGTTTTTTTACTATAATTTATAAATAAGGATGATTGTTTTTCATTAGTAGAAGCAGTAACTACAAACTATATATTCATATATATGTTCATATATTTATGCATTATCACATTTTATTTTAGAATTTAAAACACTTGATGTTATTTTCTTGTATTATAGTTTATTGTTGAAATTAACAATTTAAGTACAAGACATTCTATTTAGTTATTTTTAATTGTTTATTACTATGATACATGTTTAGTTATTAATTTTAATAAATATTTCCTTAGATATCGTGAATGGGATGATCCTCAAGGTGAAACACCACCATATCATTACGGTACTCATTATTCATCAGCTATGATTGTGTGTTCATACTTAGTTCGTATGGAACCATTTACTCAACATTTTTTAAGACTACAAGTGTGTAATATGAATCCCTTTAATGTATTTTCTTTAACTAAAAGTTTCTAATTCTAATAAAGTTTATGAAAATTAATTCTCAGCAAATTTTTACAGTTAAAAGTCTTATATATTTAAAAATATTATATTTAAGTAAAATAATTATTTTTATTTTAGGGGGGACATTTTGATCTAGCTGATCGTATGTTCAATAGTGTTCGTGAAGCTTGGTTATCTGCTTCAAAAACAAATATGGCTGACGTTAAAGAACTAGTACCAGAGTTCTTTTATCTTCCTGAATTTTTTGTGAATTCGAATAACTTTGATTTAGGTGAATATATTATATTTTGTCATACATATTGCTTTTTGAAATTATAAATTATTAATTAATTAATAATTATCAGGATGTAAGCAAAACGGAGTGCAACTAAATGATGTAGTGTTACCTCCGTGGGCAAAAGATGATCCTCATGAGTTTATTAGAGTACATAGAGCTGCTCTTGAATCTGAGTATGTATCACAACATCTTCATGAATGGATTGATTTAATATTTGGATATAAGCAAACTGGTCAACCAGCTGTGCAAGCTTGTAATCTTTTTCATCACTTGTTTTATGAAGGAAATGTTGATATATATAAGTAAATGATTTATACAACATCAATTTAAAAAATATGTGAATGATAACATAATAATTTTATTTTATTTTAGTATTGATGATCCTCTAAAAAAAAATGCAACTATTGGTTTTATTAATAATTTTGGTCAAATTCCTAAACAACTTTTTAAAAAACCACATCCTAGCAAAAAGCAATCAAATAACAGATCATCAATGCTTGATGCTGCTAATCCAATTTTAAGTACAAGCAGTAGTATACCTATTAGTGATAAAGTATTCTTTTATCACTTAGATAATCTTAAGCCTTCACTTCAACCAATTAAAGGTAATTGTTTACCATAAAGTGTATAGGAATATTTATATTAAATTTATTAATCTATTATTTCAAAATATTTTATCTATAATAATTTATTTTATTTGAAAAAAAAAAAATAGAATTAAAAGGTCCAGTTGGTCAAATTCTTCAAGTAGAGAAAAACATTTTAGCTGTTGAGCAAAATAAAGCTTTAGTACCCACAACATTTAACAAAACAGTGACATGGGGTTTTGCTGATCATAGTTTAAGATTAACTCAATATGAAACAGATAAACCAATCATTATTTGTGAAAGTTCAAGTCAATCTAGTGGAGAAATAGTGACATGTGTATGTCCTACAGCCAAGACTGTTATTACGGCTGGAACTAGTACAGTATGTTTTTTTTTTGTCTTTGATTTGACAACTGAGGATTTAGATAAACCTTTATTTTGATTGAAGGAGTGAAGTTTTTTTTAACAAATTTTTTTGTACTAAATATTGAATCTAAATCTTTTTCTTGTTCCTCGCCTTAAACCCCAACTACTTGGGATCGGCAAATATTGAATCTAAATAGTTTTTTTTAATAAAAAAAAGGTTATCAAAATTATTTGAAAACAATAAATTCCATAAAAAGAAGCCTATTAATGGTTATTACATTAGAATTTTTACTCTAAAATAGTATTTTACTATAAAAAAAATTGACTACTGTAACTAATTAAAATAATTTTCAGGTTTTGACTGTTTGGGAAATAAATTTCAATGAAAAATCATTGAAGATTATAGATAACTTGTATGGACATACTGATGCAGTAACTTGTCTAGCAGCAAGTGATACTTATAACATAGTTGTATCAGGCAGTAGAGATTGTACAGCTATTGTATGGGATTTATCAACAAAAGCATTTGTTAGACAATTGAAAAAGCATAATGCTCCAGTGGCAGCTTTAGCAATTAATAATTCAACTGTTAGTAAACTATGAATAATATTAATTTAAATAAAATGTTTATTCTAATTATTTTTTCATTTATAATACTAATACTTTATTTTAATTAGGGTCAAATTGCATCATGTGCTGGAACTATGCTTCATCTTTATACAATTAATGGTGAAGAATTGGCAAATGTTGATACAAGTGTAGGACATTCAGATAGAATGCAACAAATACTTTGTGTTGCTTTTTCTCAAGCTGTTGATTGGGACCCACAAAATGTTATAATTACTGGATCATCTGATGGTGTAGTTAGAGTAAATTTATTTTTAAATTAAAATTTATAAAGATTGTTTTTTATGTTTTGTGATTTTAAATTATTTTAAATCTAGATGTGGTCGATGGAGTATGTCCAAGTTCCAAAAATTCCTTTAGAAAAACTATCTAATGAATTATCAACAGAAAATGTAGAAGAAAAAATTAAAAATTCGAATGGAAAAGGTATTTTAAAAGTACAGCCTATTAGTATCCAAAGGCTTGTAAAACAAATGAGTGTGTCATCAGAAACAATAAATGAACAAGGATTTGTAGTAAAAAGTGGATCAGATAGTAGTTTATCTGAGTTTGAACCAAAAACACCCACTAAAAAAATAGAAGTAGAAAAAAATATTTTTGTTGATAACCTCAACTCTTCACCACCAGTACCTATGATGAGGAAAAAAAAGTAATAACTATTTTTAATGGGAGAGTTTAACTAAATTTGATTTGACTACATTTTTTTTACTAAATTTTGTTTGTTACCTCTTTTTGTCAATGGGTTAGTATTTTTATTTTACTATACATATTTTATTGTTTTAGAGCATTAAGATCCAATCCATTACTTCGAAAATCTGAATGTAATCCATCAAGTTCAACTGATGAACAATGTACCTTACTAGATGCATTATCTGTCAATGATTCAGTTTTAAGACTAAGTAAAAGTGAAACAAATCTCATTGAATCTTATGTTATTGTTGATCAAGATGATGTAAATCAAAAATCTAATCAAACTGGTCCTTTACATAAGCTAAGAGATGGTGAACTAGATTTTTTTTAAAGTAATATTTTTAAATAATAGTAACTCCTTTTAGGATTTCAATGGCAGCGGCAATTAGTATTTCGTAGTAAGTTAACTATGCACACAGCGTATGATCGCAAAGATAATGCAGAACCAGCTTCCATAACATGTATATCAATATCTAAGTAAGCTATAAATATTTTTTAATATTCATAAAGTGTTGGGTTGGTTATTAAGAGTACTTGAGAAAAACAGTAGTAGCTCTTTTTTGGAATATGATTTTATTTAATAGCTCTTTAGGAATATTACCAAGTAATGAAATCTATTTGGTGAAAAATCTTTTCATTTTGCTATTATTAAAGAATTTAATTTTGTTTAAACATTAAATTAATAATAATTTTTAACTTTGTTATTGATTGCCTGAAAAATATACAAATTTTAAAAATATACTACTACTGTTTTTCCTCTGTATTGTTCATATATGTATTTTTAATTTGAACACCTTATAAGAATGTCAACTTATACCTTATAGGTATAAGGGATGAACATAAAAAAAGTTTTATGATTGAAAAATTGAGTAAAACATTGAATATAAAGAAGTAATGTTATTAAATATTGTAATAAAAATAACAAAATGATAAGGTTAAGTTATTTTTCTCAAAACTATACTGGCGGCCAAAATTATTAGATCACCAAAGAAATTCGAATTAAAATTTCTGTCGATAATTTTTTGCAGGTGAATTATTTTTTCTTTGAATCTACAGCAATCATGTTTGTTAATATTATAATAATATTTAATAAACCAACAAGATATCAAATCTTATTTGAAAAAAATCTAAAAAGTTATTGTGTGATCTAATAATTTTGGCCGGCAGTATATTTTCAAGCTTTTAGTTTAAAAGGACAGTATAAATATCTTCTTCTTATCAGAAGACTGATTTGATACAAGCCAACTTCAATTTAATATACCTGGTTAATAATATATTATAAGATGAACTCATCAATGTATACATGTTATATCAACAAAAATATCATTATATTTTATACATAGTCGCTAATTGTTAATCAAACAATCAGCACGTATGTTTCGGTCTCGCTCTCGTGAAACCTGTGTGTTATTGTTATTAAATTTTATATGTGCGTATAATGCGAACCGCGGACTTATGGACGTTGGTAAGTGTTTTTAATAGATTTTTTTTTAATTAAGTGGGTCACAATAGTGGCATCAAATTACATTGTGTATAATACAACTATATTATACAAATGGATACAGACGGAAATGTCTCAACAGCGCAAGAAAAAAATATAACTGTCAGCTATGATATTTGGACACAAATAAATACTGACATTGAAAATTTTAAAAAAATAATAGCAGAACTTCAAGAAAGTAACGAAAAATTAAAATGTCAATTAAGTCAAATTAAAGGGAATGTGGAAATTAACACAAGTTCACCAAAAAAAATCCTTAAAGTAACAAAAGAAGTGGCGAGAACTTCTACTAAAATCTACAAACCTCCACCTATTACAGCATGTGGGGTCAATGATATTAAAAAATTCATTGATAATCTAGCAATCGAAGAGGCTTCTGGTCATGAGCAACAACTTAAAACCTTAGCCAACGGTGATATAAAGATTTTAACGGGAGACGAACATCAATTTCGCCGTACTGTTAAAATTTTAGAAGAGCAAAAAATTGAATACCATAGGTACCAACTTAAATCTGAAAAAATGTTTAGGGTAGTAATCCGGGGATTACACCCTGAAACTGACATATGTGATATAAAGCGTGATCTTTCAGACCAAGGACACTTGGCCAATCATGTATCAAATATACAAATTAAAAAAAAAGTTGACTCTAAAAATAAAAATAGTGACTGGACATTTATTCGTCTACCATTATTTTTTGTTGATCTAGAGCCTCAAGATAATAATAAAGACATATACCAGTTAAAAAAGCTTAGTCACCAAATTATTAAAGTGGAGCCACCAAAGAAAACAAATGGAGTTCCACAGTGCAAGAACTGCCAATTATTTGGACACACTTTAAATTATTGTCACAAATCTCCTAATTGCGTAAAATGCGGAGAAAAACACAGGTCAATTGATTGCACAAAATCCAAAAAGACCAAATCAAAATGTGCCAATTGTGGAGAAAATCATACCGCAAATTGGAAAGGCTGCGCTGCGTATAAAAAAGCAGTTGAAATTTCTCACCCAAAAAAAACTACAGCAGTTCAAAGACTACAAAGTAAACCAGCGAAATCTGTTACAACCAGCATATCATACGCTGAAATGGCTGGTTCATCAGTCCAAAACTTAAAGATACCCCAAACTTTCGAACAAAAAAATCATGTGAAAAATGAGGAAGTACCCTTTGTGGAAGTTATAAATTCCTTAGCTAGTATTACTCAAACATTAGCAATGCTAACTGAAAGATTAGACAGGTTAGAAAACAACCAACCTAAACCTAAAAACAAGCGTAAAAATAATAAAAAATGACCCGTACCATACGGTTTATTGCATGGAACGCTAATGGGCTAGTACAGCGAAAACTTGAATTAGAAAACCTTCTACATCATGAAAATATAGATATTGCTCTTATCTCTGAAATTCACTTTACATCCTGGACTTTTTTTAAAATAAAAAATTATATTACATATACCACCATTCATCCAACCAACAGAGCACGTGGAGGTACAGCTATAATTATTAAAGAGTCTATTAAGCACTATGAGCTAGATAAGTTCTCGGAAAATCATTTACAAGCAACAAGTGTACGAATAAACGACGGGGCCAATGACCTCACTGTCACAGCCATATACTGTCCACCACAAGGAGGTGCTAATGAAGTTAATCTTTTCGAATTTTTTCAGACTCTAGGCGATAGGTTTATTGTCGGAGGAGACTGGAACGCTAAACATAAACATTGGGGCTCGAGATTAAACTCCCCTAAAGGTAATTCTTTGTTTAAAGTAATAAATAGCTTAAACGCGATAACTTTCTCTACAAGAGAGCCAACTTATTGGCCTTCTGACGTTAACAAAATTCCTGATCTACTAGACTTTTACGTGATGAAAGGTATTTCCTCTAATTATGTAAAAGTTGAAGGACTCAATGAGTTAACATCCGATCATACACCCGTACTACTCACTCAAAGCACAAACGTTATTATGAAACAAAAAAAAGTATTTTTAACGACTAAGAAAACTAACTGGGATTTATTCAGAACGTTACTTGAAAATTCACTTTCGCTTTCCGTTAAACTTCAAACATCCAGTGACATTGACTTGGCAGTTCATAATTTTACCAATAATATAATTAACTCAGTGAAAACTGCAACACCTAAGGCTGCAGTAGAAAGAATACGAGAGATCACCTACCCAATAGAAATCAGAGAGTTGGTACAACAAAAGAGAAAAGCTAGGAGAACGTGGCATAGAACGAGACATCCTACTGACAAAAAAAAGTGGAACCACATCAGTCGGTTACTCCACAACAAAATAAAAGAAATGAAAAACGAAACTTTTAAAACTTACTTGAGCGAACTTTCTGCAACCCAAGATACTGACTACTCTCTGTGGAAAGCTACTAAACGACTAAAAAGGCCTTTAACACACGTGCCACCTATTCGCAAAGAAGACGGCACGTGGGCACGAAGTGAATATGAAAAAGCTGAAGTATATGCATGTTACTTAGAGACTGTATTTAAACCTAATAATATAGTTTCAGAACTTGACGGACTCTATAGTTTACAATTAGATAGAAATCGGGAGAAAATAAAATATTTTTCACCATTAGAAGTGGCGCAAGAAATTGATAACAACATCAATGTAAAAAAAGCACCAGGTTACGATGAAATCAGCCCGAGAATGATAAAAGAATTGCCTAAGAAGGCGATTATTTATCTTACATACATCTTCAATGCAATTTTACGAACTGAATACGTTCCAAAACTATGGAAAAAAGCTCAGGTCATAATGTTACTAAAACCAGGTAAACCACCAGATCAGGTAACATCTTACCGGCCAATATCACTCTTACCTTGTTTATCTAAGCTTTTTGAAAAAGTTCTTCTTAAAAGGATAAAACCTTTGATTGAAGAAAAGCAACTTTTACCTGACCACCAATTTGGTTTCCGCAATAAGCACTCTACAATTGATCAAGTTCACCGAGTTACCAATGTTATTAACCAGGCTCTTGAAGAGAAAAAGTACTGTTGTGCAGTTTTCTTAGACGTTGCGCAGGCGTTTGATAAAGTTTGGCATGAAGGACTATTTATAAAATTAAGAGAACAACTACCACACACTTGGTGCGCGTTATTAGAATCTTACTTGACTGAACGAGAGTTTCGGGTAATGCATGAGCAAGCTGTTACAGATTGGAAAACTATAACAGCAGGAGTACCACAAGGTAGTGTTTTAGGACCTATTTTGTATTTACTTTATACTGCTGACATTCCATCAACCAATGATACGACAACTGCCATGTTCGCTGATGATACGGCTGTATTAGCAACCAGTTATAGTCAACAGTCTGCAACTGGTAAATTACAAAACTCGATCAATAATATCTTCTTATGGACAAGACGTTGGAAAATTAAAATCAATAGTGACAAATCAGTACATGTCAATTATACACTTCGTAATACCAATAATATTCCTATCAAAATGAATCATCAAATTATCCCACAAAAAGATTCGGCTAAATACCTAGGAATGCACTTAGACTCACGTCTTAATTGGAAACACCATGTACGCCAGAAAAGTTTGCAAATAAAACTAAAAATGAAAAAGTTATACTGGTTGATCGGGAAACATTCCGAACTTTCATTAAATAACAAACGTCTACTTTACGTAGCTATCATAAAACCAATTTGGACTTACGGTATACAACTGTGGGGTTGTACTAGTAAGTCTAATATTGATGTTATTCAACGATGCCAAAATGTTGCACTCCGTACCATCGTTTCAGCTTATCGGTACGATAGAAATGACATTATACACCGTGATTTGATTTTGCCTACAGTAGCAGAAGAAATTAAGAGATTTGCTCGCAAACATGAGGTGAGATTAACGAACCACATTAACACAGCAGCCATCCAACTTTTGGACAACTCCGAAGACATCAGACGTCTTAAACGTCATAAACCATATGACTTAATTTAAAATATTTAGTTTTAACTTAGGTTAAGGAGCCACCTCGCTGGAGGTGTCACTCTACACATGTTTATTCTTTAGTAATTGTTATAAAACTATGTTTCATATACAATTATTGTAAAATATATTTATAAAGATAATTTTATCGTTTAAATAATAAAGCCATTTGGTAGTTTGTATAAAAAAAAAAATATTTTATACATTCTTTTAATAATAAAAATAATTGTTATTATTATAAACCAGCCTTTTTTATTATTAAAGAAGTAGCACAATAAAAATAAAAAAAAAATTATTACAGATTACAATTAAATTAATTTGAATAATAATTATTATATTTTACAAAATGTATTCATTAAAATAGGGATCATCGAACTTTATATATTGGTGATGCAAGAGGAAGAGTATTTACATGGAATGTAGCAGAACAACCTGGAAAAGGGGTTGCTGATCATTGGCTTAAAGATGAAGGTTCAGAACAATGTAATTTATGTGAAGTTCGATTTTCATTATATGAAAGACGTCACCATTGTAGAAATTGTGGCCAGTTATTTTGTTCAAAGTAATAAGTCAAATATATATGTACTTTAAGGATAATTTGGTGGTGCTCTGAAAAAATGTAGTAAAATGATGTGTTATTAATTTAACCCTAGTAATTGAGTTATTATTTTAAATTAGGATTATGATGCTATTGTTCATAATTTACTTTGTAGTTGCATAAAAAAAACAAACATTTTTTCATAATCAAACTTCATACATTTTTCTAGAGCACCATAACAATCTTTTAAATTTGATAAAAGATATTTTAATAATAATTTTAAAATAGTTATTATCATTAATATATATATACATGTATTTTTCAAGATGTAGCAAGTATGAATCAGAAATATCTAGGTTACGAATTTTGAAGCCTGTTAGAGTATGCAAACCATGCCATACTTCGCTACAATCTTCTAAATATAATTAGTTCCTAGTTAATAAATTATAATAATTTTAATTAGATTTGTTGATAACTTCCTAATGTTCTTGTAAAATCAGTATTGAGATATATATAAGAATACAATGATGGGTATTTTTATTATATTTAAATAGTTACTAGAACACTTTTAATTTAATATAATTGTGAGCTTTAGAAATTAAATAGTTTCAAGTCATAATTATTGATTAATACAGAACATAATTAATCAAATATCTTACTACAAAAAATATTAATATTTTTATTACCTAACAATTTTCTAGTCTGTGCAGAAGCTTTATTTTTAATGAAATGGTTTTAAAAAACAATAACTTGTCAGTAAGTGATAATTTTATTCCATATTGACAATAAAATTTTTGTTTTTAATATAAATATTTTATAATATTCTATAAATAATGATATTTTAGTATTTTAAATTAGAGGCATCATGAACATATGTCTTTTCCTCCTCCGAATTTTCAGTAATATTAATGTATAAATCTGAAAAAAATTAGGTATAAACCTTCTTTCAAAATTATTTCTTACTACAGTAATGTTAAATGGGCATACATGAGGAGTTGTACAACATGCTACAGTTAAATATTTTACAGATTTCGTCACTTCATTTTCTTGAACAATTATTTTGTGTAAAAATACTTGTAAACTTCTTAGTAGTGTTGTGGACTAATGCAAGTAAAATGATAATAAATATTTAACTGCCCCAAGTTAATCTATTGGATGGTATTGGTTTATTTGAAAAGCACTAGTGTTATTCTATTTCATTTGTCATTACCATAATAAATAAGTTATTTATTAATTAATAGTAAGAAAAAACTGCATTATAATTTATATTTATATCATTGTTTAAATTTTGAACTTTACTTTCAGTATTATATCATTTGTTGATTTTTTCAGTATTTTTGTATTGTGATTTATACATTTATTTATTATAATTTTTTTTTATTCTAATCATATGATTTGTCAAAAAAACCAATAACATTTAATAATAACAATAAAAATGTATTCTTTTTTCTTAAAATTGTTAAAATTTTAAAGTTTAATTGTTTTTTATGTGTTTTATTAAGTTAACAAATGTATTTTAAGAAATGATTTGTAAAAATATTTTGTTAAAAAATGTAATTATTGTAAAGACCATATTAAATATGGGTCAGTTATTAATTTTTCTTATAATTTACTTTTAAATACGTTAAAATTTATAGTTATTCCCTAACATTTATCATTTTCTTCTTTTTTATACTACTATTTCTAATTTGTATAAATACAATATACTTTATTAAGTGAATATTATTTTTACCCTTTCAATAATTGTTTTAAAGTTAAATTTTATGAATTAAGTTATTAATAGTAATTACATAAAATGTACTATTATATACTTTCTCATAGTCAATTGAATGTATGTAGGTTATAGATTAATAGAAATGAACTGATAAAGCAGAATAGTTGTAAAATTAATTATTTAATAATTAAATAATTATATTTAAATTAATTAATATTTATTTATATTCAGCTAGATCAATAAGTATTTTTTACTTGACTAAACACTGCTCAGTTCTTATTTGTAGGTAAATGAGTTATGATCAACTATGTTAGTCAATATTTAATCATTAATATTATGGAGTACATATTAAATATTAAATGTAGTTTAAATAATTGTATTTGTTACCATTATTGTAATATATAATATATATATATATATGTAATCAATGAATATTTATAAGCTATACGAATAAAATTTAAGATATTCAACCAGTAATAAAATTTTTAGCATAAATTAATAGACCATAATCATTCTTTTATTATTATCTGATATATCAACGTTTTTCTATTGTGTATTTTATACATAAATTTAATTCATTTACTGATCATCCGATATAACATAATATAGGTAATATGATTTATTGTAATACACATTGATGACCTTACACAAGCAATATTAGAGGAACATGAGTTATAGAATATATATAAAAAACTGAGAGCTTTCTAATACATCAATGACTTTAATTTTGAAAAGCTGTCTGTATATAATGTTTCAAAAATTTTAATTAACATTAACCATTATACCAATAAAAAATGTTTAATGGAATTTTTTTGTACGCTTGATCATCAATATATTACTCGTATAAGATGTACTTTACCTAAAATAAATTTTAAACTTGGATAATTTAAAAACTATTCTGAATTAATTGATTTTTCTTGAAATTATGTACTTAGTATCAATTTTAAGTCTATTAACCCTATTACAAAAGAATTCAAATACATTTAATAGGATAATTGTTATATAAAGCTTAATGAAAATTTATTCATGTTCCTCAAAATATACTAAATATTACACAAAAGAGAAATCTAAATTTAAACTAAATATTATTTTCTATATTTTTTTACATAAGTAAAATATAAGCTGATAAAATCATAGATAAATGAACCTAGTTCATATTTCAAAAAAACAAAATTTTTCTACAAGTCTTAAAAAAATATATTTTAATCTTTTCCTTTTGTAAATAATTCTTGAAAAGCTTTTGGAATGTTTTTAATAATATCGGTCGTGATCATACTTCTTTCCTTTGATTCAAAAGTGATCTTGTTAGCATATTTTGTCAATGAAGTTGCAGCATAGGCTGCAAGAATTTCTGGGTCACATTCATTATATTTATTTTGTTTAGTTGCCCAGTATGCAAATGTTCCCAAGCTTCCAGCCAAAATATCTCCCTGACCACCACAACGTCTTGATGAACCTTTTTCTCTATTTATTGTTGTTGTTCTTTTATTAACTATCATATCTTCTTCTGCTTTTAAAATTAATGTGTAATTACCATCTAATTTTTTTAAGACAGCCTGTATATCATCACCAGTTGGCTTGTATGTTTGGTGGTTTATCAATCTAAGAGATAATTTAGAAAATTCATGTACATTTGGAGTCAAATATACACATCCACTGTAATTTTTGAATGTATCAGATTCAATAATAGTTAAGGAATCTGCATCAGCAATTATCGGAACTTGATTTTTATTTAAACTGGAATTGCCACTTATATATTGAAAAATGTCCTTAACTGTATTTTGAGCGATCATATCACTTCCGAGACCAGGACCAACAACAAGTGAATGTAGTTTTTGAAGCCATGGTTTTATTTTCTCTAGAGCATTAGGACTATCTAAATATGGTAGAACAATAAGTTCTGGTGAATATGATTTTATAATTGGTGCTGCAGATTTAAAACAAAATACATAAACAAGATCAGCACCCGTGCGTAAAGCACTTATAGCAGCATAGTAAGGAGCACCAGTATATTCTTCACAACCTCCTATTATTCCTATTCTGCCACATTGTCCTTTGTGAAGATTATTTGTTAAAGTCGGTAATAGAATTTTGCAATTTTTTAACATTTTCAGATGAAATTCCATTAAGCAAACCTAAAATAAATATTTCCTGAAATTATAATTAAGAATAGTGATTTGTTTTTAACAAAGATATCAAAATTAGTTACAAAATAAACTTCATAAATTAAAAAAAAACTATTTTTTTTTTTGAATAACTAGTGGAATTTACAATAGAATACTTTTTGGAATGCATATTCTAAAATATATAAATGATATACATCAATAAATCATACTGAATACAATTTACCTAATTATTATAATTTATTTTTTGTACAGTTAATTTAAAACAATAAATTAGGTTCATAAATCTATATTTTAAAAATAAATATTCTTTGCAAAATATTACCTACTTTGTTATGTTTACTTTGTATACTTGTAACTTTGAGATTGTAATTTATGAATTTCTTATCAATTTATTCTATTTGATATTTTATAACAAATTATTGTATAGCTGATTATACTTGTTAATCATAATGAATAACTTGCCTTTGTCATTCCAATTATGATTTTACCATACATTTGTTTTTAACAGCAGCAATTATTGTAAACAATAATTTGTAAATCTATAATGTTTTTAAAACATTATAGGTTTGATAATTATATATATTGGAGTTCTAATTTTTATAAGTAATATGAACAATTATATTTGGTAAATCTTAGATTCCTAAGCTTGCGAAAAGAACAACTACTATGTTAATATGACTTTCTTTTTATAAATAATTTTAACTTATTTTATCGTAATCGATGACAGTACTAAATATTTTATCTTAAGATAACATATAAATTATAATAAAATTACAGTGATACTTTGCTTATATCGTGTTTTTAGCATTATTGAATACTGCAATAATAAAAAATATCAATGACATCAAAACATGTACTTTTTTTTTTTTTGAAACTATTCTTCTTCAGATTTTATAGGCCATTAAGGCACATCACTGCTCTACACAGTCTCCTCCATTCCTCTAGATCATTTGCTAACTCTTTCAGGTTTTCAACCCCAAGTATCCTAAAATTCTGGTTGGGCTCGTCTATCCCACCTTTTCTTCGGTCTACCCAATAGTCTCTTGTCTTCTGGTTTCCATTTAAGCACATCCTCCATTATGCCATTCGATCTCCATACATGACCAAGCCAGCTCATATTTCTTCCTTTAATTGTTTGTATAATATCCTCTTCTCCCAACGCGTCTTTAATTTCTTTATTGGATCTTATTTCATATTCACCTGTTTGATCATTTTTTTTTGGACCAAAAATGAGTCGTAGGAATTTCCTTTCTAGAACTGCTAATTTTCTTTCGTCCTCTTTTGACGTTGGCCACGTTTCGCATGCGTATAGAATTACTGGTCTAAGTAAAACCTTGTATAATCTTATTTTTGATTTATTTGATAATACCTTGAACCTGAAGGTTTTCTGTAACGCGAAATAACATCTGTTTCCAGCTTTTACTCTCAGGTTTATTTCCTCATGGTAATTATTGTGACTATTTATATCCACTCCCAGATATTTAAAGCTTTCTACTTTTTCGAAACAATAATTTTCAATGTTCAAATTTCTGTTTTGGTGTAGTTGATTACCTTTCTCAACTTCCACATATTTAGTTTTCCCTTCATTTATCATTAGCCCCATACTCAGCGCTTTGGTTATTAGCTCCTTTGTGGTGGTTTTAGTGTTCTCTTCATTTGATCCAAGTATTACTATATTATCAGCGTAGGCTAGTAATGCATACACTCTTCCATTAAAACTGACACCATTGGCTGTTTCTTTTTATATATGAAGCATATTACTGCTACCTTCCATTCTTCTGGTATCTGTTCTTGTTATATTTTCTTAATTATTTCCCACATATCATTAACAATTAGTTCTCCTCCCTTTTGTATAAGTTCGGCTTCTATCATGTCCTCACCCGGAGTTTTGTTATTCTTTAGCAGTTCTATTGCTTCTTTAATAATTAATGAAATTATTTCTTCCTTTCCTGGTATACATTGGTATTGTTCTATCGTTGTGAGTACAGAGTTATCCTGTCTTTGGTCTTCTATTTCTGGTTGGTTCAGCATTTCTTGGAGCACTCTTTTGAATTCTTCAGCAATGGCTTGAATGTCTATTATCAGTTCATTATTCTCATTTTTCATTATTGACACTTTTGGTTTATATGGTTTTCTTATTTCTTTAGCTTTTCTAAAAAACATTTTAGAATCTCTGTATGATTCTTCCATCGTTTCGATCCGTTGTTGTTCCCACTCTCTTTTTTCTCTCTTCATTTTTCTTTGTTCCTGGGTTAGTCTTTTTTTAATTTTCTATACTACATTCCATAAACACCATGGATTTTGCTTTATCTCTTTCTTGTATGACTTTCCTACAGTTTTCATTAAATCATTGTTTGGTCTATTTGCCGTTTACTATACCGATATTTTCTTCTGTAGCATCTTTTATCGTTTTTCTTAATTGTATCCAATGTTCTTAATATTGTAGGTTTAAGTTGTTGTTTACCTTTCATTTCTATATTCATTAACTATCTGTTCCTCTTTTAATTTGTCTACACCGAACTTGCGGTAAATTTTTCTTTTTTAATTCCATCTTGTAGGTAGTTTTTTATTCAGTTTTACCTTGACTAGAAAATGATCTGAGTGCCCACTCATTCCCCTGTAGTTTCTTACATCTTGTACACTATATTTGAGTTGTTCATCTACCACAGCATGATCTATCTGATTTTTTGACCAACAGGCGACATCCAGGTTTGTTTATGTATTTCTTTGTGGGGAAAATACGAGCTACTAACAGTCATCCCAAATTTTGACATCCCAAATGAGATAAGTTTGCTTCCATTATCGTTGAATATTTCGTGTAGGACGTGTTCTCCAATTGTAGGTTTGATTATTTGTTCCTTACCGGTTTTTGCGTTAAGGTCTCCTATTATAATCTTTCTGGTCCTATGAGGTATACTGTCATAAATTCTTCCTTAGTTTGGTTCTCTTTATTCTCAGTTGGATTATGACAATTTATTACTGCGATGTTTCCCCATTTACACTTCAACTGTAGGAGACAAATTCATTCGCTAAGTGTTATGAAGTTTCTTACAAATGGTAATATGTCGTTGTTTACTATAAACCCAACGCCATATTCATGGCTTTGACCATAACTATAGAATATAGTTGCGTCACGAAGTTTGATGTTCTCTACATTCGTCCATCTGATCTCTTGTATGGCTACTATTTCGAATATATATCTCTGCAGTGCGGATAATACTGTCGTCTATATAATTCTGAATCAGCTAAACTAATATAGATAAATAGTCTATCCCTGATTCTCAGTTATAAAAAATTTCTGATTACATAATAAGTTTTAAAATTCACATGTAAAAAAAAATACTGTTAGTATGAGTAAATTAGATTAACATAATAATAATAAAACCAACAATCATTCATTCATTTTGTTTTTATGAAATGTATTGTATTTTCAAAATGCCATCAATTTATGTAATTTTTTACTGATTAAACATAACTGTTAAAGTAATTTATGTTTTAACTTTATTTAAAATTTTTTTTTTATAAAAACTGAAGGCAATAAAAAAATTAATAATAATATAATTTAATTTTTAAAGTTATGTTATCAATCAGGCGGAATACACAACTTGGTTATTTCTACTGCCCCATTACTCATAGTCTCACTTAATATAGGCTTGAAAATAGCACATATTATATTAATAGGTAGCAAGCTGATATAACAAGTTAAATTTTTGATTTTATCCCTTAATTGTTTTCTAAAGCAACTTTCAAAATTTTAAATTCAATTATATCGAAATGACTTTTTTATCATTATGATCTCTTTAGCTCTAGATGTCACATATAGGAAGTCTATGATTTAATTGACTTTCTACTTTAATGACATTAAAGATCATTCATAAACACTTATTTTTAAGTTTTAAATAAAAATAAATTGTAAATTGTTAAGAATGATATTCTTTTTTGCAGAAGACAGACCCCTAGCTCCATACCTAATTATATAAGATGGATTTCAGTGACCACAAATCAAAGAATTATATGAAAGTCCCTCACAAACAGGATTTTACATTCTGATAGAGCCAAATTTGAATCATATTACTTATTTTGATTAATGAGAGAACTTAGTTTCAAGAACCCATTTTTCTTTATGATGCCATTTAGAGGTCATGCTTTGTAATATATTATGAAGACTTATTAAATTTAATAAGAATTTAGAGCCAATTGATTTATAAGACATTCTATTTCTATAAGATTTTTCTATAAAAATAAAAAAATAATAATATTACTAATCACTAATTTCTTTAAACACAATCACTAGGATTTTTTTAAATTTTAAAGATCTTATTATAGATATTTTAGAATAAAATAATATTTATAATAGATTTATAGATAATGGTACTTTATTCATCTTAATATACAACCAGATACTATGTTCAACAAACCATTAATATTTTGTATGCTTTTGTTTAGTTAATTTTTTCATTTAAAAAAATTAATTATTATTACATAATACTATTAAAATATTAAGGAAATTAAAAATTAAAAAGTATAATTTCCTAATAGTAATTTTTTTCCCAATATTCTTTTTCTTCTCTTTCCCGAATAACTTCTTCTAAATATGGTTGCAAATAGCGATCATCCTAAATTAAATATAAAAAGGTATTAAAATTAATATTAAATTTGTACTGAGTAATTTCAATATAGCTATATAGTAAAAATTAGTAAAGAAACATAATAAGAATATGTTAAAAATATTTTTTACTTCTTCAAATTTGGTCCATTCTTCCTTCGGTAATTCTATTTTTTGTATCGAGAGTTGCATAGCTCGAATTATCCTAAATGTACGTTCATCAACTTTATGGTTTGGAAGTCTTCTTAAAGCTTCTTTCACATCTTCATTTTCTTGTAGTACATCATCATGATGGAGTCCTAATAAAAAATATAACTGGTAGGCATTTAAGAATATTAGTAAAATGAAAATAAAAAAGTTGAATCCATACCATATCGATTGAAACCCGATAGATTATATGCCCAACGACGAACACCCACTGAAAACAATTGACAAGTATATTAAAGAAAAGTAGTAAAAAAATGCAATTTTTTAGAGTTGAGCCAAACATCTTACCATTGGATGCGATGGATTTAAATATAGACATATTAGTAAAGATTAAAATTTAACTTATGACAGGATTAATAAAATCAAGCTTTGAAGAGAGTTTTAAATATTGTGTTTGTAGAATGACTATTACAATTTATAAGTTTTGTGAGTTTTTATCTCATTGAAATGTCCTTAAAAGTTTATCTACTGTTATTGGCAGTATTCAGTATTGCCAACACGAGACTTATTAGTGTGTTTGTACTTATTAATCAGCTGTAAAGTTATCTCTTATATATTGAAGCAGCTAACATTTCTGTTGAATTATTGTAATCTAATGTGAAAATATTATTCCTATATTATTGAGTTATATATTTTTATCTATGTGTGATACGTGATATTAAATTGGAGGGAATCTACCAAGAACAAATAATAAGAACTTACTGAGAGGAGGGCAAACATTGACGCTCTTAACTTTTCAGCGAATTTTATTAAATATTCATTTATTTTTATTCAGAAATAAATAGAAGTAAAATTATATAACAGGTATTTGTGTAATTAAAAGTCTTCTATATATTAATATTTATTGCCATTTTCTTACATTATTATTTTTAATTGAAATTTCTTAATTCTGATTTAAAGACTATAGATTAAAAAAATAAAAATTGTTTGTAATAGTTTGATTTTTATATATTTTGATAATCAAAATTTTAAAACAGAATTCTGTTAGTGTGTGGGATATAAAAAGTTATTTTATTTTATGTCATTTATTATTGAATAATAAAAACTTAATATTTCAAAAACAAAGTTGTCATATATCTTTATTATTTTTATTTTAAATTAGTATATTATTTTTCTTGATTTTCAGAAGAGGATTATAAATATTTTTAAAATGAGTAGTTTTGATCTTTCTAAAATGGTTAGTACTGTTGACAATCTGAGTACATGTTTAGATATTATGTTGTGTTGTAAAAGCCCTGAAGGAGGTAAAGAAATAATCGACACTTATGACAATTTGGAAAACTTAGTAACAATTTTTGAAAATCAAATGAATACATTGAAGAAAGCTTTAGTTAGAGAAAAAAATGCTCGTCAATCAGTAATTTAATTAAAAATAAATATTAATATTAATTATGATATGTATTAAGTAGATTTTTATTTTTAGTATTTTCAAGCTCAATTAGATGATTTAAAAAAAATGGTTAACAGATGTGAACATATGATAATGAACACACCTATCAATTCTAATAACTTTAATGGAAATCAACAGTATAATCAAAATGAAACCAAGGAAAATAATTCAAATTGTTTAAATAGTATAAACAATATTTCAATGTCGCCCGTTAGAAGTTCATGGAATGATACTTTTTCTCCTCCAGAAAATTCTTTACACCAAAATACTACTATGAGTACTACAATAATGGGACAATCAAAATGTCAAACTTCAAAACACGTTCTTGATATTCCTTATATTCAATTGGTCAATAATGAAGAAATGAATACTGTTCCAAAGTATATTCCTTGTAAAATATTCAAAAGTTATATTTTAATTAAATTTTATTTTAATTTATTAGGTACATGAAAGGGCGTCTAACGTCTTTAAATATTAATGTAGTTATTGAAAGTATTAATATAGCTTTAGAAAATAAGTATGAAATCTTGAGAAAATCAAAAACTGCGTTAAAAAAAAAAGAATTAGATGCTTATAATGAATGGAAAATTCAACAAAGCAATGTTGGACAAGGTTTGTTTTTAATATATTTTTTGTTTGAAGTCTTGACTACTAAGGCTTCATTCAATAAAAGAAAAATAATAGTAATTATATTTCTTTGTATTTTTTATGCTAGGACAATATTTTGTTACCGCTGAAGATATAACAAAATATAGTGAAACAAAAGTGGACAAGACAACTTTAAATATTATTCCGATTCTAAGACATTTGAAGCGTTTAAAAGAATCAAGAATTGGTGGCTTTATTTATTACTTACCTTATTAAGATTAAAAATATATATGTATGTATAGAATTATTGATTTATTATTTACTTCAAACGATAAATATATTATTATTTTATTAATTTTTACAAATTTTAATCTAAATGTCATTGATTTATTGGAGCAGTGATATCTCTTCCTATAAAAGTTATTTTTTTTTTATTTATGGCAATTTCAATATTTTAAACTGAAATTGTAAAAAAATTTCTTCGTAAAAATGATAAACTTAGTTGATACCAAAATACACTGATATTCTACTAATTTAATTTTTACAATATGAAGAAAAATAATTTATTATGAGTAAAAATTAAGTTATGTTTTTCCATTACTAAATATTTTTATGTAACCTAATAAAGATTTGATCAGAGGATAACTGTTAACAAGTTGCATATTATATGTAGGTATTATATTTATACATGTAAAACAATAAATTTAAAAACTGATATTTTCTTCAAATATTAAGTGTTATTTTTTTAAAAGTTATATTTGACTCAATATGACAAGCAATTTTGATACTTATATTATTATGTTTAGATATTGTAATAAATTTAACATTTTTGAAGTATGTAAAAAAAATTATAAATGAATGTAAAACTTGTACAATCAGTTTATTTATAAATAAAAATACTATTATAGTCAAATTAGTTGGATTTATTGAATAAAATGTAATTTAAAAAAAAATAAAGTTTCTAATCCCTGATTTTTTAAATATTAATGGTTGGTACTTTTTAATAATTGATGATACTTATTATTATTATTGAGGTTCTATCCCCCTTGCTAGGTGTCTAGTATTGGACTCGCTTATTAGAGAGTTAAACAAATATTGTTATACACAAGCCTATGCGGATAACTTATTTATAGCAGTGGTGGGTAAATTCCCAGACACTTATAGACTTAGCACAACAGAGACTAAACACTATACAGATATGGTGTAGTAAGTACGGTCTATCTGTTAATCCAAATAAAGCAGAGGTTGTTATGTTCACTAGAAGGAGAATAGGACTAGACAGTCTTGACACTCTTACTCTAAATGGACAAGAAATAAGCTTAAAATTGGNTCTGAATGGACAAGAAATTAGCTTAAAATCAGAAGTAAAATACTTAGGTATTATCTTGGATAGTAAGCTAAAATGGAAATCACATGTTGAGTCAAGAATCAAAAAAGCAATGACCACATTGTGGACTTGCAGTAGAGCCTTGGGAAAGACATGGGGTCTTAAACCAAGAGTTATTAATTCTTTTTAGAGTTATTAATTACTACCAGTCAGGTAGTAATTACTACCTGACTGNGTATAGAATGGAATATTAACCACCTGACTGAAAAAGGAGGATTTGTGATATATACAGATGGATCCAAAAAATCAGGAAAGGTAGGTGCTGGAATTTGGGGTTTAAAGCCACGAATAAATGTCAGTATGTCATTGGGCAAACACCCTCTGTTTTCCAAANGGCACAACACCCTCTGTTTTCCAAGCAGAGGTGATGGCGATACTGGTAGGGGCTCAGAACCTGCTGGTATACAAAAATAGGAAGATAACTATCTTAAGTGATAGTCAAGCGGCTTTGAAGGCACTCTGTAACGATCAAGTGAATTCAAAGCTGGTCCTCGAATGCAGGGAAACTTTAGAATCACTATCGAGGTTCAACAAAGTTACACTAGCGTGGGTACCGGGACACAACAGTGTCACTGGAAATGAGAATGCTGACTTTCTAGCCAGGAAAGGAGCAGAGAACACCTATGTTGGACCAGAACTAGTGGTAGGACTCACTGAGCAATCGCTCAAAGCGCTACCCAAGAATTAGTGCAGAGAACAACACAGGAAAATCTGGAAGTACTTGGTAGTACCTAGACAATCTAAAATGTTTATCAAGACCCCTGATTTATTGTTGGGTGATCTTAATAGCATGACTAGACATCAAATAAGCATCCTGACTGGTCTACTGACAGGACATGGTCACCTGCTTAAACATCTTAACGCAATGGGGGTATCGGAATCATCATTGTGCAGAAAGTGTGGAGTAGAAGATGAAAACTCATTTCACATCATGTGCGAATGTGAAGCCTTGTCCACACTAAGATCAAACTACTTAAATAAACCTTTTCCTGAAAAAGAAAATATTAAAAACCTAAAACCCAGAGAGATACTTAATTTTGCCAGGAAGACAGGACTCTTTGGTCATCTTTAGAAGTGACTTTATGGTTGGTAATGTATTAACACTTAGGTGAGTAAACCGAATCAAGACAATTCGGTATGAGGTGCGCACAATGGACCAACAGGTCCGAATGCATGGGCATTATGTCCACCTCGATAATAACTAAAACTATTATTATTATTTATTTTTGTTATTGTAATTTAGTTAACTGTTACGATAGTCCCCCTTTATTTAACAATATGATAGTGCAAATTTATTTTGAAGTGCTACAATTCTTATTAAATTAAAATTTTCTGATGCGAGTATTAGAGGTAAAGTTAGAATTTTTACATTGCCTCGGGGCCTAAAATATTTTGTGCACTGACATAAACTGTGTTACATATATTAGAAATGTGTGGCAATCTTGTAACATGTAATTTAGTTGTTTTAATAATAAAATAGCGATTATTTAAAGTAAAATATTAATAAAAAATAATAAATCTGTTATCTAAAATTATAACAATCTACTCTATAAAAAGATTTATTTGTGCTACTGATTATTACGGATTGTACCATTGATTTATAATTTTGGCGACCTGTAAAAAAAAAAGAATGATTTTTTTTGTGAACAGATTAAAATAAAAAGAAGTAAACAACACTCGGAATTATATGACGTTTTTTTTATGGTGCGCTCTGTACCGTTTCACTGTTGATCATATCTAAAGGCGACACTGAGTGTGTATAAAAGAATATATTGATAATCGATGCATTAATTTTATTAGACCAATTATAATCTGTGTTATAATTATTTTGAATAATAATTACAATAAGCATTAAGTGATAATAGCAACATCAAGAATTTTAAACTATTTAATATTATTTAGTTACCAAAGATGTTACAAGTCAGTCAATTTTTGATAAATTGATATGAATTACCAACACCGATTTATTATGATTGATAAAAATATAACAAATTTCTTTAAACAAAGATTTTTTAAAAATTAAAATGATTGATTTAATAACAGTTTAATATTGATGTCAAATTAGTTTAAAATTAAGATAAAATATTCCTACAAATAGTTTTTTGGAGAATAATCGAGTTTAGTCATGTGGAAATGTCATAAATGTGGAAAACCGGTCTATTTTGGTAAGTTTATTGACAATGAGTTAATTTAAAATTTATTTATCTATTAATGTCTGTTTAGCTGAGCGAAAACAATCCTTAGGCTATGATTGGCATCCTGAATGTTTACGATGTGAAGAATGTAGCAAAAGGTTGAATCCTGGACAACACGCAGAGGTTAGATTTTATTGTTTATGTATTTTATAGAAACTATAAAACTAATTCTAAGAATTTTAAATACTTTTATAAAAATCATACAATTTTATGATGTAGCATAAGGGTGTGCCTTATTGTCATGTACCATGCTATGGAGTTTTGTTTGGACCTCAACTTTATGGACATGGTACTAGAGTCGAATCTCATACTAGTTTTGGAAGAATTGAAAATAAATACCCTTTTGGGCCAAATGTTGAAAGGTTATTCTATTGATTATATAATTTTAATTAAAAAAAATTTTTTTTTTATAAATTAAATTTACAAAAATTAGATCTGAAGTAGAAGAAAAATTAAAAATATATAATAAATATTATGAAGGAAAAAGTGGAGAAATAAGAAGTCGTGAGGTAAACTAATATAAATTTTATGTTTTAATACATGTAAAAAAAATAATCTTTTGTTAAAAAATTATTTAGGTAAATGGCCGACCAGTATTAGAAGGTGCTCTAAGAATCTATTGGGCTGTTACTGACATGATTCATTTGAAGGAAGATGATGATCAAAGAATTAAAAATAGAATTCTAAAATATATAGATTCTCCTATAATGGTATAAATCTAGTAAATAAAAATGATATTGAAATTACAGACACTTTTTATATAATTTAAATAAAATATTATTTAAAATTAAAAATACACAACATAAATATTTAAACTCGGCTTTATAATATTACCATATTCACAATGAAATAAAAAGGAATAGATCCAGTAATTTTTTAAGTATTTAAACAAATTATAAATTGAAACCATTATTTAACTTTTGACATCCTTGAAAATATAATATTTGGGATAATATAACATACATACTACAATATTTGAACTTATTATTAATATACATAATGAAAAATAATTTTTTTTATATTTTACTATTATACTTTTTATACTATTTATGTATTTTATGATAAGTTAATTACCAATTTTTTTCACATTGTAATCTGAAGATAAAGTAATTCAAAGCTAGTAGTTACCAATAATTTTTAATTTTAAATTATATTTTATTTATAAATAGAAATAATAAAATTATTTCAGTACATTTTTAAATAATATTTTCTATATATATTACAGAAATTGCAAAATAAATATGTTACGAATTATTCAAAAACTAATGATCATCAAAATGGAAATAATAGATCAAATAAGTTCAATACATTACCTCATAATTTGAATTCTATTGATGTCAAAGATGAACTTGATGAACTATTGATGGTAATATTATAGCTCTAAAGAATTTTTTTCTTTTAAAATTATTATTATTTTAATATCTTAGTATCTTATTACTTTATTAAGTGGAGGCCACTTAGATAAATGATTAACTAGGTGAATCAATAATCTATACTTTCAATTGAGGCATAGTGTAGCGAAGTCAATAATTAATTTTTTTAATTTTAGTTATTTTAAATTTTATAATTTTTAAATACAATAATAATTAGTTCATAAATAGATTGCTAACTTTGCCGTGTAATTAATTAATTACATTTTTTAATAATAACGATTTTTGAGTAAAGTTATTTCATTATACATAAAGGTACAAAGAGAAGTGTCTGACAATGAAAAAGCTTACAGTACTATGCCTAATGCTATAGTATCTGAAAAAAGTGATGCATATTCTGAAAATTTTGAATCAAAATTAGAAGAAGAATCTTTTGAGAAAACTTTATGTAGAAGTCGTTCTTTAGATGATGATGTAAGTGACAATGACGCCAATTATGAATTTTTTTCTGATCATAATGGCGAATCAACAAATAACATAGTTATAAGAAGAAAGTTAGGATCAACAGCTATTAAAAGACGGTTAGTTCTACATTTTATAGAGTGCATAGAGTGACAAATAAAATTATGTATTTTTAATTTATGAAAAATTAAGTTTACTCAATATTATTCAAATTTACCAATATTTGATTAAATGACAAATTATTATTTAGTTACAAAAATCACCAATTTTTTATTTTAATAAAAGTCAAGTATTATCTTACTCATACTGTTTATTCAAATTTTTATCAGCATAATGAGGAATAATATACCTAATTTTTTTATTTCCTTTTGTTAAATTAATTTTGTAGGACAGGAAGGTTAAATGGTAAAAACCGTACTAAGTTGAAACGTCGTTGCTCAATTAATGGACATTTCTACAACCGTGAAACAAGTTTTTTTACCCCACCATATGGTAGTCAAATGTCTGTGTGGGTTACATCATTAGTAACAACGCCAGAAGTTATTAATTTAGTACTTGATAAGTACAAAGTTGATGGGAAAGCATTTCAATTTTCTTTATTCCTTGTTTTTGATAACGGTGGTAATTATTAAAATTATTCTATAAACTTTTAATATGCAATAAAAAATTCCTGTATTGTAAATATTTGTAATTAAATGAATTTTTTTAGAACGTCGTAAATTGCAGGATGATGAGTATCCATTAGTTGTTCGACTGATTCAAGGACCTCATGAAGATGTTGCTAGAATATATCTTATGGAGAGTCGAACTACTGATGAAATTAGCTGTGATGTTGCACAATTTTTAAACTTTAGCCTACCCGAATGCAAAGCAATATTAGCTGGGTATGATGCAGAAGAAGAAAAACATGTAAATGCTATCAAAGCAAAGTAATATTATAATATTTATTATTTGTACCATAAAAGAATTGGACTATTAATAGTAAAATTTAANGATAACGTCACTAGGTGATAAGGTCACTAGGGGTATATAAGGGAGTTTTTTCTAGTCGGGGTGTCAGTATGTGTTTAGCGTTGATAATGGTAACATTGTTTCCGAAATACGTATCCGCGACTTTTCTTTAATTTTTTTGTGGCTTTGAGTTTAATAATATTTTTAATATTTTTTAGTTTTTTAAATTAATAATATTTTTAATATAGTTTTAATTTTACTTAAATTTAAATGGATATTTTCATTTTAGATATGAAGAAATGAGAAAAAGGATAAGACAACGAATGGAACAATTGAAAGTACACCTTTGAATAATAAATTGTTCTTAATGAATTGTTACCGTAAAATATAAAATATCATTTATTAATTTTTTTTATAAGCGAATGTTCATACCGTTTTTATATTAATTTGTATAGCTGTACATAATTTTTTATGTATTGATAAAATCAATGAAATTGACGATGATTGTTATTTTTTAATTAAAAATTTTTATTTGTAAAATAATTTTCTGTAAAAAGAACTAATAACTCAACTATATTTCATTGATTTTTTTTGTGTCCCAGATATCATAATTTTTCAGTAATATTTTAAACTGTTAGTTGACTTTTTACCAGTACTTGAAATCATTTAAAAAAAAAAAAAAAATGGGATTAATTGGTAAAAGCTTAATTTTATTTAAAGTTTATAACTGGTATTCGTATAAAGTTATTGGTTTGGTAAATACAAATTATAAATTTCTGTTTTTTATAGGAAAAAAAAAGTTAATGTTAATAGGTAAAAAATGGTTAAATATATAATAAAAAACTATTACAAATAGTACTTATTTTTACACACAAAAAAAATGTTAGGGAGCTATTCATAAAACAATTTTTTACCCCACCCTTCTCCAAAAGCGTCATTAACTTAGAACTATACTCTTCATAAGGAGGTTGACACAAAATTACTACTGTCATAGTAATAACTGTAATGATACAGTCAGACTTTTGTTCTGAGAAGGTATACATGAGAAAAATCAATTTATAATTTTTTGTATATCATAAGTTGATTATCAAATGGTTAAAATGGTTATCGATTTTTGTTAAAAACCTGTTTCTCTAATATGTTTATTTGATACTGAATAATAATTTGAAAAATTATTCAATTTCTGATAACAGATTACTGTAATTTAAGATGATAAAAATAGGAACTATTTCTTGTTTAAAAAAAGGTGATTTAACCAGTATTAAAAAAAAATTTACGACTGGTTTCAAGCCTCAATTTTTTTGCTTAATTTTATCATTTTGCTTTTTAATATAGGTATGATTTTTCTATTCAAATAAATGTTTTTGAAAATTTTATTATAACAAGATTTAAGTAATTAGGTAATTTATATAAAAACAAAAAACACTAAAAAGTTATACAAATTTTAAATGAGTTATTTAAATCATCAATGTTAATAAAACATGGTTTATTTTGATATAACATATAAAATGGTTTTAAGAAAAAACATAAAATCATTTAATATTTAACAAAATTTAAGAATTGACCACAAACAATTTTTTGAACAGTTTATAAAGTTGATTAGATTAAAGATTTATTATATTAAATTTACCAATATATTTATTTAAATTTAAATACAAAATAAATTAAATTATTAATTATGTTTTAAATAGTATAATTCTGAATAAAAATAAGAAGTATTCATGAATATAGTTATCACTATGCAGTATGTGGCACATACAATAATTAATTGTAATATGCTGATTTTATGACATAAAATTAATTATCACAGTTATAATATTTTCATAACTGATATACAATAAATATTGCATAAAGGAATACATGGAATGATCAGTAATAATGATTGCTTTGATAGATGATAAAAATAATAAATATTCATATAAAACCATACAAGATCAATATATTTTTGGCAAATTTAAATTTTTTAAGTATTAAAAGTAGAGTAAATTCATATGCAGTCAACAAAAATAATTTTGTTATTCCTAAAAGTAAAATTCAAATACATTTTTCTTGTTAATTTTTAAACTTATAATCGAATTATACAAGTAAACAAAAATAAAAAACTATAAGAAAAATGTGAAATTAATAATATTAATGAGAGAATAATATATTTTTTGATTAAAAATATGAGCTTTCAGATCAAAAAAATTATGGTGAGATCTGTAACTATCAAGAAGAAAAAAATGTATCATAAAATTTAATAGTTTATTAGAAACAATCACATATAGACCATATATGTTCACCCTTATTTCTGATTATCCATATACATAATATTGTATTAACAATTTAAAGGAAATTTATTAAATAAGTTACAATGCTAGCTAACTATTCAGTCTGAATCATCAAGTGAATTCAATTCACTAAGATCTGGAGGCGTGCTAATAAAACCTCTTGCCAGTGCATACTCAATAAGAGCCAAGTGGCAGAATACATATTGTTCAGCAGTTTGAATAGAATATGCACGTTGTGATCTAATTCGTTCTACTGAACTCTTAATATCAACAGTATTAGTATCTTCCAGACGATTAATACAAATGTCTAGAGTACAAAATGTTCCTAAGAAAAAGAAATTATGTAAAATAATTTATCACATTTTATTTTTATTTAATTTTTAAAAACCTGTTCTTCCAATGCCAGCAGAACAATGCACTACAATAGGTGGTCCTTTTTGATGACCTGCCCATTTATCTCCAAGAACTTGTAACATAGATGATTGACACTTTCTCACTTTACCAAGAAAATCCAACATAGCTACTGCACTATGCGGAACACCAAAATCAGGCCATGAATTAAATTGAAAATGAGAAACTTGTCTAACTTCATTTGTCTAAAAAGTAGTTTGAAGTTAAGTTTTAGTAAAAACTAGTAGGAAAAAAAAAAGGTACAATTACATTAGTGTATGTGATTTCAAGTCTTGTGACAACATAGTTATCAAATTTATTAACAGAATTTGTTGATATTTTAAAATTGTGATACATTTGATCTTCAGATGATTCTTCAGGAGGCCAATATTGTTCACATTTGACCTTCCCACATTCAAAAACTTTAGTAGTCATTACAATTACAAGTACTTGTTGTTCCCAGATCATTCGCCAGAAATCAGCACATGTGTGTGGTAAAGGTCCTTGAGTTGAAATAAATGCATTTTTCTGCTTGTAACCATCTACAAAATTAGCATGAATATAATCTGATAGAGGATCGTTATCTGATTGAGCTAACAACACTCTTGTATGGTCATAGCATAGCACATCCGTATAACGATTCTTCAACAAATTTGCCCGCACCCTAAATAAATTTTTATATAATAAAATTGTTATATATTTTAAAGTATTATAAATATAATTTAACTACCTAGAAGCAGTAAAGGTTCCATCTGGTGATCGAGTTTTAATTTCTTCATATTCTTTCATAAGTCCAGTTCTCTTTTTCTTTAATACATGATCAATAAATTGACTAATGGTTAAACTTTGACTAGAATCACAACGCAAACTGTCATCGTCTGAAAACCCACTGCTAACTGATGAAGTAGGCATTGGAGAGCTTTCTTCTAAATCAAATATACAATTAAATTAAATTTTAAATTTTATAAATATCATAATTACCTCTTGAATTGGCTGTATTGCATGTCCAACCTGACGATAAATTATTTTTAACTATTGCACTTCTTTCAATATTGTTTTCACCAATTACGTTATTCACCTATTGATAAAATAATAATACAATACATTAAATTATTTAATAATTTGATTAAATTAAAAAAATAATAATCCAACCAGAGTTATAGGTAAAATTGTTTTAAAAACAAGTTTGTTCAATCTGGAGGTTGATTCTTTTAGTTTTAGCCACTTGATTTCTCTTAAATTAATAATTATGTTAAAAAAATTATTTTAGGTATTATTTATTGTCATATATTTTTCTATTTTTCAAATATTAAGTATCTTTTTAATTCATCCCTTATACTTTATAAGAGTGTCCCAACTTCAAATTTTTAAATGGCAATATATATATTTTGCTAGCTAATAAAATAAAAGTAATAATAAGTAATATAATAACATTTGATAAATAGAGAAATATATGACAATAAAAAATACCTAAAATAATTTCATTAGCATAATTATTATTTTAAGAGAAATAAAGTGGCTAAAATTTTAAAAATAATATTGTGTATACTTGATATAATAATATGAATATATAAAAATATTAGTATTTAAAATAAAATTTAAATAGATGATAAATAAATGTAGGAAAATTAATTTTATTAAATAATTAATTGTATATTTCATTTACTTTAGGATCAGGATCAACTTCTTTTTTAGTATTATTTGAATTACATATGTGTTCGGACATATCCGAACTTCCATATTTCTCACTATTCGTCATATAGTTTAAACAATAAGTTAACCATTTATTATGATCAATGTCAATAGTGCCACCTAAGTGTTTTGGCAATGATTCTCTGGGAATGTACTGAGTCAACTATAAAAATTATTAATAGATAAATAAGTTATTTGTATCAATTAGTAAAAAATAGATACCTGTGGTAAACTTATTGTAAATACTCTGTCTCTTAATTTTTCTCTTACAAACAGCCTTAGAATTTTAAATGGTGCTTTAAACCATAATGGAGCTGTAACAATTAGTACTTTTTTCAGTTTGGCTGGATATCCTCCCTACACAAATCAGGAAATTTAACTCACATTAAAATTCTGAATAAACTACTTTATTTACACCAATAAATAATGTAAAATTTGTTCATTAAAATTATATTATTTTTCAATAATAAATATAAGTAAGTAGTAAAAATCTGTTTAAATGTTCAAAACTATATAGTACAATTAAAAATCTTTAATAATTAATGAACTCAGTACAATATTAATTAAAACATACTCTATTTAACTAACAAAAAATTAAAAATTAGTGATAGAAACACTACATGTATCAAATAAAATATATTTAACTTCCATTAGTTCTTTTTAATATTAGATAAATAAAGATAAAAAATAACAGTATTATAAATATTATTAAATTATTTTTCTAAGAATACTCATTTAGGTTAATAACTTTTTATAATGTAAATAAAATTTGTCAGATTAAAAAAAAAAAATGTACTAATTATTTAAAAAATAATAATTTAATTTTCTGTACAATATAATTCTCAAGAGTTGAATGCTAATTCATTTTATATTTAATCGAAAAAAAAATACAATCAACTAAGTTTTTTGTTAAATTACTATTTAAATAATTTATCTTTAGAGACTTGTCTATTTTTATAAAGGTTCTTTTAACAATTTTTATTTGCCATTGTTCAACATTTGACGAAAATTTATGAGTAGCTGTTAAATATGTAGACATGCCTATATGTACTCTTAATTTACTAATTAATTACCAGGAAACACGAGTGTGATGTAATAAAGTATAGCGATAATAGTCTAATTAAATTAAACACATTAATATTTTTCAAAAACTTCATAAAATAAATGTTAATTGGAAATAAAAATCATACAACAAAAATGTTAATTTTTATAATAAAACAATTTCATTTCATTCCAACAAGGAAAAAATCTAACGACGTGTGATGATAATAAATAATTACATTAAAATCATTTTTAAAAAATTTTCGACTAAATTTATAGAGGAAAAATTAAGAGAAGTAATTAGCATAATATTTAACTAATATATATATATATTATTAAAATATTAATACTAATACTAATACTTATACTTAATACTAGTTGTTTTTTATCATTTTGATGGTTTGAGAGTTTTAACCCTCAACCATTTTTTATTTGTACTACTATTTTCGAATATTACACTAGATCAGATAATGTAACGTGCTCTTAAAATTTTTATTCGTCTCTCAAAATTATTTAAAAACAAACGTAATGAATATTGAAAGCTAAATTGAATGACCTTTGTAATGATACAACAAATCGTTTTACTATAGCCGCCAGTGTCTATGGCCATTAACTATGAGCGTGTTTAATATAGTTATAAAAAAAAAGTATGGAATTTTTTTGTTTTTTGAAGGTGGTTAGCGGTGCCAAAAGTTTAAATCTATCATTTATACGACATTTACTTGAACAACTAGTCTATGGTGTCTTCATATTAAAACACGTTTGATATTCTAATATAACTTTACAAGGTCATTTTGGGGGGTGGCTAGGAGAGGCAATATCCCCCCTTAAAATTCCATAGACCAGTATGGTCTATTGAAAAATAATGAATTGTTGGTTAAATTAACAATATGTTATTAATTAATTTTAACTTGTAGCAAATTTAAGATAGTATTCTAAACACTAATGAATGTTATCATTTTAATGGTCAGGATATTTAGATAGTCAGCGCAATTGAAATTATGACGATTGTAAGTTCTGGAAAGATGACTTAACAAACAATTAAATTATAATTGCATTTAACAGTAACACTTTGCGTGATATTACAAGCCTAAATTAATAATACAGCTTATCAGTAACATATAATGTAAACAAATTAAGAGTTTATTCAATATTAGTCACACGGAAACATAAAAATTAATTGTTCCAAATGATGAAGCTGAAGAATGCGTTGATACAATTTTTTAGATAAGCGTTACATATGCTTTATATGATCTCTATGAAATTTGAAAATTTCAATTATACAAACGAGTTACGGCAGAGTTGGAATATTTAATGAGAAATTGGTATATTGCAAATTTTGTTTTTTGTTTTTATCATCTTATAAGAAAAACGTAAGATAGAATAGAAAAGCAACATTTTCGTTTTACAAATGATTTTAACTTTTATTATCAAGTATTGGGTATGTCTTTAATATTGTAAATAATTACATATTTTTATTATTGATTATGATTTGAAATAAAAATAATTCAAATTAATCCGCATGAAAATGTTATAATCTAAATTGATATATATTATTGTACCCGAACAGCATACTCCAGTAAGGGTATCGATAGTTATTTATTCAAATAAAAATATTTATTTAAAAATTTTACAACACAACTATTACAACTTAGCAAATGATGATTTATTATGTGAACCGTCAGTCTATCGAGTGGGCCAAGGTTAAAAAAGGTCGATAATGGAATATAATAACAATCGAATTATAAGTAATAACAATATAAAATACAATCAGATTTTACGTAATACAATTATGAGGGAAGACTTCTAAAGTCGTGACTTGAAGAAGCCAAACTCGTTAAAAAATAGGACCGCGATCATAACAAATCTTATCACAGGACACTCTCTTTAACCAAGACCGGGAGAGGGTAGACATTTGAAGCACGTGCCTTCGTATTTTCTAATTACTACTATCTTATTAATTGAAGAAAATTTTGTCATATTATGTGCCCACTCCTTTCAAAAATATAGATTTCTCTCTTCAACTTAAATCATGTTTGAAAAATCCCATCGAAAATCTTAAAAATGACGACCTTTTCTATATTTCTTTAAGTTTGACGCATGTTCCTTGAATTTCTAAAATGATTAAATCGTTTCAATGTTTAACGAATAAAAAATCGGGATAATAACAAGCTAAGACAACAGTCATTTAAAGATTTTGTAACGCTTTTCCAGCGTGGGTCTTATAAATTTTAAAGCAAACAATGACTAGAACTAGCTAACGACATAATTATTACTTAATAGTTATGAGGCACAAATCGAAACGGTTTTCGATCGTTACATAAATACGCCTCACGATCAGTTTTTTAATGGGATCAAAATCGAGATATGTTCCTAACTAGTACGTCAATATATCTGTCAATCTATCTACATTTGTATCTATGCGTTTATTTATGTTTTTACCTTATTATTAGCCAAGATAATATGTTGATTATTATTGTCAGAGCTCACGAACGGAGCTGATATATTCGTGACAAATAATATTCTTTTTATGTTCTCCTTTGTTTGGCGGCTTGACGGACCGGCGACCAACAAATATCCGCGGCACGTTTTCGGGGACGCGGTCGTTACGCTTGGCATGCGATGATGCGGTTGGCACAACCGAAACGGAACGACGTCGGTGGAGCTGTTTGGCACACGGAAAATAGTTAAAATAATATAGTGTGTCGGTTAATATATAAATAAAAATAATAAAAAAAGGAAAAACGCACCAACACCCCGTGACACCACGGCTTGCAGACACGGCCAACGCAACCGTTATCGCTGCGGAAAACCGACTGAACCTGAGCGTATTATAACCGCTGGTCGCTTGCTCTCAGTGTCCCGCCACCGGTCTCTGTCGGTTTGCGCTGCGTATCGACGACCACGACGCGAATCCGCACGCCGCCAACGACCCTCCCAACACTCCCGCCACAAACGCCACCGCCTCCACAATTGCGAATACGCAAAATTATACATATATATATATATATATACATACGCATATACATAAATACACATTCCCATTATTACGCTTACAAACGCATCGCGAGATTCGTCTCCTTGAATGGAAACGCTTTACCCATTGACGACGTACCGCACATAGTTTGTACACATACTCTGAAAAACCGAACCCACCGTCCCATCACGTCCCTCGTCAATCATTTTGTTCTAAAAGCTGTTTTATATTACAGCTCTCCGCGCACAACACGCCGATCATTTTATTCGTCGATTTGTACGAGAAAGGCGACGGGGCGATGTAGAAAAACGTCAAAGCTCAAGATCGAAAAAACTACTTGAGCTTACGGTGCGTTTTTTATTATTAAACGGTCGAGAATTAAACGCCGGAGAGATTGCGTCAACGGTTATTTTTACAATAACTAGCAGGAAAATAACGTGAAACATAATGTAACACTCGACATTGGCGGAAAAAAAAAAACACATCAAAATCATTACAATGTTTACTACCTACGAACTAGTGGCCAACATGAATAGCATTGCAATAAACGGTGAATATTGCGAAACTAACAGAAATGAACAATTATTCGATGGTTTTGCTATAATTTAAGACATGAGTCACTTGCATATATTATTACAGCTGGGCGGCATTAGACAAACCGTTTTTTACTGAACACCTATGATATGATATTACGAATCGTATTATACCAAACGCCAATATGTATATATTAATAAAGCCTCTGCCAATATTAAAATAAAAGGGTACGGTCATAATCCACGTCGTATAACAATGTGAATTATAAAACAGTACACGTTGTTATTTTAGCGAATAGTTTCATTTTTCAAGAGCTCTGAAAGTCATACAACTGCGGATTTGACTTAGTGATAAATTTATTCGACACATTTTATGACAACAACTCATCAGTAAAAATATGGTTTCAGACCATCAACTAGTTGATGGACTGGATCCAAAAGGGATAAGTGAATAATTTTTGTATTACGGTAACAGTAAATGTTACTTTATCACAGAAACACCTAGTCGACTTCAATTTGATATTTTTTACATATATAATATCGAACAATTAGAATATATTTTTCAAATTAAAAACACAATATCTTCATTGATGATTGAAATTGCCTGAAAACGAGTTTCGGAAAAATTTTAAATATTTTACCAGTTTTATAAACATAATACATCCATTATAGTAGATCGAATATACATTAGTAATTAATTATCAAACAAGAATCACAACTAAGAGTATTTTTCAGGTAAATCTAAAATATATGTAATTAATAAGTAGCATTCTTTTAAATTTTAGTACAGTACTATTAAAAAATCCCACTCTTATACAGGACAAAAATTAAACTATGACTTTGATGGGCAATGCAAATTGTAAATAAAAAATGTAAGAACGAATTTATAATTGAGATTGGTCAGAACGGTATAACTCTAAAACAGAAAGAGCTAATATTAGTTATTGTTTATTTTGTGCGCGTATGTTATTATTAAACGTGCCCAAGCGTTATACAGTTGGCCAACAGTCTTGTGAAGAAATTATATCACGTGTCAGGAAGTACTTCCTCTATTTTATACCGACTTCATCTCCACCCTAAATACCTTTAGATAGCGCGTGTATGTGGAATATACGTTGGGCAAGAATTAAACATTTTAACACTATGTCAAAACATGTTTTAGAAACATTTTAATGTCTTCTAATACAAATAATTTATGTAATGCGCGAATTAACATTTAAACTAGAAAGTGAAATACTTTTAGAGCACAAGAAAGAAAAAAAAACATCATTTTTTGGCATGCATTGTAGTTAAATCGAATTTTTTTTTATGACAGATAAAAATGAAACACAGTTCGGAACTAGTAAAGTAACAAATCGAAAAAAACTGCCATGAAACGTATTATGTCAAGCATACAAAGGAATCTATAAAACGGCCGTTCTTCGTGTAGTACTGGAAAATTACTTCAGCTAAGGATAATAGCGAGCACAATATTTTTTCAAAGTATGTCTAGTAGGGTTGAAGCGAAATACAGCTGAGCCGGACCCTACTTTTATATCGCCCTAACTATAAGTGAGAGGAAATGAAGGGGACTTTTCTCCGTACCATAACCCATAGGGATACGCGCGCATGTGTTCTTATCCCAATGTTATCGATCGCCATATCCCTTCCAGTTTTTTCATTCATCCATTTCCAAATAAGGTGCATCCTGCATTTGCCTAGTGCAACGGGTTGTTTCTGTAATCCTATAAGTCTTTTAATATTGCAATCTTAGTTTTTGACAATCAGCATATTGCGCTGTTTTATTTTATGATGTACAGTCATAATTTAAATATAATGATGAAAGACATATAACATAAGGTTTGCCAAAAACGAGTTTAATACAAAATTTTAAAGCAAAGAAAAAAAAAATTTGAATACTTAGGATATAATAATTTGATTAATAGCAAAATAAACAGAGAAATAATGAAATCGGAGATTTAGTCTACAGTTTAAAGTCTAAATTTTCGTGTATAAACAAAATTTTGCAAAATTAATGTTCAATATATATATATAAATATATAAAACAAAAAAGAGTTCCTATTAAATTTCTATTAGATTTTTAAATTGAGTTTAAACATAAATACAGTATAAGATGAAAAAGTATGAAATACTATGATATTTCAATATATTTATATAATTTAAATAATAGATTGTATTAGGATGAAATAAATATTATATTGAAACTAAAACTATCATGAAGTTAAATGTATTAGAACAATTTATTTAGATTAATTTTAATAAAAGATTCAAAAAAAACTATCAATGACTTAACTTTATATTTATTTTAAATAATGTAATTCAAATAAAGATTTTTATTTGGAAATTACTATACACCATGTGATTTCATTTTCAAATAAGAACTAATTTATTGTAAAATTATTATCAAAGAAAAATATTCACTGCAATAAGTCTTTATGATTTTATAAGAAACTAATTTATTTACTTAAATTTATTAAGTTAAACAAATAAGCTAAAGCATAAATAGCTAAAGAACACTCTTAAAGGCATTCTGAATATGAAAACAGTAATTTTTCTATAATTATTAATGATTTTTAATTTTATTATTGTACAAGTAAAACATCACTAATACTTTAACAAATTATTCTAATTTATTGATAATTGAAAAATTATATCAGAAACTCATTACATTTCAGATAATTTACCAAATTTAGCAATTTATTAAAATGTATTTATACTTGAATTTTAGATTGATAGTTTAATTTTGTCTATTTATCCTCAGTTGGGTTTATTTTGGACTGTGGAAAATTTAAAGTTTAGTTTGATTTATTTTAACTTTAATATATTAAGCGTGTCACATTACTAGAAATAAATAAAATTAAAATATTGAATTTTTCTCCAAATTAGATTTTTAGTATCCAAGTTAGAAAAAAAAAAGAAATTCATATAAATGAATATCTATAAAGTATTTTTTTTTTACTTTATAAATAAAAAGATTTTATGAAAATATTTTTTGTTCTTCTTTAATATATAAAAGTATTATCATGTGGAATTTATAATTCATTAATTAAATAAATGCACAAACATAATTTTGGTTAATAAGACATTATCTATAAAGTATTAATGTCAATTACACATTCCTTAAAACTGTTAAATAAATATATAATTGTAAGGTAACTAAGACAATTTTACCAGTTAAAACTTTTTTAAATATATGCAACAGGTGACTAATAGATATAGTTTTTGATAATAACAACATAGTATACATGGACAATATGTTATTTTTTTTTTATATTCAACTTAACTATTAATCAAAATAACTTTATATACATTTGGTGATTATTCAAAATAAAATGAAATAAACTGATTTAAAAAATTTCATAATTTCATAAATAAAAAACAGACTTACCTTTAGAAGTGTCAAGATTTTTTGACTTAAATCATAATCAAAATTTGCATACTTAGAATCAGACATATCATAAATGAAAACAAGTCCACATCGTTGAGTTTTGATATTTTCAAGAGCTATATCCAGTTGATAAACAATTCCCTATACATGCAATAAATAAATCAACAGGTTCATATTTTTAAAAAATCTTTTTGGCTGTATTTACTTGTAAAGTAGTTTGATGAGATGAAAAATTTGGAGTATGATATCGGGCTGTAAATATAGCAATTGCAGCACCAGTTGAATCTCGAGTTGGCTACAAAATTAATTTTTGAATATTTAAATTAATTATAAATAATTTATAAACAAAATATTATTATCTATTACCAAAATTGTAAATTTTTGGGTTTGCAGTTCACTTTTTAATGGTTCAACTGCACAGCTAAAGTTAAATAAGCCTTCTCGTAGTCTTGTTTCTTCATGTTGTTCATGTAAAATTATAGATCTTGCGACATCAAACTTCCTGGCACACAAAAATTTTATTGCTGTTGATTGAGATATCAAAGGTTTATTTTGAACCTTTCTCATACGATTTACAACTTCAATAAATTCTGCCAATGCCTGTACATTAAAGTCAAATTATATTGTTATTATCTTTTATTGGTTATCTTTAAAAAGATGTTCAGAATACTTCTATAATATACTGTAATCATAGATCATTAAACTTACTTTTTTTTGTTCATTATTCAAGGTGCCGTTTTCCATTTTATCTCAATAGTAATAAGTTAGGAATAGATATTGTTTATATTCTGTAATTATTGACTTTGACCGAATTCTAACATCTTGTTCTCGTCAGAATTAATCCTACAATGCATTAAAATGCTAAACTGTATAAATTTAATTCATAATTTTACTACTCTACAGACATTTTTTCAAAATTTGTAAAAAAAATATATATAAATTTTAACAATTATAACTACACGAAAATAAAAATTTCATGAATCAATTAAGTTTGATTCTTTTTGATTTTTGACGTTTGTTTTATGTTTTGTTAACATTTTTATCAGATGGACTGTACACATAACGCGATCTATTAAGATCTTATTGTACTAACATCATGGACAGGCCTTCATCATTTCAAAATATCGTTAAATACAATAAACACTATGACTAATCTCATATCTTCTAGTATTTGCAGTATGATATAAAGAAAATATCTTCTCTATATCATAATTTTTAATAGGTTCAAAGGATACCAATGTAAGTTGTAAATTTATTTCAAAAAGCCATTTAGCTAAATTAACGAAATTTTATGTTACAATAATGAAAAGTATCAAAACATGAACATTTTTATTATTCTGCTTCTTCTTCAGCTTTTTTTGGCCATTAAGGTCCATCCCTACTCCACACAGTTTCCTTATTGGATCTTATTTCATATTCACCTGTTTGATAATTTTTTTTTGGACCAAAAATGAGTCGTAGGAATTTCCTTTATAGAACTGCTAATTTTCTTTCATCCTCTTTTAACGTTGGCCACGTTTCGCATGCATATAGAATTACTGGTATAAGTAAAACCTTGTATAATCTCATTTTTTATTTATTTGATAATACCTTGGACCTGAAGGTTTTCTTTAACGCGAAATAACATCTGTTTCCAGTTTTTACTCTCAGGTTTATTTCTTTCCTCATGGTAATTATTGTGACTATTTATATCCACTTCCAGATATTTAAAAATTTCTACTTTTTCGAAACAATAATTTTTAATGTTCAAATTTCTGTTTTGGTGTAGTTGATTACCTTTCTCAACTTCCACATATTTAGTTTTCCCTTCATTTATTATTAGCCCCATACTCAGTGCTTTGGTTATTAGCTCCTTCGTGGTGTTTTAGTGTTCTCTTCATTTGATCATAGTATCACTAGATCATCGGCGTAGGCTAGTAATGCATGCACTTTTCCATTAAAACTGACACCATTCGCTGTTTTAGCTTCGATGCGAAGCTGAGAAGGTATTAATTTTACTATGATGTGTTTTTTTTTTATTTTTTTATTTTTTTTTATTTTTTTTTTTGTGTCTGTGAACGCTCAATCTCAGCTCTCGCTGGACCGATTTTGATGAACAATATGTCAAAAGATCACAAATCGTATCTAGTCGAAGACATTACCCTCAAAAATTGAAAAAAATTCCCTCGTTCCCCGTAAACGGGGGAAATCCCCCAAAAAATTACAAATTTAAAAATCGCTAATTTTCGATATTTTTTCAATTTTTTTTACTTAAAATTGCCATAACTTTTTTAAAAATGACCGAATCAATATAATTTTTTTTTTTATAGATACCTTAGATAATTACCTATCATTTTATATATTTTTGTGAACATTTGACCCTTTAACAGCCCAAAGGATGGGGTTTCAAAATGGTAACTTTTTTACAAAAAATTAACTTTTTCAACTTAACTTTTGAAAATGTTCCGGAAAGACTGACAATTTTATATATACCTTAAATTAAAGCTAATGTAATATACTTTAATTTGAAAAAAAAAAATTTGACCTCTGGACTTGTCTTCATGGTGAAAATGACTACCGTATGCAAAAATATGCTATTTTTGTGAAAAAATTCTTGATATTATATTTTACATTTTTTAACATTATGTTGCTATAACTTTTTAAAAAATGCATGAATCAACTTTATTCTTTAATGATAAATACTTTATATATACTTCTTTCATTCGACATACTTTTTTTTAAAATCGGACCATTTCCCTTTATACAGGGGGGGTGCAAACCTTTTAAAATGCGTATAGAAAGTAGAACTTTTTCAACTTAACTTTTGAAAATGTTCCGGAAAGACTGACACTTTTATATATATCTTAAATTAAAGCTTATGTAATATACTTTAATTTGAAAAAAAAAAATTTGACCTCTGGACTTGTCTTCGTGGTGAAAACGGACATCAAAGTTAAAGAAAAACGTACGATTTCCGTGAAAAAAATCTCGATTTTATATGTTATATTATTTAATTTATATTTTATATAACTTTTGGAAAAATGTATGGATCTATATTATTATTTTTTTATAATAAATATTGATATACCCCTTTCATCTGGCACGCTTTTTTTGTAAATCGGATCATACCCCTTTAACAAGGGGGGTCAAAACTTTAAACATGCGTATTGTTACTACGATATTTTCAATTTAATTTTTGAAAGTATTCCGGAAATACTGACACTTTTAAATATATCTTAAATTAAAGCTTATGTAATATACTTTAATGTGAAAAAAAAAAATTTGACCTCTGGATTTGTCTTCATGGTAAAAATGACTACCGTATGCAAAAATATGCTATTTTTGTGTTAAAATTCTGGGTTTTGTATTTTATTTTATTTTAAAATACCTGACAAGGGGAGTACAGATTTTCATAAATATTATATAAATTAAAATTGATATAGTATAGATAGTTAAACTTATTTAAATATGTTTGTTTCTTTTAAGTCGAGAAAAATAACTTTGAAATTTGAACTAGCTTAAATAGCCAATTTTTCAACCGCCGGAAGCAACGTACGGTTGCCGAGTTGGTAAAATTTATGTTTTACACGCTTGGGGTACGAGGTTCCAACCCGCATATGGCAATGAATTTTTTGCATTTTTTCTTAATTCTTTTTAAGTTAGTATAAATTTTAACTCGTTTGATTTTTATCACATTTAGATTCAATAACTTCAATAAAGATCAAGGATCCCATCACTTTAGTCGCCCCTTGCAAGAAGAAATTTCTTATTCGTATTAAAATTATTTTACTATATTTTAAGTTTTCGCTTCGATGCAAAGCCGAGAAGATATTTTTTTGTGACTATCATTTATTTTCTCTGCTCTAACTTGACCTACTTTTTTCAACAATACGTCAAATTACTACAATTCGTATCTAGTTGAAGATATTACTCTCAAAAATTGAAAAAAAAATTCTAATTTATCAATTAAACAGTTAGTTATTACATCGTCTCCATAAAGACAATTAAAATCATTAATTTCTAATGTTTTCAAAATATTTATTAACGAATGAAGTTTGATATGATAGGTTTCAACTACAAAATTAAATCATTTTACTTTGTAATTTAATAATTTTTTTACTCTATTTGTGTGTGCTACTACTAGACTATAATATTACAATTTTTTTTTGTAACATGTTGCTATATAAATCATTTCTAAAAAAAATGATTGTTTTTTCTCCTGAATTAACAATTGATTTTTACAAATATAATCAAATTTTATAATACACTCAATTGAGTAAATCTTTTTAACAACTTTGTTTTGATTGGTACATTTAGTTAAAGTAAATCATTAAAATTAATTAAGTTCTCAATATTTCAATTATAGAATCTTTTCAACAAACAACAAAAGTTCCTAGGAAATTATTACTATTACTTCTATTTAAGTTATCTATTACCATAAAAATGCAAAAAAATATTGAGCTTTTCTGATAAATTTACAATAAATAGTAATTATAAAACTTTCTGACTGCATATTGATCTTAACGATACAATTTTTTTAATTGTCATAAAATTTTCTATTTAATTATGTCAATGTCAAACTTACCAATTGAGCTAAAAGTTATGGTAAAATAAATTTTTTTTTTTTATTATAAACATTTACAACAATCAACTTTAAACGATTAACAAAATAGGTTAAATATGTCATTTTCCTTATTTTTAACTTATTAATAATCAAATTAATATTAAATATTATATCAAATCAGTATTAATTTAAAACAATTTTTTTTGTTCTTAATTATTTTTTTTTATATGTAAAAACTATTTTTTAATAATATTAAAACTTAGAAGTTATAGAAAAAGTCTAATTGCACATTTTAAAACATCGCGAAAAGTTGATTTAGAATAGTATATTTTTGTTTCTGATGGAAGTTCCTTGTAGTCCAGTGTATAAAACTTATAACTTTGTTAATTGTTATAACTTTATCAAAAATGACCAAATCAGTATATTTTTTTTTATTTAGATGCATGTCTTTATCTATCATTTGGTTTTTTTTATAAATCTAACCCTTTACCTGCCCACAAGAGGGATTCAAAATATTAACTTTTTTTTTTTTAGTTAAAGTAAATCATTAAAATTAATTCAGTTCTGGATATTTCAATAGTAGAATCTTTTTAAATATCAAAAATTACTTAGAAATGATTACTATGATTTCTATTTAAGTGTTCTATTACGATAAAAATGCAAAAAATAATGAGTTTTTCTGATAAATTTACAATAAATAATAATTATAAAACTTTCTGACTGCATATTAATCTTAAAAATAACATTGTTTTAATTCTCATAAAATTTTCTATTTAATGATTCATTCTAGTCAACGAAGGAGTAATTTTGCAGAATAGCAGAAAAAATTCCCAACAAACTTTTTTTTTTTTTGTTTTAATTAGGCAATTGGTGGATTATTCCAAAAGCAACATCAACTCTTATTTCTTTAATTATATCATGATTAGTAGTTCTTTGATTTTAAAATATAATATATGAATATATACTAATTATAATTATTAAATTTAGTATGAAATTGATATTTAATATTGTAATTTAAACGGAGAAATTATAAAAATAATAAAGAAGTTATATTTTGCTTTACTTTTACGTGTATAAAAATTTAAAGGGCTTGATACAATAATTTTCAATAAAAACTGTTTGTTACTATAAAAAAATGCACTGGACTACAAGGAACTTTCATCAGAAGCAAAAATATACTTTTCTAAATCAAATTTTCGCGTTGTTTTCAAATCTGCAAGTAGACTATTTCTATCACTTCTAATTTTTTATATTATTACTAATTATATATATAAAATAATAATTAAAAGAAAAAAAAATTTGTTTTCAAATTATTACTGATTTGATTTTTAATATGTTAAAAATAATCAGTCCAAATTTTCAATTTTAACCTATTTTTTTGGTTCTTTAAAGTTGATGAAAAATTTTTGATAAAGATTTATGAAAGTTTATAGTAAAATAAATTGAATATATTACCATAACTTTTAGCTCAATTACAAGTTTAAAATTGACATCTAGGCCTGTCAACAAAGGAAAAATTGCGGAAAAAATTTTGTTTTTTTAAAAGTTGAATTAAAATATGTATAATGACATACTAATAGTCCTCAAGATTGGAATTGAGCTTTTTTTTTAAATCCTCGCAAAAGTTCAAAAATATGAGCTTTCTTAATTTTCTCAAAAAAAAATATTTAACTTACAAAAAAAAGTTTCGCACAAAAGTTGTTTAAAAGACAATTATAAATAAAAATATAATCTTATATTTTTTCATTTAAACAAATATTTTTCGAGTTACATTACATTTAATATGAGTAATAAAATTTATATTCCATTTTTTTCATTTTACGGTTACTTTTTATCATGTTATACTTACATTAGACACAATGTTATAAATGCATATGTGTGTATGTGTGAGTTTATTTATTTATTGTATCATTAAAGTGTAGTGTATATTGAGATACAACCGATAGAGTAGGTAATTGATTTGACGCTATATTATTTAAACCCAACTAAACGCTAAATTGTACATTCCGAAATAACAATCATATTATGTCAATTGCCACCGGAATATCTGGTAATATTTTTCTTTTTCTTTGCCTTAATCCCAACTACTTGGGGTCGGGCACCCTTATCCTAAGCTTCCACTTGACACGATCTCCCACATCTTCTACGCTCACATCAGCTGTCCTCAAATCGCATTCAATAGCATCCCTCCATCTCTTTTTTGGTCTTCCTCTATCTCTTCTTCCTTCAACATTCATTTCTATAACTGTTCTTACAGCTTTCGATTCTTCTTTCCTCATACCATGACTAAACAATCTAAGTCTATTTTCTGTCATCTTATCCACGATTGACGCAACACCTATACTTCCTCTTATATGCTCGTTCCTTATCCTATCTTCTCTAGTCACTCCACTCATCCAACTAAGCATTCTCATCTCTGCTACACTTATTCTCTGCTCTACTTTCTTATCAACCGCCCAACACTATTAACCATACATCATAGCTGGCCTCACAATTTCATACTAAATTTAAAAACTATAATTAGTATTTATTCATATATTATATTTTAAAATCAAAGAACTACTAATCAGGATATAATTAAAGAAATAAGAGTTCATGTTGCTTTTAAAATATTTCACCAATTTCTCTAAAGGAAACACTATCTACAGATTTGCATCGAAGCGTTTCTTATGATAGTGATTTTAATCACTGTCAGATATCATCTATACTTATCTCATCTATGCCACGTCTATACTGTGCCTCGACCCCACTGTGCTACCGTTTTTTTTATATATGGGGCATATTACTGTCACCTTCCATTCTTCTGATATCTGTTCTTGTTGCCATATTTTCTTAATTAATTTCGTTAGCTTTTCTAAAAAATATTTTAATATTAAAAAACTTTGTATGATTCCTCCATCGTTTCGATCCTTTGTTGTTTGATTCCTACTCTGTTTTTCTCTCCTATTATAATCTTTCTGGTCCTATGAGGTATACTGTCATAAGCTCTTCCTTAGTTTGATTCTCTTTATTCTCAGTTGTATCATAACAGTTTATTACTGCGATGTTTCCCCATTTACACTTCAACTGTAGGAAACAAATTCATTCGCTAAGTGTTATGAAGTTTCTTACAAATGGTAATATGTTAATATGTTACTATAAACCCAACGCTATATTCATGGCTTTTTATCACAACTATAGAATATAGTTGCGTCACGAAGTTTGATGTTCCCTACATTCGTCCATCTGATCTCTTGTATGGCTACTATATCGCATAGATATCTCTTCAGTGCGGATAGAACTGTCGTCATTACTCCTGCTATGTACATCTTACGTATATTCCATGTCCCTAAACTAAAAGTTTGCAATTTATTTTTCATCCCAGGCTTTGCTGTTTTGTTTCGGAACCAAGATGTTTTTATGAATTGGGACCCAAGTTTTGAAGGATTTTTCCTCTCTCCTTACTGGTTACATTACTGGAACCAGCGAAGGGCTATTGCCACACCGGATGATGGGAGCGCCACTTTCCCTATGCCATTACCTACTAGAATTGTTCACCTTGGACTTTCTGCCAGTAGGAGCTTGGGACCCCGGGTTCGCTATGCCCGTACTACTAATTGCTTAGTACCCCCTCAGGGGAGAACTATTGTAACAAAAAAATATTTTAAGTATAAAGCACGTTTATTTAGTGTTAAATTAAACAATAAATACGATAATAATAAGACGATTACGTATTATTCTAGTTCATATCAATGAGCACCCATCTGATAAAATCCATGGGGGAAGAAACCATTGTTTTTAATAATCAAATATTTTTTTTTAAATATACTTTTGGAAATTATTTTTATCAATTAATTTTGCTGAATGTAATAATTATACAATTAAAATTAACATGTGTTTATAATCTAGAATTTCAGTGGAAAATGTTCCCACTTGTCCCAATGGGTGCCTATATTATATTCAATGACTTTAACTAATTAAACCTAATGGTCACTAAAAATTCTAAAAACTTTGAATTTCGTTTTAAAACGAAGAGATCTAACACAGGAAAAATTCATGTTAGAACTTCTCTAGAGAACGTATGTCAGTTTAATGAGATTTTTTTTGTGATCCGTCATTGAAAATCTTTTATATTTTGATTGTATTTGGAAATTTAAGAAGTCATAGTAATGCACAAAATATAAGAAACCATAGAAATACTCAAAAATTAAAGAAGCTACTGAAATGCTAAATAAAATAATATTTTATTTAATAAAGACATATTAAGTCTTTATTTTTACATTTCATTTAATTATAAAATCGTTTAAGTCATAGATATTTTAATGAATTGATTAGGAATGTGAAGTTATCATGACCTCATAAAATATGATGTTTAACCAAAGATAACATCGTTTATTTGCAACAGTGCATGTCTTAAAATTTTATAGATTGAGACTTTTCACTAATGTAATGTACTTTTCACAAAAGTAGTTTAGTTAGGTAGTTGAAATATACAGGGCGAATATTCACTTATTATGAAACATTTAATAAATCGAAAAATAAAAATAATATTAATTACTTTTTTATTAGTTCAATATTTTTCTAAATGTATTAATCATACAAAAAATTTTATGGTCATCCTTTATAGCTTATAAAGATGTCAACTTTGATTTCTCAAATGGTTAAACATACATAATTAAATAAATTATTTGTTTGATAATAATCCAATTAAGAAAATGACTGGTCAATAATAACTTTTGAACCAGTATATCGGAAGTTATTACCAGTTTAAATTAATGACTGGTGTTGAAGAGTGGGTGCTGCTATTTTTATAACTAGGCATTTCCCGGCCATACTATTCCTCTCTCGTAGATATAAATATGTCAATAACTTCAACCAAAAATAATTAACATCCCAATTAATGACCAAAATAAATATTTTATACTTTTTTTGTTTACCAAAAATTTATTTTTTATATTAACAAGATTTGATAGTTTAAAATAATGGTGTTATTTATTAACAGCAAGTAGGAAAATGTTTTTATTTCTAAAAAGTAACTTTGTATTTAATTAAATTTTAAAATTCAACTAAAATAAATACCAACTTATCTTAATGATTTAGTAGAAATATCTACTGCATTCATTGTAAAATTGTCACTAAATACTGCAGAGTACTTTAATTAAATATACATAGATAGACCTAAAACTGAAATCTTAATATTTAATATTTAAATTTTAGAACTTAATTTTTAATCCCCCAATTGGTGGGGGATTCTGTACATTTTATTTTTATTTCTCTATAGAATTAAATGTAAAAAGTAATTGAATTTCTATTCTTAATTAATTTAACTATTAATGACTTTAATATACTTTGACTCTATTCGAATTTATAAACTAATAGAACACTTATAAAAAAATCGTTTTCATAAAAGTCTTATTTTCTTTTTATTTGTACAAAAAATTAAGATTTAAATTGTTGATTTGTTAATGATACACAATGTAATAGCAATAAATTTTCACTCGATAACATCTTAGAATTTTACTTTAAATATCACATAAAAAAAAGTTTAATTTTTAAATAAGTTAATTTTGCCTTTTTACTTAAATTTCAGTAAATAAATAATTGTACATATAATACAAATAAAAAAATAACTGATTTATAAAACGGAAGGAATATCTTCATTCAAACATTTTTATTACAACATTTATTACAATTTAGCCACAAAGGCACATATAAAATCAATATGATCCAAATTCATCGATCCACAACTGGTATTTTTCGATGTCTTGATTTGTTACAGTCTTTCGACATCTTTGAATAGCTTCATTAAAATCTTGCACTGTGACAGGTAAATCAATGTCTGCGCGTTTAATATTTTTTATTTGGTCTGGTGTTTGCCCGACAATTTTTCGTCTCATTCCCATCATAGCAGCATCCCTACATACATTGGCAATATCTGATCCTGTATAACCTCTTAATTTATTAACCACGTATCGATAATCGAAAGAGTCATCAAGGTTTACACTTTCTAAGCATAGTTTAAGTAAAGCCATTCTTGATTCATCTAAAATTCAATTAATTAATACACAAATATGTCAAAAACTAGTTTTATATTAACACAGGTATATTAGAAAGGGAAGGCGAGAAGAGGCCGTTACTCAGTGGATTTTATCTTTTTAAAATTAAATTTCATTCAATTAATTAAGAGTTTTCAATTTTTCATTAATAAAATGCAAATTTCACCTTAGTTGTATAAAAAAATAGAAATGTATCAATAATTTTAAATTGTAAAATGTATAATTTTGTGATTTTTCCTCATATAATTTACATTATATTTATAAATTATGCAAATATGTTATGTACTAAAAATGATAGTCAGCAGTGGCGCGTATTTAGAAATTCATAATATGTAAATAAAATTTCTTTAGTTGACAACTACAGTAGTTGACAACCTGAATATTGATTTATTCTTTTAGATGATTATGAGTTAAGAAAAAAAATGTAAAAATTTTTATATCAGCATAGTAAGGACAATATACAATTGACTTTACAAATTATATACAAAATAATATATTTGTATATAATAAAAATTGATCACTTGTGGCTAATTACTCAAAATTCATACCCACTATAAGTGTGTATATACTTTTTATAACTACAATAATTAAACAACAAACCGTCTGGTAATGGTAAATATATTCTCTTTTCAAAACGTCTTCTAAATGCGTCATCGATATCCCATGGATGATTGGTGGCTGCTAGAACCATTATAGACGGACTATTATCATCCTCACTATAAACAATTTATAAAGTTCAAAGTTAAAACAATTTTAAATTAAATTAAATTAAATTCTATAAGTATTTTTTTTACTTAATGGAATTTAATCCATCCATATGTATCAGAAGCTCAGCTTTGAATCTTCTGGATGCTTCATGTTCACCTTCTGAGCCACGTAAAGAACATAGAGAATCTACTTCATCAATAAATATTGTAGATGGTGAATGTACCCTAGCCATTTCAAACAGGAGTCTAACTAGTTTTTCTGACTCTCCTCTGTATTTTGAAGTCATTGTTGAAGATGAAACATTGAAAAAAGTTGTTCCACATTCAGTAGCTACTGCTTTTGCTAGCATGGTTTTTCCAGTACCTGGCGGCCCAACCATTAAAACACCTTTCCATGGTCTTCGAATACCCTAAATGTACATTTATAAAAAACAAAAAATATTATTACTATTTTATATTTTAACCATAAATATATTTATAATTAAAACTTTTTTAAATGACAATAATAATAAATCGATATATAAAAATAAACAGTTATATAAGGCTAATTATAGATACACAAAATATTTTATACCTTAAAGAAATCTGGCATCAGCATTGGCAACACCATAGCTTCTTGCAATAAGGTTTTTGCGTGTTTTAATCCAGCTATTCGGTCCCATTGTATACTAGGATTTTTTTGTAAAATATCTTTTTCTATTATGTCTATTAAATGAGTTTCATAACCAATAAGTGATCTTGATTTTTGTGTTTGTTTTTTTTGTTCAGGAGGTCGAGCAGTTGCTGGAGCTTGGGGAAACAATGGCGGTATAACTGGTTTTGTTCTAAATCCACCAAGATGTGAACAACACCTTAAATAGTTAAAATTTTAGAGAAAAAAATATTAAAACAATATTATTTAATGATAATTGTATTGATTTTAATAATGTTTATTTTATAGATTTCTACCTATCTTTCCTTAACGCTATTGCAGGTAATAATTCTGGATCGCTTTTTCTGAGCGAAGCGGCCCATTTTTCTGACGGACCATTAGGTCTACGTTGTTGTTGATTTTCATCTGAAAATTGAAAACAAGACAAGTGCAATGAAGGTTTGGGATATATTTATATAAAATATTACAATAAACATAGTATTTTAAAATGTACTTAGATAATAATTGCTTTAATAATATAAATTTCAATCATTGTATACTCACTTACATGAAAGTTAACATCTCAGTTTAAGAATTTAAGTTTAAAATATAACAGGACTTATTTATCAAAATGCCACAAGTTTTAAAAAAATGTATTATACCAATAATCTATGTTTTACAGCAATACTATAGAAAAATATTCAACTTTAATTATATTTGTAAATTATAAAAATTAGTAGGTATGTAAAGATACCAATGGTTCTTTATGGAAAATTTAATATACTTTGTTAATTTCCCCAAAAAATGTTTCAAGAACTGGGAACACTCAGTTTCATCTAAATTGTATAAACGATTTTATTTTCATATGAAGGGCAAAAAATGTATAAGATTTCGACCCATTGTTGAATTTATATTAATTTTTTTAATTTACCATTATATGCTCTATTAATATTGGGTGTTGATTTGTGAATTGTTTGAGTTTGCTGAGACGATTGTCTATAAATGTGAGACCTTTTTGATGATTGGTTCGTCCGTCGAACTGGTTTTGAAAATGATGTAAATGTTGAAAAAGGATCTAACAACGAATCCATCATTCGTGCAACTTCTTGTTGAACAATCCATCCTGTTGGTGTATTATTGGATTGTCTATAGTAAGTAAAATACTGCATTATTTATAAAATTTAATAAATAGATATTTCTGTATAACATGTAAATAAGTATTTTTATTAAATATAATACTATAATAGTTTTATACTTTTTAAACAAAATATAAAATATCAATTTAAAATAATTTTTCGTACATGTATTGTAATTAAAATAATTATTTTTAGTTAAAAAAACTATTAATATATTAATTAGACGTCATGTTCTAGGATATAAGATCAATAAAGTGTACTTACTGAAAAAATGGATCATTTATAAAAGGGTTATTCTGTGTGTTAAACCAAGCCATCGCAATTAATTAAAATATATACGTATAAAATCATTCATTATAGTCAATAAACAATTTATATATTTTAAAAAACCTAGTTTTTTTATATAAATGATTTTATATAGAAATAACTATTCGTAACTAATGGGAAACAGCAGTGTAGTCATGGTAATCAAAGTTATACTCGCCCAAGTACTAAATATTATGTTTAACTAACAGGAAATATTCAGCAACCCTTGCTCAAAGTAATTTGACTGATTCTATAAATGTAACTCAATATTAGAAGCCTACAAGTTACCAATGTGCAAAAAATAATGAAAAAGTAGCTGATTTTACTTAAATCAAATAAATCTTTTGACAATTTTTCACCCCATGGGAACCGACCTCATGATAATTCATTTGTGATAAAATGGTTATAGGTATTTCTTTTGCAACTATACATTACTAAAAACCTGAAATTTATGGAGTAGTTTTTTTTAGATAAAAAGGTAACAAAAAATCATTTATGCCTGAAAAATTAGTCTTAATAAAACCACTAAAAATATTATTACTTGTTTAAATAATCAAAAATTAACGTATAAACTTACAAATTGAAAGGGTGCTAATTATGTCTACAAAATAATTATTAAGCTTTTTTTTTTATAAACTTTACTTAATCTAAAGATAAAAAAGTTAATTTCCTAGAAAATTATTTAAAAATCTTATTCAAATATGTCCTGAAATGGGTCAAAAATAGTCACGCAATTCAAACTCAGCAGAAAAACTGTTGGGTATAACTTTGGTTACATACTTTAAAAACTAAAAGAAATACCATAATCCACCCCACGCCTGTCTGTTATTTCATTGACCCCTGTTCCCTTACACGGATCGATAAATTAAATATATTTTCTTGTAGGCAAAACTAATCTAACCCTTTATAAAATAAACTCAGTGGTTTTAATGTTTTTTAAAACTACTTTGATAAGTGAGTAAATAATTTTTTATGTATTAACGATGTTATAAAATTTGAAATGAATTGACCAATTACAAAAGAATGCAAATCTAATAATAATATTGTTTTAGGTATACATTTTTCTAGAACGGGACTTATTTATTTTTAAAAATTGATCTTTAATAGTTGAACTAAAAGAAATTTTCCTTAAGTCAAATATTACTAAGGTCATTTATTGTCGAGAAAAGTGTCTAGAATTTTGTAAATCCAGGTACAATCAACCTTTTTAATACTCATTTTAGAGAAGAACATATTTGATATTTACCTGATTTTAATTTAACAATTAATTTTTCTGATAACCTTTTTTTATTAATATTTAAATATTTTCCTATATTAGTTGTAGAATCACGTGTTTTTAAGATTTGGGTCCACGCCTCTGCTTCCTGAGTTAGTTGTATAGGTAACTAAATATAAGAATAAAATAGGCAATGTATACTTTAAATGTGCCGGTAGCGCAAATTTTAGAACTCATTATGACTAATTTATCAACGGCAATTCTAATTTGTAGTTATGTATTTCTATTGTCTTTGTATATGTCCATATTTGCACTAAATTAAAACAAATATTGAAATAAATTTTCAATTAGTATAAATAATTTAGAACTTTTTTTTTTATCTTTCAGTTTAAAGAGTTTCCCGCCAAAAAATCGAAAAATGTATAAATGTATTATCATTTTCATAATCTTATATTAACTCTACAGTAACATGGTATACTTCAATTTAATTTATTTTATAAAACAAAATTTTTGATATAAAACAAAATTATACATGAAAAAAATTTAATGAAAATATTTTTCAATTGTTAAGAAATGAATGAAATAAGAATGATTAATTATTGGTAATTTTAGTTGTTACTTTAATAATAAAACTAAAAAGTTTTATAAAATATGTATTACTTAGGTATTAAACGAATTGGAAAAAACTTTAAGGTGCGGTAAAATGCGAAACTCCCTTATAATTTCTGATTATAATTGTCCACTACTCATTTCTCACTCTTAAATTAAATACTCAACAGTTTATCAGAAAAAATCATAAATTTTCTGTGGGTCAATTCACCTCAGCTTGTGGAGGATCGGATTTTGACAACGGGGAGGTTAGAAAGTGAAACACTTCTCATTGATAACTATTTAAATTAATATTATAGGTATAAAATTTAATCAATTTTGTACATTTTTTTTTTTTACTCATTACACTTTTTGATAAGTAATAAATGGGTAAATTTGGGTTAACATACCAAAGAAAAAAATAATTTTTAGTTGCGACCCTGGGTTTATGCAAATCATTTTGATAAGTAATAATTTATAAATCAGATATCGAAGGTTTCTGTTCATTCGGCGTAATGGATATGCAATTTTACTACACTCAGAAAATTATATCATAATGGAACAGTAATTTTAAGATTTAAGTTAATGAAAAATCTATTATAAGACATCTTATTATAATTGTAGTAAAAAAAAAAATTTTATAAATTCAATAATTTTAAGATAAGAATGTTTTAAAAAATTATGATTGTGTATTTATAAATGAAGAATAAATAGCACAGAGTTATTGGTAAAGCTATCAATTAGTTTTTTTTTTTTTTTTACATATTCTTAAGTATTAGATAAATATTCAGTTTTAAGAGATTTTAAAGGCTTTAGTGTATATTACAAAAAATAATATGTTCCTTTGGAATCGCCTATATGTGCTCTAGGTGTCTCAATATCAATGTTTTGAAAATATTAAAATTTATCAATTTATGTTAAAAAATAATAATTTTTCAAAAAAATGTAATATGCATTGAAGTCAATGGAAGGTTTTCAGTTGTATTAATTAATAGAAAAGTATCAAGTACTACAATAAGTCCTTTTTTTTGAAAATTATTGTAATGAATAAAAGTTATCAATGTGTAGTATTTTACACATTGATTTAATTTTTAAAAATTTGTTGTGTTAATAAATAGCTATAATACTTTTTTAGTAAAATGTTTTACATACCCAGATGGAAGTTTATATAAATGCCTTGTGGTGACGGGGACAGTCATTTGTATTTCGAATTCGACGTTTCGGTTACTTTCGGACATGACGCTGTTGTGACGACTGAGGGCATAATATTATACTCAGCGTATGAAACAGAAGGGAGGAGTGTTGTTCGGACATAGGTCATTGTCGCTATGCATAAATGTAGTTGCCCTCATATAACCGTACTAACAGAAGGGACATTGGCCTTAAAAATAATTATTTGGACATTTGAAAATGCAAATATTTACACCCGAAAGCTATCATGAGTTAAAATTATGGTTGATGGTATACAATCAATTATTGATATGGCATAAAACTCTTAATATATGAAAATAATCAGTGGTTTTTGATTTTTGTAACATTTAATAATAAGTGAACTAATAACAAAAAATATAATTTTTCTTACTTTATATTAATTATAGGAAGCCTAGTCAATTCTCCATTGTCGATAGAATGAAAATGAGAATGATTTTTTACAGGAGCAAAATTTTTTCGGTTGTAATTTTTCTGTTGTTCACCAGTTCCCATATTTTACGAAGTACATTCGAATATGTTACTAATGATTAAAATCATAATTGTGTAAACATCTAGTAGAACGAATATTAAAGAAACTAAACGGTAGAAATAACATTTTGTTACTGTCCTTTGGAGCAACGAACTTTTTTGAAGTGTAAAGGAAGGGAACTAGTAAATTATTAAAATATGATGTTAGAAAAACTATACTACTAAAACTAGAACAACGACCTAAATGATAGTATAAACTTTCAATGCACAACAAATGTCTGACATAAATGGAATATTTAGGTCTTAAAAAATTTTCCTAAAGAATGGTCGAAAGCATTTGGCATTTAACAAATTAATGTATAAATTAAAATAACATTTTTTAATTAAGTAAAAAATGATTTGTGAAATATTGTATGACTTCTTTTGCCATTTCTATATTATTTTAGTTAGACGATAAATTATTAAAAAAAAACCCAAAAATATATTATAGTTTGATGAGCAATTCTATTCTAAGTCGTAAATCTTTTTTGACTTTAATTATTTCGTCTCTTTAATTACAGTTTCTTTCACTTTTCTTAGACATTTTCAAATATTTTGTTCATTTGTAAGTTAGATTTTAATTTTTTTAAGAAATCGATGAAGGAGAAAAAAATTATTTCCGGTAATTTACTTACATGTTCTAATATTTAATCGTATAAAATATTTAAATATAATAACTATCTGCTTCAATGAACCCAAAAGTCAACCTTTCATTATAAAACAATTTTTATAAATATTTTTCTATACTTGGCTTGTTTTATTTACAAAACATTTTCTAGAGAAATTGTTATAGAACATTTAATTATATTGAGAACTTTCATAAAATCTTTCAATAAATATGCAATTTAGGGAAAATAGGGGATAATATAGGGGATAATATTAGTAACTGAATAATTAAAATTAATTAATTAGCCAAGTGATTATGTAAGATCTTGTTTGATAAGAATTATCTATTCTTATACTTCGTACTATCTGTACGGGTATGTGGGGAAAAATAAAAATTGCGGCTAAAAAATATCAAACTGTAATTATGAAATCAAAATATCTTGATTATACGTATAGTCTTATTAAAAAATGATATTTCTATTTAAATTATTATACCTATGTTACTATCGATTATCTTATTTTCCCTCCAATGTTGTCAACATTCTTGTTATCAAAATTACGAATTTTATCAATTACTGTATTTAACTTCAAAGGAAATTTGCTGAATTCAAGATATAGATTTAATACTTTAAATAACTCAATTCAATTTTAAATTTTGTTCCCATAAATTTAAAAATTAAAACTTAATTAAAAAAATCAGCTGGGCAAAATAAATTTTGCCTCAGTATGAAAAAATTATAAAGCTTAGCATAAATAATTTTTTAATTGTTATTTGTTATATGCGAGGTTATTAAAATAAAACTCGTTTATTATGATACTGAATAATATTCAATACTATTTCTATAATTTATATTAAAGATTAATAAAGTCAAATTTTAATTGTATATTAGATGATGAGAAATATGTCTGTAACATATCAGTAACTATGTCTTCTCTACTCGCCAGGATTAGAGTACATTGTTAATTAATGCTAAGGCTATTTGAGAAGATATTAACATTAAAGAATCTTCAAAAGAATATAATGTTACTTTTTCTACATTATAAAACTAGATAGTTACCTAAAGAAGCTGCATTGAAATCAATAAGACGTAAAAAAAATTTGGAAAAGACTATTAAATTTTATTAAAAATCATATTTTACTCATGAAAAAAAGTCATTTGGTTTGACTACCATAGACTTTGAATTATTATCATATTGATATGCTATCAAAAATAATTTAACCCAATATTTCAACAATGAAAAAGCAAAAGCTGAGAGTGATTGGATAATTTAAAAAAAAAGTCCAAAAATATCTCTTATGTAATTTTAGAAAACTTCAACAACTTTTAATAAGTACAACATTAATAAAATTAACATTAGATCTATTTAATAGCTGAGTGAGTTAATGGCTAAATATAGTTTGAGACCAAGTCGAATTTATGACTGGGATGACCACTGTACTAAACTAACCTTATAAATTAATGTTGCTTAAAGGAGACAAAATAAAAAAAAATATATATGTAAATAGTATTAATGTTCCGATCATATTTATGTTAATTTACTAATCAAAAATAAAATAAGAGTAATATTTGAGAAAAAATAATTTAAATTAAATAACAAAAAACAAGATTTCAAAATTCAGATCATTTTAACATCTGAAATGAACCAATAATTTAAAGTGATTTACCAGAAAATAACAACAATAAAAAACTACAGAATAAATTAAAAACAAAACCTTAAAAAATATTACCTCTAAAACTCCAATAAATGAACCAGCCAATAGAGTTAAAAAAAAATTTATTTTTAATATATTTAAAGAAATTATTTTATTTCTTTAAAATTAATACACATAACAAGAATTTGAATATTACTTTTGTATTCCAATTAAATTTTACCTATAGTTGACAAAATGAAACATTTTTTAAGATTACTAAAATAACTTATAATAATGACCAGTTTTACATAAATTTATTCCCAAAACCCAACATGCTATAGAGGGTAGTAGCTATTTTACACATGTTAGGGAGTCAAAGATGGTTCTTGGCCAGGTCAATGATAGACAGGACAGGTTTGTACCATACACTAGACATCCCCAATAAGAAAATCACAAAAAAAAAACTCGTAGGAACCTTAGGCAATGAACCCGGAACCCTATATACCGATTAAATAATGTTAACTTTATCACTCAATTATATAGACATGGCAATTCAAACCTTAATGTGTCATTAATTTTTCCCTCGATTTTCCTGTATACTATTTATGTGCATGGTGAACTGGAATTGTTAAATTCTTTAAAACAACTTTCTATTATACTGCAAATAGTTTTAATTACTTATTTCTACATTGGAAACTTTTTACTTAAATAACTTATTTCTTTTAAAGGTAATAAGTTTCACTAAACATGTATATATGTATTTTTTTTATTAAATGCATTAGTTTAAAATTATTGGTTATAACATCAATGATAAGATTGCCACATAGTTTTAGTATTTATTGTTAGCAAAAAAAGTCCAAATAATTGTAACAGCAATATTAAATAAATTACAAGTTATGGTTTCTTTTATTTTTACAGAATACACAATTTTACTGTTTTGAATATTTAACTTTAAATATCAGCTTTTTCAAATAAACTGAATTTTATAATTTACTATACAGCTAGTTTTTACAAACAAAAGATTTGAAAATATTATATGAATTCATTAAAAAAACGTGCAAAATTAATACTTTAACAAAAATAATTGATTACTTTTAAGTAGTATATGAAATAAAATAAAAATTCAATTATGTATTTCTTAAATATTTTGATTCTATAAAAATGGCAAGATGGTAAATATACCCAATGAGATACTTTTAACTGTTCTATACTAATAATTTTAAATTAAATGTTTTACTTGAAATTAACAAAGATGATTGGTGAACATGAGTAGTTTCAAATTTTCTTTTATAGGTTTCGTTGTGAGCATTCCTAATTCAAAAGCTAACACAGCCATTAATTAACTTTATATTCAAATAGGTTCTAATTGTCTTAATACTTAAGGTGAACAAAAAAATGTATACAAAATCTCACAAAAATATACAATTAAAAAATAATAGTTGGTTAATTGCCGAAAATCATATTTTAGGAAGAACCAAATTCATTCATCCACTTTTCATACTTGGCCAAATCATCTGAAGAGACACTTTTGTTACACTTTGCAATAGCCTCATTAAAATCTTGAAAAGACACAGGTAAATCAACTTCTTCTTTAGCCAATTGACGAATCTGATCAGGTTTTAAGCCTGCTATCTTACGGCGCATTGACATCATCGATGCATCCCTAGGATTATATTATTTGAATTTTTAAATACCTACATCACAAATATTTAAAACTATCTGTTATTTACCTGCAAACATTAGTGATATCAGCACCAGAATATCCTTTTAGTTTAGTGGCTATTTCTGATAAACTTACATCAGGCTCAATTTTAACATCTCGTAAATTTATTTTTAGAAGCGCTTCTCGACCAGCACCTTATGATTTTATAAAAAAAAAAATTAAACATATTTCATGGCATTAACGAATTATTTATTGCAAATGGCAATTTTACAAAATATTACTATGTATAAAATTCAAAAATGCCACAAAGATGTTTAAAATAAATTGACCACAATTTTTTCCATTGTTAAGCTAGTAAAAATATAGTACAGTTTTGTATGTTCAATCAACTTACTGTTTGGTAATGGAATGTATATACGTTTTTCCAGTCTTCTTCTAAGTGCTTCATCTATATCCCATGGGAAGTTAGTGGCAGCCAAAACCATAACAATGCGACTTGCACCTGATTCTTCTTCAGTAGCTGTATCACTTAGGCCATCCATTTGAACAAGAAGTTCAGATTTTACTCTTCTAGATGCTTCATGTTCAGATTCTGATCCTCTTCGAGAACACAGAGAGTCAATTTCATCAATAAAAATTGTTGAAGGCGCATGAAATCGAGCCTTTAATAAAAAAATGTAATTTATATAAATTTAAAAAAATTAATTAACTTATATTATATTACCATTTCAAATAACAGTCTAACAAGTTTTTCTGATTCTCCCCTATATTTTGATGTAAGAGTTGACGAAGAAACGTTAAAAAAGGTAGTTTTGCACTCTGTAGCGACAGCCTTGGCTAACATAGTCTTACCTGTACCAGGTGGCCCAACCATTAACACCCCTTTCCAAGGTCGTCGAATTCCCTTTAAAACAATATTAAATTTTATGTACAATAAAAAGAATTTTTGTTTAAATTTTTACCTTAAAAAAATCAGGCATCCACATAGGAAGTACTACTGCTTCTTCTAACAATCGTTTAGCTTCATCTAATTCAGCTATATCAGACCATCTAATATTGGGATTTTTTTGTACAATATCTCTTTCTACAAATTTTAACATCACATAATTTCTTTGATTTATAATAATCCACTAACTTTAAGAATACAAAAATACCTAGCATATCAACAAGGTCCTGATCATAAGCAGAACAATCAAATTTTTTTTCTTCTTGCTTCAATTCTTCTTTGTCTTCTTTGTCTTTTTCATTTTTATCACTCTGTAAATTTTATACTATTAGTACAAATCTAACTTTATAAAATTGAAAATGTAGTAAATTAGTATTATAAATTTAACCCTTAAATTATATATTTTGAAATATTAACATATTAGAAAAATTACCGATCCATTAGTATGCCCATTTGTATCTTTTTTTAAAGTTTTTTTCATATCTTCACTTTTTTTGGATATCTGAGATCTCGAAGTACTATTACGATTATTAGTTTGACCAACTTTTAAGTTTTTATTAGTGACACGTGAAGATTCACTACGGCGAGAATTTTTTTGAAGTTTGACTGGGGGTCCAGGTTTATGTTCTACAGGAGATGGTGGTGGCCACACATCAGGATCATTATTATTAGCAGGTGGCCATTCAAGTGAGCCACTACCATTTACAGGTTGACGTGTAGTTCCAAACCATGATACTCCATCAACAGGTGATATATCATTATTTCTATTGTTTCTATTCACTAAACACATATTTTATAATAATTAGAAAACTGAAANCCAGGTTTATGTTCTACAGGAGATGGTGGTGGCCACACATCAGGATCATTATTATTAGCAGGTGGCCATTCAAGTGAGCCACTACCATTTACAGGTTGACGTGTAGTTCCAAACCATGATACTCCATCAACAGGTGATATATCATTATTTCTATTGTTTCTATTCACTAAACACATATTTTATAATAATTAGAAAACTGAAAAAAACAACTAAGAATAAAATTAAATATAGGAATATTTAGAAAATAAACAATACAATAATTTTTAAATAAATATAGAAAAGAAATATTAAAGAAAATATTTATGTTAACTACATAACTATATATCATACATAAAAAAAAAAATAATAATTTCTTACGTGCATGACTAGATGTATTTAATGGCCTTTCATTTCTTTCAAATTCACTACTACGTACTTGCTTTAATTTGTTTAAAGTATTTGTATATGCTTTCAATTGATCATATTCATCTTGTATTTGTCGTTGAATCTATCACAATATATAAATCTTATACTAATAATTATTCAAATAGTAATTTTTATTTTAAGGATATAATATCAATAACTAACATTACGCCAAGACTCTCTTCTAGATTGATTATCAATTGTGGACAAAAAACGCCCTAATTGCAATTTAGCACCTTCATAGTACACTAAAGATGATTCATAATTGCCAGTCAAAGCCATCTCTCGAGCCATATTGATGCTTCCACGTATCTCATCAATCGATACTGCCATTACTGTCATCACAGCTGCAATGAAATTAAGATAAAATGGTGATTAATGATCAAGGATGCTCAGCTGAATAAGTAGTAACAGCTTGGATCGTTATTGTTAATGACTTATCAAGAACTACATTTTTCTATTTTAATAAAAAAATAAATTATACCTTAAATTAAGTATTTGGACCGCAGGAACAAATGAACTAAGCAAATCGTTTGAGTATTCCATGTGGAAGATTCTTTACTAGTGCCCATTTTTGAAAATAAATAATCTTGGAGAAAAAAGAAACATAATTCATAATAACATAAAATAGCAAAAAAAAAAAAATTATAATTTGGCTGCAAAGTTATACCAAACAAAGTGTTAGTCAGACAGTTATCACATTTAATAGAAGATTTCTTATTTACAAATTATATTTTGTAATTAAAACTGAACATAAGTTAATTAATATGATACTAGTGAACATTGTCACAATTGACTTGCAGTTTTGATTTCATTTTATGAAAAAACCACTGTTTATCAAAATCATATTTTTGAGGTATACTTTAGTATTTAAACTATATGATGTTGTAAACGATCTTATCTGTTATCTAGTAACCATCTTTGTATTTTACATAAAAAAGCGGGATTAATGAAATTATAAAAATAAAAAAAATCGTTAAGTATTGTAAACTAATAAAATTTAAAATATATTGTTAATATTTAAACTATTTAATACAAGTCATTACTAGTTATCAAAGTAATAGCTGAAAACGATTTTTTAATAATAATATATTTATTTATTACGGTAAGTTAATCATAATAAGTTATTTCGTGTAGTTTAGCATTTTGCTGCTTTAATTAACTTTAAGTTGTTTTATTTAAAATACTTACATTTATAAATATTTAATAATAAATACTAATTTCTAAATGTTTGAAGGAGCGAGGCATCCTAGCCTTACTCTAGTTGCGTTACTGCAACTATAGGGGGTTTTAGGGATTTAATACCCTCTGAAATTTTTAAGTGGATGTATATATACATATAGAAATATATAATATAACAAATTGTATGTATTAAAAGCAGTCCCTCTTAAAATTGATCATGAAAGCTTGCTCGCGCTAGTAGTTGACACCAACTCATAATAATATGGTAATTAATTGATTCTATTTTTCTTAATCAATTTTTGCTATTAAAAAATATATATATGTTGAAGTTCCCTTATGTTTTTGGGGTATTATCACTTAAAATTATATAATTTTCTTTTTATTTTGTGTTAGAATATTTTTATATAAATACTTTTTATAATAGTAAATATTAAAAAAGTAGCGTACAGTAGGGATCCTTCAAAGTGGAAATGAGACTTTTTTTTTAATTAGTATTGAGTGATATCTGATAGTGATTATAATAAGGACATAGATTTTAATCACTATCGAAAAACGCTTCAGTGTGTATTCGAAACAAATTAAAAAAAATAATATTTAACAAAAATACGTTTTTTGACTGAATAAATTACCGGAACGTTTTTTTTTTTCTAATCATATATTAAATGTATGTAATAAATGTATGGCTTAAATCATTTTATTAGCCTTTAAAAATATATATCCCTTATAAATTATTTTATGACTTATGCTAGAATTATCGATATAATCTAAAATTTGATTGTGAAATAAAAAGTACGTTATAAAATTTTTTAAAAATTTCGATAACATAAGAAATATTCCATATCACAATAAGTCATGCTTTTTTAATGAAACTATTCAAGTATTTTGTTAGTTGGCTGGAACTTTTTAACGAGATTTTTAACCTGTCTTCATCGTATTAATGTTACATTAATAATTTAACACTATATTTATTTATTTTATCGACATATATTGACTATTTATTGCATTTAAAACTATTACATTCTAATAACCATTGGAAATAAATTTCGAAACAATTATTTGTTCAGACAGCCATGTAAATAGTATATTTGTCAAAATAATATTTAATTTACTATTTACCGATAGGCCACTGACAAAGTATGTCTTCTAGTTATGCCTAGACACTGCTACAATAGAAAAAGTAGGAAATTTTACATTTTTTATCGTTTATAAAAGAACTATTTTTTTTATTATGCAAGGGAATTATTAAAATATGATATACTCCAATATTGATTGTACATTATATTAGATAACTTTAAAAATGTAGAATTTCATAGAAATTGTAAAATAATATACCACGTTATTGTTTATTACATAAGCGTTAATGTATAATTATGTTAGTCATACCATAATGTAATTAAGAAAGTAATACATTTTTAATTCCTTGAGCTAGTCAAATAGTTCCTAACATAGGTACTATATTTAGTTATTCGTTAATATTAAATTTCACGCTTAAATCTCATATTGTATTATATGGGAAAGAATCATTAAAATTTTAATTAAAGTTTATCTTGTCAATTTAGTAATTATGTAAATGTTTAGGACAGCAAATCCGTAAATGGAGAAATATTTTTATCTTTACCACGGATGTAAAATATATACAACTCTTAAGTTTTTAAATGATGAATTTATTAAAATATTGATTACTTAATGATGAGTAAGAAAATCGCAGAATAATCACGATATCATAAAATAATTTATATATTACTAAAAATGAATTCCATTAAAGTTATCATTAATTGTACCATATTTCCGCTTAAAACTAATGAACATTATTTAACTCTTTATACAAGTTCCTTAAAAAAATACTTCAGCAGTAATTCTGTTATAAAGTGCACCTTTTATTTGATAAAATAATGAATGGAGTAAATAAACATGTCGTTAAGTAGATAAAAATAACTAGAAAACTATGTAAACACGACAGCTATGTGTTACACTTAATATAGTTATATGATTTGCGCTATAAGTACCACGTTGTGATATCAAGGTCTGTTAATTGTATGTATTTTAAAACATCACACTTGAAGTCGTGAACCCTTCCTATTGAATCACTGCCTTATTTAGTAGGAATACAGTATTGACGTTTGTTATTGTTAAGGTTGTCAATGAGTTAGATAAATTCAACAGCAGCATAGCCGAGTTGTGCAATTTGTATTTATTGCAATTTAATTTTTCGAATAAAAACGAAAATATGTTTTTTCTCTGTCGTGGTACACTTAAAATTTGTTTGACTAAAAGGACCAAGTAAAATAGTTACCTGTTAACGTAGGAGTGACACTCCCGTATCACCTGGAGTAGGCTTGTAATGTAACAGAATATGGTGCGGTGGCGTTGGCGGTCGCCGGACGGTAAAAGAAATGCGCCAGTCTGCTTATAATTGTAATTAAATGTACGTAAACTGTGTTCGCAACCGGTCCGCAATACAAAACGGTCAATAGACGTCCGTCGTCAACGCAACTCGAGACTCGATTAAGACGACGATGCTGTGAGGCATTAGCCAAACGTTTCGTTAAAAAAATAGTAATAATACAGGAATAAAACTAAAAGTCCCCCACGATGAGCTTGCTATGTACACATGACTTAATGGCACGATAATATTTTGGCCCTTGGGCTTGCACTGCCTCGAATATAACAAACGTGGGTACGCGTAAAAATAATGTTTTATTTAAATTAAATTTGTTTTTGTAGTATGTGTCATTGAAAAGATAGCCGAATGAACATTAAAACGCATTTTCTATCTAATGTCACAAGAATCATATGTAATATTTGTTTTTAAAAGTCAAAAACAAAAACTTGACTAGTAAAACAAAAACTGTTTTTATCATTACAGTTACTGGTCGACTTGTTTGAAATAAAGACCTATATCATTTTTGACATTATGTTCTTATCCACAAAGCACACCATTCGTAATCCGGTAGTAATGTTTATTCACTTAACACGTTACTGTTATTTTAATATTTAAATAACAACTTAATGTTTTTATGCAATTGCCAGTATAATTGATTCGTACTATCATATCAACATAATAGTTCTAATTGAATAAAATAATAAAACAATGGTACGGTAAATTGAACGGTGGCCGTTCTAACTGACATGCGTTTTAATTTCTATGCATTGGACACCATATCCCATGCCATAATAGGATGTTTGTTCACTTACATACAAGGCTGATGTTATGCGGCATAGAGTCCGGTGTTGGGATTACCTTCTCAATGACATGTGCTTATTGTTGTGTCATGCGTTAAGTTTTTTCTAGTTTTTATCGATAAAAAATGTATTGATTTGACCGCAACTGGTTAAATATTCTAAAATTAAATTTGAGTAAGGTATACTACTTATTTGCATTTATTATTGGTCAGTTCATTTTTTTCGTAATCTTTTATGGCGATTTTTTATTTATTCAATAGTTTTATATTAGTTTTGAGTTCAACTTATGTTTAACGTAATGGTTAAAAATATTTTAATAATTGTCATTTCAAAGACAAAAAATATTGTAAAATACACTAAATGCATTTATAACTCTAAGATTACATATTTTCTAAAATTGTAATAAATATATTTATTTTGACTTTTGATTTTTAACTATGGCTGTAAACGTAGTGGTCGTTAACATGTTTGCGTTATATAAAGTAACACAATTACAAAATATGATTTACAAGAATATTTATGACAAAATTTTAATATTTTTTTAACATTTCATAATAATCAAATAATTTTTTGTACTCAGTAGATAAACATTACTTTGAAGTTAGCAAATATTTTTTTTTATACCGATTATTAAAGCATAAGTATGCAAGGCAATGAATTGTTTATATTATAAAATTATAACAAGGTACATCAAACGTTTTAACCTTATAAGCTAACCCTTCCTTCATTTCTGTCATGAATTATACTATTAGTCACTAAAGTACTGCAATACTTTGAATCGAAATCTAGCGTAATCATAAAGATGATCGAATATAGTAGATTATATTTATTTATTTAGAATAATTTTCATTTGTCAAGGTAAATCGTTTTAATGATTTAGCATACCTCAAGTGAAAAATATTTTTTTGATAAACGTACCTTTAGACGTTGAAAATATCTATTAGTAACAAATTGGAGGATTTTTGGTAGGTGTAGAATGTTAAAGATGTTCAAGGATAAATTGAATTGCTCCCATACAAATGTCTAGGAATAGCAATTTTAATATTATGTAAAATATAACAAAAAATATTTTCAAAGTATTTACTTGTTTATATTTTAATAAACGAATTTAAGTTGTATGTTGAGTATAAATATATATTACACCTCGATGTAAACATTTTAAGTTTTTGCTTATCTTAAGTTTTAAAAAATACAATAATAAGCTATAGTGAATTATTCTTTTAAATCTCTTTAGTCTAATACTTCTCTAGTCACCAATCTATATGTATATCAAAAGATAAGGGTAAGGGTAAACTTAAGGGAATATTTAACAAAATTGAAAATAACACTATACTTAGCTTTTTCATTAACAATAAAATTTTAAAAAAATTGTATAAAATTAGTTGGTATTTCTAATTTTTCTTAAAAAATATTGAACTAATATTACGGACATTTTAAAAATGTTTAATTTTCATTCGCCGCGCTAATCTATACTAATTAGTAACCAATAGCGTGGCTTGACCTCTTAAAGTTACCTCAACTGACCTAATAGATTTGGTTGCCTCATTATACAAATTGACATCGCTATGTCCCTGCTTGCGATTTTGACCTATTAGAACAAATTACCAAAAGGATACATAATCTTTTTACTTTTCGGTATTTTTAAAAAACTCTTTTTGACTAAATTTTATTAATACATTATGAACATCATACCTAAACATAAATCATTCAAAAGTAGATAGAGTAATATTTATCACCTATTGATAAAATATAATCGATTTTTACCAATTATACAGTTTTTAATAAAAGCAACAATTAAATTCAGTATTATAGTATTTTTCAATTTTATTTAATAAAATTAAGAAATACTCATTCATGCGTATCTCAGGGGGACGAATTAAATTTTTTTACTCTGGTAAGCAGCATGCTAGAAAGTAAAATGACGACCAAAGAATTAAGTCTTTAAATTCATATTTCGTAAATATCGGATTAAAAAAACTAAAAATGGATAGCTCAGTTCGAGGAGGCTATTGAATCTTTTGTTTCATTTGAATATGTTTTGTGAAAGATTGTATTACTACTACCCTTTTATTTTGAGCATAGATAAACGTTTGATCCCGAGAAGTAAATACGAAAAATTTAGTTTTTTTTTATAAAATTCAAAAACATTAAGAAGAGATTTTACTACCAAATATTTTTTTTATATCTACTTTATAAAATAGCTATCTTGAACTATTAAAAACATTTTTGTTATTTTTTAAAATAAAATAATATACATGATTTTTATGATATTACTATAGTTTTGAAGTCCAATGAATTTTTTAAAAAGAAAGTAACGAAAAATATTTAGTAAATTAAAAGTTATATGATTTATTATAATATGGTGGGACACCCTGTATTGACGTATTTGAAAAAATCGCAAGAAGTTGTAAATATAAATACTACAATTCAAGCGTAGGTTAAAATTTAAACCATTCAAAAGTTACACACCTATATTTTATGAATCACTAGTTAACAGAAAATCATAATTAATAATTATGGCTTTGTAAAAACCTACGCGTGCCTACGGATTAATACGTGTTATCTTTACTATTATAGTATATGGCACAGATGATATTGAAATAAGGTCTACTCAAAATAATAATTATGTTAAATACTTATAGACACAAATAATATTTAAGATACCGAATGATAAATAGTAAGTGTATATCAACGTTCCATTTCTAAATAGTTTTAAGTAGCTTATCTTAACATTTTATGAGCACTTTATTTATTTAAATATAAATTGAAGTAATTTTAAACTTGTTAATTTATATAACTAGTTTTCATTTTTCATCAAAAAATAAGACAATATTATAATGACCCTGCTACTCCAATTATTTTTATATTTGCTTATCACACCCTTGCTCTTGCCAGCCACTAAAGTTATATAGTAGTTATAGTAAATATTTGCCAATGAGGGGCTAAAGGAGATATAGTAACCTTGACTACACCAATGATATTATTTATATCGAAAAACGTACAATGTAATTTATTTATCATAAACCGCTTAATTAATTGAAAAATAAAAAATAATGATAATTTTTTTGTATAAATATAATATTGGAAAACAAATTTTTTATTTCTTTTAGTTGCATATATTTTTTTAGTTAATTAATTTCTTCTTAGAATCATTCCTTATGACTTAAAGGAAGTCAATTTTATTTTTTTAGTAGCAACATATATAATTAACTAGTTTATTTAATAAATATTGATCTAATAATAAAAATTACTGGTCAATAAAAACTTTTGAAATAGTATTTTGGAAGTTAATAACATTTTATGGTGAGGGCTAGAGGTGAGACTGCAGTTGTTATTATTTTTATTCACCAGTTATGTCCCAGATTTACTCTTCCGCCCCTCCCCCTAATTATAAAAATGTCGATAACTTCCGAAATACTTGTCCAAAAGTTGTTATCAGTCTGTGATTTTTATCATTAATTCATTATTTATCAAACAAACTAATTAATTGTTTATGTTGCCACAAGAAAAATAAAATTGACATACTTATTAATATTGAACACAAAAAATACTTTATGATTGATAAATTTAAAAAACATGTACCAAAGAAACCTAAAATGAATTTAAATAATAAAAAAAGACCATCAACGATCTTTAAGATAGGTTTGATGAAAAATGTTTGATAATCTCTATTTTTAATTTTGAGAGGCTTAGAATTACTAAGCACTTATCTGTTGTCAATGATAGTTTAATATATTAATTCATTTAAAAATTTACATGGTAAGAAATTGCAAAACAATTGGAAAATTCTTAGTATTTAAATGTATATTTCCGATTAAAAATAAATGAAAATCACAAATTTATAATTTTTTAATCTATAATTAATTTTGAATGGCTAAAATAGTATTTGCATATTATTAATTGTAAACTAATTTTCAATTATTTTAAATATACTATGTTTCACGTTACCGTAGTAATAACACTTCATTAAATTTTGTTTTTTTAAATAATATGACTTAAGTACAAGCTTTATTAAGTGAATTCTTGATAGTAAATTTTTTTTTTTAAGTTGAAGAAATGGACACTGATTTATTACTTGGATCGCCGAATAATTGTAGTGTACGATTATACCATGAACACTTTGAGGTCACTATTAATATTTTATTAGGTAGTAGAATATTCAGAATTTAATCACAGGGTCTTATTTGATAGAATATTTCATATCCACACAAAATAAAAGTAAATTGTATCTCAGCTATCTATTTTATCTTTTTTGTTAATATTTCTATCCACGTACTATAGTTGAAATCATTTTTATTTTATATGTTAAATCATAAAAAATACTAATTGTAAAATTAATATCAATTATTTTATTAGGTAATTATAGATTTGAGATCAGCTTTCTCAACTTTCTTTGCCAGTTCAGTAAATGTTACGTACTATGATATGGGTATTGTAGTAATACTACAAAAAGAAGAATACACACAAACACAAGAAACTGAGTGTTTGACCGAAAAACTCACTAAAAAAACTATCACCGTAACGATACCTTCACCTAGAGCTATTAAATCAGATCCTAGAAATACTATAAGAGTTTCGCCAGAAGGATTTTTGGAAATTGCAGTAGCGTGGAAATAAAATCTTTAGCTATGTTTAAAAATTATAACACAAAATTAATAATTTAAATCTTTTTAATCGTTTTATTAGTGACACAAATTCAAAAAAAGCTTTTGAGAAAAAAATTTTAGTTTATAATATAAAAATCTAGAAAAAATTGATACCAAATATGTTTATGTTGTAGGGTTTTTTCCAAATTATTCAATACTTAATTGTGTCAATTTGATTGAACAGATTATAGATATTTATTATATATATTTGTATCTATCAAATAGTTACGAAAATAGGTTCTATTCTATAGTCGTAATTTTATATGATGAAAATTAATTATTATAAGTTTATTAACAATAACAATATTACAATGAAATTAATACCATACATGGTAAATCGATTCAAAATTGTAATTTTGATTATAATCTATATGCTATGGGCAACGAGTAAGGCAGTAACACAAAAATATTCAACTAGGAGATTATGAAATATTTGAATTTAGGTTTTACTTTTATGTTAATAAAATTTATCAGAATATCGAGAATTTGGATTGAATCGGAATTAAACTACTTAGAACATTGATAAACATATAGCGTGTAATCAAAGAGTGGCACTTTATTTTTTAATCTCCTGAAAAGTTAGAAAAAGTGAGCTACTGCTTTATTTGTTATAAAAGAAACGATTATATTCTATTACATAGGTATTAAGATAGCTTACAGAGCATTGGAAATATAAGTTATTATCATGTCTGTTAAACACGATATTCCGATGCTCAACATTTAAGGATTACACTCTTACATTAAAACCTTAAACATGACGGCTCGAGAGACAAATGAGTTTCCATTCTGGCATAAAAAAATCTTCTTAGTTTATTTTATATTATTACATCTATTAATAGTTATAATACAGTAACCGAGTGAAATAACATCGTTGCACTGGCACGCTCAGCACACCCCATATGCATCAACGACGCACACTCGGCTTCTTCGCAACCAAACAAATGTGTATACACAAGCCTTGCAGTTAAAATATTGTTAACATCATAGCGGGTCGTTTGGTGATCGAATCCGATAAATTATCACGACAATCCGTATCGATATGGTGGATATCAATCCTCTGCTGACGTCCACGTGGAAAATTATGTGACACGCTACTGGCAGAATAGACAAATGTACTTTTTACACTCTTTAGCTGTATTCGTATTACAAAAGGTGTTTTAGTAAGTAACAAAAAATGTTCTATTTTACAATAAACAACTGTAGTAACTTTGAACACTTAATATAAAATTATTAGTTCAACATTAAATTTTTCATTAGACATTTCTTTGGTATAATCTCGAGGTCGAACACGAATATCGCAGAAATAGTTTTATTTGTTGCGTGATGAAGTCTTATAGACAAATAATTGTAATAGTCGAAATGCACGAAAACGTCTCTACGGACATTGATTACCATTTTTATTACACATGAACTTTTTATTTATTATTTTTAGTAATAATTTACTGGTTAATTTCTTTGATTTTGTTTAAGCTTGTAGATGGAAATAATAATACACAATAGTTTAATATAAAAATAACAGCCCCTTTAAATGATACGATATCGGCTTAAAAAAAATACTTGTCTATCAATAGAAAAAAGATAGAATTGATGGATTAACCTATAAGACTTTTGAATTCGTGTTGCGCGTACATTAACCTCGTGGAAGCCTAACACTTGGTAACAGACTTTACCGTTGTGTACTTTATTCATGTAAACTATTTATATACCATGGAAGTTGAAAATCTAACATTTTATATTTTTATTGTTTAACAATTATAATTTAAATGTCACAAAATAAACTAGTAAATAGTAAAAATATCGATAGAAGTAATAATATAGAGTTTAAAATCGTGTCGTAGAATTTTTTACCCTCTTTAATGGCCTCGCGCATACATTATAATATGTCCGTGACTTGTCCGGTTATGACTAAAAACTTAAAGTAACAGGTCATTGGGTCAATCAATGCAGTATCGTATGGTTTAGCTTAGAGTATTGTACTAAAATGTAAAAAAGAACGCGAAGAGTTATTTTATTGTCTTCATTTTAGTTTCTTAGATTTATATTATTTTAAATTACTTTCGTAATCATATTTTATACTAGACACGTTTTTCTGAGTTTCCAGCAATTTTATAAATACACTGTTGTTTTATCTACACATCTGGACGACTCTTCCTGTCTCGTTTACGAACAATTGGAATAAAAATAAAATCCACTAAAATTTAATACAAGAAAAAATTATTATTAAGAGAATTATACAGAATCAGGAAATTAACATACAATATTAAAATCAAGTTATTAACATTAAATTCAAATGTGTTTATTATAGAAAACTATGGATAATTTTGATAGTGCATCTTTTTCTACTAAAAACCTTCATCGATGTGTTTCTTTAGAAAGGTAATATGAATCTTAACTTATATAATTTACATTAAATGCACAAGTTTTTTTCTAATTATTAAATTTTTTGTAGTGGTTGGGTATTAGCGAATAAAACTTGGAAAATGTCATTAGATTTATCTAAATTTTCTATTCGGACATTTTCAACACCTGATCTTGTGATGAGAAGGCAAGCTCTCAAAAATGACTTTAGAAATAATGAAAACAGTGATGAACAATTTTCGTTAAATAAATCGTGTCAAACCGATGTACTAGGGCTAGATAAGTATTTGTATAGACCAGAAAATGATGTATTTGGTGGAAAATTTACAATAAAACAAAAAAAAAAATTCTCTAAACGACCAAAAGTCCGTTCAATTGCTATTCATTCTGAAAAGCGTCGTCTATCATTCACGGCATTTAAAGGTTGTCAAAAAATCAAACAAGTTTATAAAAGAAAAATATCACTACCTTTTAATTCGCATACAAATAAAGAAAATAGTGTATTACCAAAATTGTGGTCGGGTAAAGCAGAATTAGTTAGTTTACCAATTAAAACAGAAAAAGACATTAAATTACCAATAATATCAACAAAAAATATAAAACGGACAATAGACTGCGAAACTGTAACTAAAGCAGTTAAGTTCAATACAAGAAGAACCAAATCTGCAGGTGAAGAAATACTAGTTAAGAGATTTGTTGATGATCGAGAGTGTTTTGCACCAGATATTATTTCTTCTGAAAAAGGGGAAAAATTATCAGAATATGATTTTCGATCGTCTGTGGATTCCAACGATACCGCCAACACTGCAATGGATATGTCATCATTAAAATCTCAGCAGAGTGTGGATAACAGAAATGCTGAAACAAGTAGAGAAACTCTATCAGCCAGTAATACTAGAAATGCATCAACATCTACCACATTTCCTATAGGACCTAATTTTCCAATAGTATTTAACTGTGAAAGTGTACTACGGCATCCTGTAAACGGTGGTTATATTTCTCATACCGAAAGTCATAGATTTAGTATTCATTATGTGCCTTTAATTGATGATGAGCCAACAGATTCAGTGACAATATCTGAAGGATCATTATTAACTTATATTGCAAAAGATTCCTATAATGGTGAAAGAAAATCCGATTCAATATCGATAATACCAAATAGATCCGAAAAATCATTCATGTCTAAAAGCGAATCAGCTATTAATAAACGTCATTCGGCAGTTGAACACGATTTGAATTCTGATTTAAGTAAAAAGTTTTCAATGGAAGATTTGGCCATTGTAAGATTCGGTAATGAAGCAACTGTTAAATGTAACGAAAAATCACCTATTCACTCTATGACTGATGAAGAACCTTATAACATTGAACATTTCAACAAACAGGCGAGTAATAAAATTTCTTCCCAAATGGCATCAAAAGAAATAAATAAATGTATGAATTTAAATTCCTTTGAAGAATTTAATACTAGTCTTCTAATACCAGATATTAATATTAATCTTATAAACAATTGTGATGAAAAACAAATAGAATCAAATGTACCAATGAACACGCACACAGAAATATCGATACAATCTCACAACATTCGATCCGAAAGTGAAGGAAAACAATGTGATAATGATAGAAGTACTTTTAACGAGACTTATTCATGTGATAATAGTAAATTTAAAAATGATAAATATTGCTCAAATCTAATAACTGATCAATTAAATGAAAATGCTCAGCTCTCGCCATTACTGTTTATTGAATCAGAAAAATATGATAAAGATATTGAAGTAGAACATTTAGGCATTAATAAATCAAAGAGTTCTCTAGTTCAAAGTAACTGTAACGCCTTAGAAGTTCCACAAAACAATTTTGACGAAAAAATACCTACTGAATTACTTGTTTCTTCAGTAAACAAAAAAACAAACACGAATTTTGTATCTAAAGAAGTTATAATAAACAATGACAATCATACATTTCAATCGATTTCGAGAAAATCTACTGAAGATCTTAATAAAATTAATATAAACGAATGCAAATCGAACATAGTTGAGCAATTAACATTTAATAGTAACTATTTTAACAACTACAAGATTGATCAACAAGAAAATAAGAATGAAATTGATGAAAAAAATATGGAGTCTGATGACTTAAATAGTAGTGTAAATATTTTGAATAAACTTATAACTAGTTCCTCCGATTTTTTAGCACTACCAAATTCAGAAAACAAACAGCTTAATTCAGAAAATTCTAAAGACTATGTAAATGCACATAAACAGACACAACTTGAAGTTATGAATGCACCACAATTATTGGTGGATATGCATAATAGTGAATCCAATAATGTACTATCAGTTAAAGAAAAATTTATACAAAATTCACATAAACTAGACGATAGTCAAGTTGCTCCTTACCAAACAATTTCGTCAAATGTTTTCTTCAACTCGGCTCATTTAAAAAAAAATGATTCGATAATAAACCAAGTTAATGATATAACAGCTCAGATGAATAATTTAAGCAGTTCTAATGAAATTATTCCATGCGAAATAAAAAAACACATTTCTTCAAAGACTAATAGCAATGATAATACCGAACACGCCACAAAAAATGATAATAAAACTGATAATGAACAAAACGAGAAATTAAATTGCGTTGATAATGAACACACGGGTGGTAAGTACACAAACAACAGTGACATATTGCATTATCCAGATTTAAAACAGCCAAAGAATATACAATCAACACAAGTCTCCAAAGAGTATGTTGGTGGATCCCTTTTAGGAGACATTTTTCGGGAAAAAAATTGTTACTCTGATTGTATCTCTCCAAATAAAAATTATTTTGATTTTTATGAAAATAAAACAATCGAACAAACTTTTTCAGACGTACCAGAAAAAGCTAATAGCCATTGTGGTTATTATTATAGCTATAATTTGACAAATATAAAAAATCAAGATATTGATGATTGTACCGTTTTTGGAAATGAAATTGATCAGAACCCATTAAAAACTACAAAGCATAATTTTTCGATTATGCCACCTTGTTGTTTTCAACAAGATAAAAACTGTAGGAACGAAAAAAATTCTGATAGTGATGAGAGTTTAACTGATAGTTTAGAAGATTATAAAAATGAAAACTCAGCGATGTCATATTTTCTTACATTAAACGGACAACAATCTGCTGTTTCTTTTACAATGAATATGCCAGGAACACTTAAATCCCGTTTAAATCGACGGAAAAGTAAACTAAAAAAACATTTACATTTATTTACAATAAGGAAAAAAGTTCCCACTCGCGTACGTGTTCGACACAAAAGTTGTCAAACATTATGTACAGCTGAAAAGGGAGTACAAGTACAGCACAATAATACAGCTAATGAAAAAAAAAATGTTGATGATCATTTAGTATTAGAAACATTGCTCGCAAATATCGAGAATCATCACAAAATTTCTGAAAGCCAAATTCGTGTTATCAATGGTCATAAAATGGTATCTGAAAGTAACCAAACAGAAGATTTTTCGCAGCTAAAATCATTACAAGGAACATCAGTAGGACTAATTGAAAAGATGGAACCAATTAAGCAAAAATTAAACCATTTATCATCAGAAAAAAACTTTAGTGGTAATAATTCGATGTTAACGGTTGGAATGTTCAAACAAAAGAAACACAAAGGTAAAGAGGCTTTAGAAGGAACTAAAAATGATCGACTTCTTACATTATCAAAAGGTTGGATAAATTTTTATACGCTTCGAACCGAAAGTACAGATACAGATACGCATGGTAATATATATATATATGATTTGTTTATATAATTATAAATTAACCACTGGCTTTCATATCATAAAGAATTAAATAAAAATGTATAGTCATCATTGAATTGGAATACAAAAAGCAGTTATAATTTACTAGTGAGCTCTTAAAATATAACAGGGGAATTACAGTTCATAAAATATTGTAATTTCGGTCTTGATAAATTTATATATTTTTGGAAAAGTATGAATATATAAAATATCTCTGAGTAATTGGATTAGTGGTGTTCTTAAATTGCTTAAATAAATGAAAGATTATTTCTTTAAATTTCATTAAACTTAATATTATTTATCATCTAGGGATTGAGATCTTATTCCCTCCTGAGAATACGTTTAATAATTATTAATGATATTATATATATATTTAATATAATATTAATATAATCATATTAATAATTATAATCATTAATATGTCAAATAATAAAAATTTTAAAAATGTTTAGAAGACGGTTACGATTATGATGAACTAGATGTCAAAGAAGAAAATATTGATCAACAATTTTCTCTTCATGTAGAAGCTACCCCTGAACCAATAAATTTACCGATAGTTCATTTTCCTAAAAAAAATGTATTACATGTTGCAAGCAAACGCTCTTCAACAAAACATTTACCAAAAATAGTACAGCCGTCAAGATACAATCATCAATATGTAACCTACTCTGGTAGATTTATTAATTCTATAATAATTACTCATTTCTAATAATTATTATTAGAAATGAGTAAAATATTAAATCCAAGTTTTGCACTACGTAAATTATACCAAAATATTTATGTTTTGACATAAGTTAACAAGTTGCTATAACAATATATATTACATAAATAAACCGCATTAGTAAATAGTACATCATGCATAAAACCAAAATTTATCTGCTTTTAATTTTTTAATAGAATTTAAAATTTTGTTTGCACTTTTTTTTACATAGTTCAAACTTAAAATTATTCACGTCACATCACGAGGGACTATTTAACATATTTTGTCTTAATAATATTTAAATAATTATTATTTAGAAAAATACTTTGGAGGGGAGATCAGATTCTATGGACTTTTTGAATACGGACCAGTACGTAATAATAATTATGGGATGTTTTCAGTAATCATTGAAATAAATATAGAATTATTTTAAAGACTAATCTTGGGAGTGGACAGGATATTTATTCAAGATGTTATAATAAATCTATGGCTATCTTTTAAAAATTAAATATGAAAATTAAAGTAATTATTAATAAAACTTTTTTTAAATTTCAATGGTGTTTTAAATAAATCGAAATTTTTTATGTTCAAAAAACATTCTTCCCGTAGAAATTTACTTAAAATTTTGATAAACTATAGAAATCATTTTTCACATAACAATTTACAAAAAATCTCAGTGACATTTTTTGTGACTTTATTGGCTTTTGAATATAAATCAAAAAAATATTTATTAATCATAGACACTACAAAAGTGTAAGTTATGCATTGATACTTAAAAAAAACACTCTTTAATCAAGGATCTGAAACATAGAAAATTTTTTATTTTTGTTTAAAGAAAATGAAACGAATTTAAAAAGTATGTTTAGTTCTTAGAACAAGATTATTAAATCGATGTCTAAAAAAAATATTTCCGAGAACTAAATAATAAAATCTAGTGTCTATATGAAATATAGATTATTTCATTAAATCTGTGGTTCATGATGATGGTACATTGATTAAAGTTATAACTAATTCCCCACCACTAAAAATAATTCTGATTTCATCACTGCCTATGAACTAAACTGAACAATTTTAATTAAAAATATTAAAATATGGCTTATACGTTCCTTTGATAACACGAGTAGGTAAATTTTAATTAATAATTGATGATAAATATAGATCCAACAGCAAATGAATGGTATGTAAGCGTAAACGGACCAAATAATATGGAAATGAAAGTATCACTAATACCAGATAAACAAGACCTAGAATCTTCTGACAATTTTAATGGTAAATATAGAAGCTAAGATTTTCAAAAAGTTTGTCGAGTAATTATTAAATTTTAGAAATCAATAAAATTGAAATTAGTCAAAAAACAATACAAAGAAAGAATAACTATTTAAATAAACCATATAAAAATGTAAAGATTTCACAATCAACGGTAAAATATAACAAAAAGTTTTTTTTTAATTTAAACTAAGTATAATTATTACTGTCATAGCGCCATGGTATATATTCTCCTAGTGTATCTAGAGCCGAAACTACTTTGTCAGCTGAAAGCAAATACATGGAAACCATAGACACACACTTATTAATTCATAAAGCTCGCAGGTAACACAATTTACACAGAAAGCAGTTCAATTTTTTAAGATTCTTTTGGAACAGGCGGTTAAGTCAAGAATGGGATAAAAACATTCAAAGTAAAGACGGATCCGAGTCAGTTCAATTGGTTGTAACTGGCGATTCTGTAGCAAATAAATGTTCACAAAAACCAGTAAATCGAGGATATCAACAATGCTCATTTAAACGACAATCACAAAGAGCTTTAAAAAAATTTTCGCATGACCATAATTGTTAATTATTTTTACAATTTACTCCTAATAATTTATTATTTTTAACTCAAATTATTTATTCTATTTATATTAAATTTAAAATTTTTTCTAAGAATAGTTACTAAATAATTTGTATTATCTTAATTTATTTTTACCGAGTTTACAAATGTTAATAGTGATTTTATTTTTGTAGAATTATACAATTTCATGGTAATATAATAAAAAAAATGTATGTACAATTTTCAACTTGGGTAAAACATTATTATGTAATTTACATAATTTTTGTTTCTTAAGACACAGAGAGTTACTGTTTTGGTTTACCAATTTCAAACTTAATTTTCTTTTCTTTTGGTTCATCTTCAGATGTTTCAAGTATATTTTTTGGCTGGGTCTTTGCATATGCTGGAGTTATCCAGTAAGGATTTTCAGATGCATCTTTAGCATACTTTAAAATTGCTTCTCTTGGATCTTGATCATCTTCTACACGTTTACTCAATCCCAAATTACGAATAACATAAGAGCTTAATGTGCTACCAGATGCAGCAACACGTCCACCTTGTCCTGATTTGATAGGCAAATCAGGTCTTTTTGATTTAACAGGATCCAATCTATCTTTCTCAATACGTTTTTTTAATGATTTATTTCTATCTTGTCGAAACATTGGTAAAGCATGAGGTGTTATAATTTGCTGTGTAGGTACCATTTCCATCTGTTTTGATTTTGTTCGAGTTTTTGAAGCACATAACATTGCTCCCCGCTGACTATTAACTTTATCATAAAATACTTTTACAGTACCATCTCCACAACCGGCAAATAACTGTTTCAATTTGGGATGCCAATACACTTTAATACAATGAGTTTCAGAAACTTTAACTTTTTCCCGAAGTTCAAATGTATCAGTACTATAAAACATTAGATGACCTCCAGCTTCTTTTGGTTTAACAGAATGTCCAGTTACTACAATTGAATCATCTGGACTAAAGCAACAATCTGTTGTAGAATACCTAATAAAACATATTCAACATATTAATAATTAAAAAAACTGAAGCACAGTGATATATATCATTTTTTTTAGAAATAAAGACTCGTAGTAGAACACACAAATAGAGTGGTAACAGACAAAAAAAAATAATAATAATAATAATAAAGATAAAATAAAATAAAGATATAGTAAAGTTAATACTTTCTCAACTGCATCAAAGCTAAAAATTATCTAGCTCAACATACCTTGAATAAAGTTCATCAACAACATGAATAGGTTTTTTAAAATTTCTTATATCCCAAAGTTTCATAGTTTCATCAATTCCTTCACCACGTGTACAAATTAAAGTATCTCTATAGGAAAATACAATTGATGATGTATCAGAGTTTGATAAATGAGCATCACGAATGGTAAACGTAGCATTAACAAAACTTGGTTTCCTAGTATCGTATACTAGTACTGAGCCATCTCTGCATGCACACGCAACTAATTTTCCATCATTACTATAATTACAAGTTGTTGGTATAGCTCTAAGTCCATTTTTCGCTCTACATTTGATGATATCTTTGTGTTTTTCTTTTTTGGTCATATCCCATATACGACAAGATCCATCTTCTGAGCTAGTTAGAAATTCTTCTTTATTTCTAGGATGCCAAGATCCACAAGTCAATGGAGAAGTATGACCTTTAGTACGTACCTTCAAAATAGACAATTTTTTTTTTAAATATATCGCAATATGAGTACTCTAATATAGTAGTAAAATTGACAAATTTTAAGTTATTTGTTTGTACATATTTTTTTATGATAAAAATGCACAATTCCTTTATAATGCAATAGTGTATTATGTTATATCTAAAAAGTTGAATGCGCAATACTAAACAATATTGTTTATCGACACAAAAAATGATTTATTCCATGCATTTGTTAGGTATATTTAGAGTTACTATACTAGAGTACTTATAGTACGATATGTTAGTTGAACAATAAAATTATAAATTTAATAAAAATTTACCATATCTGATATATATTGATCACCTTTGACACACTCCCAAAGTTCATGACCATCTCTATCTAAGACTTTAGCTTGAGACATTCCAGATATTACAAGTAATCTATCACCAGTAGGTGAATATTTTAAACATTTAATTGGATGATTTCCACAAGGTGTTAGAGTACGAAAACTTTGTAAAGTTTGATCCATACCAGCAAAATCCCATAAACGAACATCATAATCGACAGAGCCACTTGCTAATCTTACTCCTGGAGGATCTATACATAGGGCAGAGACTGCCTTAATTCCATGATTTAATGATACATTACTCTCAATAGGAAGATTGGTTTCTTTTGAATCATCATCTTCAGTATCACTTATATCATCATCATCACTATCATAGTTGGAACATACTTCCTTTACAGTATTTTCTTTTATGGTAACTGCATTTTCATTATTCTGATTTTTAGAAATTGACAGATTACTGGGAATTAGGGGACTAATAAAAGTGTCATCATCTTTGGTTGTTTCTGCCTGTGACTCATTTTTATCATGATCAATATTTATCTCAGTTGTTTCTTTTTCAAGTGATTTAGAGCTAAATTCATTGGAATGTATGAATGCTTGTGGTATTGGAGGACCAATAAATTCATCTTCACTTGACATTTTTTAAATACCTAGGATGAAAATTAAAATAATAAATTAATATTTCATTACACTGAACATTACAAATAAAAGATCACAGATAACAAAAAAATAGAAGTTAAATAATTTGAAAAACTATTTCAATTAAGGCTATAACTTTTTAGAAGTGCGTTATATAAAAAAAACTTCTATAGTAATAACAAAAAACTCTTCAACCAAAAAAGTAATTTGATTTGAAGTATACAAATACTCTCGGGGAATTGTATTATATACAGTGTCATATATTTAGAATACTATCCCCAATTTTTATTTTTACCTTATGATTTGACAGATGTTTACAGCAGCTATCAACCCTATGCAACCTCTTATAACTAAGAGGGAGCCAGTATAAGGGTAAGGTGACTGTCACTGTAATACAAAACAATTTGTCTAGATTTTTTAACCTTCTGTTATTTCTAATCTTTATTCCTTCCTTATCTTAACCTTATTTCTTAACATAATATGTTGAATATAGATTGAGTTTTACTAGTTTAAAAATACTAAAAAATGTAGCCCTTCATGTTAATTCATTTTAAAATGGATAAATTTCAAATTTTTCATTTTTGGTACCCATATATTACACTATATATACAAATATTGTGATGAAATATAGCTTATCACAAAAAGCTTCATTATATACTTAATTTAAATTTGATTTTGAAAAGTAGAATATATAAGACATATCACTTTTAAACATGATAAATTATCACATTTTTAAAAGCCTCCTTAAAGATAATTTTTGGCTATGGTCTATTTGATATTAAAAAAAAATTGCTTTTATATTCCTACAATTAATAAAAATATTTATCAGTTGAAAATAAAATCAATATATATTACTAATAACATTAAAAAAGTAGTGATCTATTTTTAACTTACTCAGTAAAATTTAATGGAAGCGACATTAATACTTTCTTATTAGATTTATATAGAATTATTTTCTAAATAAATTACCAATTGTTTACAATTTATTTTTTTAAATAAACTAAGAAGTCTTTTAAAATTATCACCAATATTTTGTAGATATGTATTCAATATAAGGACCTTAGTATAATGAATGATGTTAGAAACATTTTATGATAAATCACATATAACCTTAAAATATGAATACACTTTTCGGCCTGATTACCGAATACTCTAAGGCAAACTACATTCATAATATAAAATTAATAGAGTAAATATATTTTGTGAAGTACAATAATTAGTCATATAATTGGATCAATTGTCAAAATTTCATCTGAAGACAAGTTTGTAGCAATCTGTTATTGTATATTGTATATTTTTAATAGTAATACTATAATTATTATTAAAAAGATATGTATGAGGTTATCTAATACATTTAATGTTTTAAGGACTAGACTTTTGAGAAGAATCTTATATAAAAGTTTTTTTTCATATTGCCTTTGTTATTTATCGTAGCTCATTATTATTTATTTATATATTAGTGGTGTATTTAAAGAGTATTAAGACACCTATCATAAATAAATGCTATAATTTATTTAAAATGATTTTTTTCCATTATTAATAGAAGTTATTCAAATAATGAAATAACGACAAAAAAAGAAGTTTTCAACTTTATAAATTTACAAAATGTATTATGATTATTCTGAACTAAAATAATACATTATTTTTGTAAACTATATTTGATTTAAAAAAGATTATTTACTCTTATATATTATGACATCTTGAATTCCTTTGTATTACATTCATTCAATTGTTTGATATGTAACCAGAATAAATAAAAATGTATGATAATCACCATAATAGTTATTACATGTTATCAAAATCCATAATATAATTATATATATATATGTGGAAACTAGAACATAAAAACAAAAAATATAATTGTCATTCTTTCAATAAAATTAAATACTACAAAATTTTATTCCTTTTTTTGAATAGACTAGTCATAGTACCCTGAACTAATTATAATCAGAAGGTATCATTTTTTGAAATTTAAATTCAATGATCTAGGAACATATTTTTGTTCCTTTGAATCCTTCATTTCTAGTTTTCATATATAGGAGATATAATAGATCTGATTATAATTAATGTATGAAGAGATTATAGGCTGTTTTGTAAAGAAATCTTGGATTAATTCCTTAAGGTGTTAGGTGTAGTTAAAGGCATGATAAAATGAGTTTTTAAAATAGTTTTTTTTTTTTTTACTGTAGTTTAGTTTATTTTATTCAGAAATGTATATAAAGATATTATATTATTTTTAACTTTTATTTGACATTAAAAAAAAAAAAATTATTGTAGATCAAGTTATATTTGTTGGATCCAACCTGGTAAGTCATGCTTTGTGTTAACAATAATAAAATTTTACTGGTTCATATGAAATCAATCAAAAACAAATCATTAGTTTAATATTTAATCTAGTATTTGATCAAAGATTTTATTTTTTTAAATAAACAAAATGGTGGCCTCTTATAAATTATTTGCAGATTTTCAAGGAAAAAGCACTAGTTCATTGTTTTTAAAAAATAATATAAAACCTTTTAATCAGGCATTATTTTTTTATGATTTCAATAAGCTTTGCAAATTTAATTCAAAATTATCAAGTAGTTTTAAAATTACATGGGTCACCAACCAATGTAAAGAAGTCCAACAAATATAGCCATAATTTAGTCTATAGTATTATTAGCTTCGATGCGAAGCTGAGAAGGTATTGGTTTTACTAAGATGTGTTTTTTTTTTTTTTTTTGTGTCTGTTACCACTTTTTCTCAGCTCTCACCGAACCGATTTCTTTCAATGATACGTCAAAAGATCACAAATCGTATCTAGTCGAAGACATTACCCTTAAAAATTGAAAAAATTTCCCTCGTTCCCCGTAAATGGGGGAAACCTCTGGAAAAAATTACAAATTTAAAAATGGCTAATTTTCGAAATTTTTTTTACTAAAAACTGCCGTAACTTTTTTAAAAAAACAGATCAATATAATTCTTTTTTTTGTAGATGCATGATGTCATTACCTATCATTTGGTATATTTTTTTTATAAATCTGACTTTTTACCTGCCCATGGGGGGATTTAAAATGACAACTTTTTTAAAAAAAAATAATTTTTTCAACTTAACTTTTGAAAGTGTTCCGGAAGGTCTGACACTTTTATATATATCTTAAATTAAAGCTAATGTAATATACTTTATAATGGTAAAAAAAAATTTCGGACTTTATTTTATCTTCATGGTGAAAACAGACATTAAACTTAATAAAAAAAATACGATTTTTGTAAAAAAATTCTTTTTTATATTTTTAACTTTATAATGCTATAACTTCTCGAAAGATGTATGGATCAATATAATTCTTTTTTTTGTAGATGCATGATGTCATTACCTATCATTTGGTATATTTTTTTTATAAATCTGACTTTTTACCTGCCCACGGGGGGATTTAAAATGACAACTTTTTTAAACAAAAAATTGACTTTTTCAACTTAAATTTTGAAAGTGTTCCGGAAAGTCTGACACTTTTATATATATCTTAAATTAAAGCTAATGTAATATACTTTATCATGGAAAAAAAAAATTTCGGACTTTATTTTATCTTCATGGTGAAAATGGCTACCAAATGCTATTATTGTGTGAAAATTCTCGATTTAATTTTTTTATTTTTAACTTTATAATGCTATAAATTTTCACACAAAAATAGCATTTTGTGTGAAAATTTTCGATTTTGTATTTTCCATTTTTAACTTTATTATGCTATAACTTTTTGAAAAATGTATGAATCATTACAATTTTTTTATGAGAAGTAGTATTTATATAGATCTTTCATTCGACATACTGTTTTTTTAAATCGGACCATTTCCCTAAATACAGGGGGGATTCAAAACATAAAAATGCATATAGAAAGTAGAACTTTTTCAACGTAACTTTTGAAAGTGTTCCGGAAGGTCTGACACTTTTATATATATCTTAAATTAAAGCTAATGTAATATACTTTATAATGGTAAAAAAAAATTTCGGACTTTATTTTATCTTCATGGTGAAAACAGACATTAAACTTAATAAAAAAAATACGATTTTTGTAAAAAAATTCTTTTTTATATTTTTAACTTTATAATGCTATAACTTCTCGAAAGATGTATGGATCAATATAATTCTTTTTTTTGTAGATGCATGATGTCTTTACCTATCATTTGGTATATTTTTTTTATAAATCTGACTTTTTACCTGCCTACAGGGGGGGATTCAAAATGACAACTTTTTCACAAAAAATTGACTTTTTCAACTTAAATTTTGAAAGTGTTCCGGAAAGTCTGACACTTTTATATATATCTTAAATTAAAGCTAATGTAATATACTTTATCATGGAAAAAAAAAATTTCGGACTTTATTTTATCTTCAAGGTGAAAATGGCTACCAAATGCTATTATTGTGTGAAAATTCTCAATTTTATTTTTTACATTTTTAACTTTATAATGCTATAACTTATTGAAAAGTGTATTGATCAATATAATTTTTTTATGGGAAATACTATTTTTTAATAATCCCTTTTTCATTCGACATACTTTGTCTTAATCAGGATATTAATAAGGAACTAGCAGTTTATGAAGCTTTTGGAATAATCCACCAATTTTTTAAAATTAAACACTATCTAAAGATTTGCATCGAAGCGTTTTTTTTTTATAGTGATTTTAATCACTGTCAGATATCATTATACTTGATCCAACTATGCCACGTCACCACTGTGCTGCGACCCCCCTGTGCTGGGTTTTTGTTTTTTTTATTTTTATCAAATAAAATTGAAACATAATATTATTACTGCATTATTTCTTGTATAAAATAAAATTTAACTACTGTCAAAAAAAATTATATAAAAATGTTTATTTTTTCACTCCTAACCTCTTAATATTACATTGATTCTAGATTGAAAAGTTATGGCTCAAATTTTCAATCGTATTGGTCAATTGGGTCTTGGATTAGCAGTGGCTGGTAGTATTGCAAACACTGCTTTGTATAATGTTGATGGTGGTCATCGAGCTGTTATATTTGATCGCTTTTCTGGAATTAAAAATACAGTTGTTGGAGAAGGCACACATTTTTTAATTCCATGGGTACAAAAACCTATTATTTTTGATGTTAGATCTCGCCCTAGAAATGTACCAGTTATTACTGGAAGCAAAGATTTACAAAATGTAAACATCACTCTTAGAATATTGTTCCGGCCTGTACCTGAACAATTGCCCAAAATATATACAATTTTAGGTGTAGACTACGATGAAAGAGTTTTACCTTCTATCACAACTGAAGTTTTAAAAGCTGTAGTTGCTCAATTTGATGCTGGAGAATTAATTACACAAAGAGAAAATGTATCTCATAAAGTAAGTTTAATAATTTAAGTAAATTAAAAATGTTAATTTTTAATTTACTTAACATCTTAATTTTTTCAGGTAAGCCAAACTCTTATTGAACGTGCTGGACAATTCGGTGTTGTCTTAGATGACATTTCAATTACACATCTAACATTTGGTAAGGAATTTACACAAGCTGTTGAGTTGAAGCAAGTAGCTCAACAAGATGCAGAGAGAGCTAAATATCTAGTAGAAAAGGCTGAACAACAGAAACAAGCTGCTATTATATCAGCTCAAGGTGATTCTGAAGCTGCATCTATGTTAGCAAAATCATTTGGTGATGCTGGTGAAGGTCTTGTTGAATTAAGAAGAATCGAAGCTGCTGAAGACATAGCATACCAATTATCAAGATCGAGACAAGTAGCATACCTTCCATCTGGACAAAACATTCTACTAAATTTGCCTGCACAATAATTTCCTCTATTATGTTTAGAACAAATGAATTAGTTTATATCTCCCATATTATATCTTTTTGTTTTGTTTCATATATACATGCTTTTTTTTGTTTTGTATTTATGTTTTTAAAGGTATAAAATACATTTACTCTAATATAACAAGTTTTACAGAAATGGAAGTTAAATTAAATTAAACATTTATTGGCTAGTATTTTTATATATTTTGAAAATACCAAAACAACATTTAGTATTCCTTAAGACTTTTATTAATCTCAAAGTCTAATGCTAATAGTATCTTTGTTAATGAAACACAGGTTATTGCGAGTCATAATTTGTCAGAGTTGTTATAAATAAATTTTCAAAATAAAATAAATACAAAAAATATTGAACTTTTGCTTTTTTTATAAAATAAAAAATATACATTTTATTAAAAGATTTAAAATTGTTCTTTTTGTATATAATATATTTATATATAATAATATAATTTATAATACAACTCTTAAAAATTAAAAACAAACAATTAAATAGTTTTACAAACAAAAATTTAAAACAAAATCCTTAAGAGCTATAAATAAATTAGAAAAATTTATCTAGGGAAAGTAAACATATTTCGTCAATACATATTTGTTGTAATGCTGTTGCTTTCTCTGAATAGACTAGAATAGGTTTTTTGACAGCCAATGTCTGGTTCATAAATAAATAACCAAATATAAATAAAATATACGTATGAAGTACATATACAATATTTTATTAATATATTTTATTTCTTCCCCAAAAAGTCGACCATCTGGTTGTACTGAGTTTCTTCTGTAAGCAATTGAAGAGACTCTAAACAAGCCTTAAAGTATACCGTGTTAAAGCATGTAGATCTGTAAAAAAATAAAAATTACTATTTTCATATATTCCATAAAAAAATACCTTGTTACCATACTTATTAAATTATTAAATAAATATATTAATAGATTATTAGTTAGTATGTAAGGAGATAATTATCCAAAAAACAGTGATAACATATGGTGTAAATACTTCAAATTTATAATGATACATAAAATTATTTGGGAACTGCTGGTTTCAAAAACCAGCAAAATTTGAAAATTAAATATATTACAATCATTTGATTGGAAATATTTATATTTATAAAATAACTTTGATTACGTGAACAATATTACATATTTCACAACAGATTTGGCGTGCCAACTTAGTCTGTTTTTTATGCGTTTTACTTTTAAAATGTGTTGTATAATTTTTAATTTTATTTCTAATTATAACAAAAGTATTACTAAAATGATAGCATGTATTTATTCATGTTTTGTATATTAAACTACTTATTTTTTTCTACAGAAAATAAAATCTAAGTTAAAAATTAAAATTTTATAAAAACTAATCCCATATTCTACAATAAATAGAAGGATAAGGACGGGTATAAACTTAAAAATAATAAGTATAACATAATAATAATAAATAAAATAAAAGTACCTAAACCCCAGCCCCAACAGGATCTGCCCCACGCAATTGTTTAATCCCTTTCTGTATACTTTCCATTTCGTCATCAAGCAGGAGTACATCCAAACATCCTTTGAAAAATTCTGTCGTGAAGCATTTTTCCCTGCAAAATTAACTGTATGTTAGGCATTGGTTGTCTCTTGGCAGTACATAAGAACGTCGAGGGAATTTAATAATTGTGACTATCTCATTTTATTTTATTAATACGTTTATCAACTACCACTCAAAATTCCATTGTTTCAATTCGGAGAGTACTTAGAACTAATAGAAATTACCGATCAAGATGACACACCACACCAATAAATTCTTTTCTTTTCATATATGTAGTATTAAAATAACATATAAATGATTTATTTAAAAACCCAATTCTATAGAAATATACTGAATATTAAATTGAATCATTTTATTTAATTAATTAAATTCTTATCATGATGTAAAGATTTTCTACATCATAGTACAAATAAAGGTATTTTATAAAATTTTAATAGATACCGAAATGTACCTCATACCAGGTAATCTAATGTTTTATGTCAGTTAAGTATATCGGAAATTTTGTGTGGATTGTGTTCACTAAAGTTATTATTAATAAAATTATAACATTCAATTTTTAACTAAAATTTATTAACTTTTTAATATTTACTTTTAACAGTGAATAGATAGATATTACTCTCTAATAGCGACTATTATTATCATACAAAAAGTTTTAAAATTTTATTTGACAAAATTGTTATTTAAAAAGAAATCAAAATTTCTGTAGATGCTTTTATTGCTACAAAAAATAAACAAAAAGGTATTTATTGTTTGAATATTGAACACTAATTAATAGAAATTTAGTATTTTATTATTTAAAGATAAAAACATTACATTTAAACGTTGAGATGGTTATTATATTAATATTATTGAATTACTAACAATTTTTGAATGTTTAATAAAAAAAAAAAACAACTCTTCTATGAGGTTATTTATAAATGTTTATCTGAAAAATAAAATTAAGCTTCTAAAATGTTTATAATTTATAATTAGCCTAATTGACAACTTCCATTTTTAAGCACTTTTCGAAATATTTTACAATGTGTTAGACAGGAATAACAAGTATGCGCATATTTTTTGTGCGATTTTCACAATGTAGAATAAATGTCGCTCCTCTCAAATTATAAATCTCCTTCAGGTCATGTCGAAAAATGTAAGGGTTTTTTCAGTCAGTGAATTATCATAAGAGCCCAAGTAGATAAACATAAATAAAACATAAAAATTAAAAATAATAATAACGGAATTCGAGTGGTATCAAACATAAAAGAGAGAATAATAGAAGTTAATAGATTTTATTTTGAGATATATCTAAATTTGTGGGAACATAGATTTGCAACGAACCTGCACAGGAACCGAAGTTTGTCTACTTGGAAGAGGTTGTAACAGTCCTCACACACCCTATCTAATCGGGCGAATATCGCTTTGTCGTACACGCCCTTGCACTGGATGTCAAAGAACGAGCGTTTGCTAAGTGAGTGTTCGATCCCCGACGATGATGATCCCGTACCCCTGTGTCCATGGTGATGTAAGTGGTGAGCGGCCGGCACGGCGACAACGGACACGGCCATGATAGCCACAAGTGTGGCCACCAGCACTATTGCCGGTTCAAAGCCAACCCCACTGCCGTACTTCGGCATCTGCAAGTACAAAACAAAATAAATTTTGTAATTAAAAAATACATATTAAATAAAATAACATAATAATTAATATTTGCGTGATTCCCCCACTCAAACTTATTAAATAACTATTATCATAAATATCATTTTCATTACCAAAATAAACTTTGAGTTACAATACCATCAACATGTATGTTGCATACCCGTGAGTTAGATACCTAATGGTTTATGATGTGTAAAGTACTTGTACGCATTACTCAAAGCGGCGTTATCATTTTTAATTATTTCTCTGTTTATATTTTTATTTTTTTGTGCTCTTAAACGTTTATAATTTAATAACGTGAAATTGAGAATGTTTATCTTATTAGAGGTCCTCGCACGATAAGTGTTTAGATTAACCGTGCCCGACATTAATTACTTAAGATTTTTATACAGAATGTCCAATTTGTATTGAAAAAATGTTAATATAACAGTGACACTTATCGATTTTTTCATATCTTATTTTAACTTCCATAGTGTTTTTATGAATTTTGAGCTCGAAAATGAAAAAAACACATGTTATGAACATATAAATTACTTATTTATTTCTCCTAACTTCATAACAACTTATACATTTTAATCACCTGTATGTTCACTTATATACGTTAATTAAAATCTCTCGAATAATTATTAGTCAATTGAGTAGTAATTTATTTACTTAAATAGATAAATTGTTTAAACTCTTGATGACGTGTGACTTTTACATGTTTTGACATTAATTTAAAGCGATATAACTTTATGACTCGGCCAAAGCCTTTACTGACAAAAATTGAAAATAATAAATAACTGATAAGACTACGCAATACATGTGAAAGTACATAAAATTTAACAGAATGATAAACTATAAAGATAACTACTCTTATAAGTGATCGATTATCATTTTGACCTTCATTTTAAATTAATATAAGACTATATTATAAGTAAACGGTTAAATACTTTGTATTGTTTAAATACTAATAATGTCGATAACTCATGCAATATTAGAAAAATTAAAATGTAAAATTGGATAAAATAATTTAATAAATCTTTACATGTGTAACAACCGAAGATTAATAATTATAAACATGTCAGTTTAGATAACGTTTTATATGACTTTAATTTACTCTAGTTAAAAAACCTAACACGTACTAAGGTAAATAATAAATTATTACAATGCGTAGTTTTGCCGAGGATTAATTAAAAATAAAACGCAAAGACAAAAATAAGGAAGTATTTAATTAAAAATGTTTAGTGTAAAAAGATAGTAATGAAATGAATTTGGGAAAAAAATTTGGTTACAGTTTTTGGCACAAATCTGACAATCGCAAAAATCAATTAATGTTAATAATGAGGCAAGAACCAAAGCGGTCACGGATCCATAAAATGTCATAATTTTAAGTGGCAGATTTATGCGTTTATGTAAGACGTATATTTTACAAATAAAAAAATTGATTGGTAGAAAAATTGCGCTGAAAAATAATTTAATTGCAAAAACATTCCGTTAATTCATAGAATTGGGGCTATTTTTAATGTTGTGGATAGTCAAGAAGTAGTCGAGAAGAGGAGACCTTGAATTTAGCGGTCAAATTTTAACCCGAATCGGGGCCCTACCGCCTCGTTGTGGAATTAAGTATTTTTAGCATATGTATATCATGTCACAGTATTTGACCCGAAAAATACGTACACATTTTTATAGATCAACAGCACCACAGCCAAGTCGGTTACCTGTACGATTCATGTCCTGATGGTTTGGACTTCAGATATTGCACACTTTACACGGTAATTAACATGAACGACCTGAGCAAGTCGTGCGCACAGCCTTTTTTTCTTAATTGCAATTCTATCAATTTGTATACACTTATACAGGGTCCGAAGCCTTGACCCACATAGGTAGACGCGTACGAACGTACATAGGAAACGCGCTAATCCGACACATTCCAGGACATACGCGTATAAACACTTACAAATCCAGCTCGAAAACAAACATTGAAGCCCATTTTGTACTTTGTAAGAAAACATAAACGTTACATAAGCACACGCATAATATTCACATTATCCCTAAAAGAGGGTCATCGACCTTTACCCGACGTATCCATGACGTTTCAACTCGTGTGTAATCAAAGTTCTGTGGCGCCCAATTACAATTTTAGCTAGCTCTATCATCATCATCGTTCACCATAATATTTTTTGCTGCTACATCAGAAAACATTGGCCCCGGCAGTTCTGAATTATCTTTTTAATAAAAATAACGGACAATGTGTAATACATATCTTCAAATACCCTCTACACGAATGACATAATGTACAACATTCGCTGCAAAATACACGGGTCAGTGACATTGGCAGATTTTTAATGTGTATTAAATTCGTGTTGATTGAAATATTTTATCGGTGCATGTAAATAACAACGGAAAACGTTTTACAGAAACATGGTCTAAGAAATAGATAATAGTTACGGATGTAAATCTAGTGCGGATGACGTTTATGTCTTTTTTTTTTTACACAACTTTGTGTGTATTTCAAATATGGAATAGACAATGCGAACCAAATAAAATGTTAAATTTGATTAAGTAAAATTTCAACTATTTTAAAGGCCAAACACACCGCCATCAATAGTTATAATCGTTGATCGTCATTGATCAATAAATTTATATATATTTCTGTATGAAAAGTAATATTTTCATTGAATACGCAGGTTACAGGTTTAAAAGTAACAATTTATACATATTTATTACATCATATTACAAAGAGTTAAATTTTTATCACAAGTAGATTAAAATTTTGCTATAACGATTTACACGTGGATAATTATTGCGTATTGGTAATGAACACTATTAGGTTGGTCTATTTTATATAAACTATTATCAGTTTAATATACTTAAATATTTACTAGTATCGTTTGTTGGTCCATCTAGTCATGCGAAATTTGTCTATTGTTTCATACACGATTCAAGAAGTGAACTCGTGCTGATGTGTGACATCCGTCGGGGACGAGTAACACTTATGACCAAATAACGAACGGATCATGAGATTTACAACATTGATATTGAAAATGACGCGCAATGCCCTGGCTACTTAAGTAAAATATGTTTTCCCGTTTTTTGGCACCAAAAGTACGAACGTGCGACAATTCTGACGTCAGGTCGTAAAAAATAACATCGTTAATCAAGACACTTTTTGCAAAACGATCAACATCTTTAGCCAAATGAATTGGAATAGAAAAATAATCGTTCGGCATCAACTTACTATTTACACTCTCGTTTCGCACGGCCATGACATCCGCCAATATTATTATGTTGTGTTACACAACGGCGGCGGCGATGACTGTTACAACCTTCGCTTCGACTTTATATTAAAGAAATCCGTTCGTTTTACACGATTTATTTTATTATTAATTGTGATTATTGACAAAGGTCGTAGTCGTTACCGAGAAAAACACATTATATACATGTCTTTATATTTGTTGTTGTCCTTTGTCGTAAAAATTATGTTCCCTACACTCCAGTTACTATTTGCTACTTTATTAGAAAATCACTCGAGTATTTTTTTTTTTTTGTATAATGATTATTGCGTCATTTTTAGATAAGTAAAGATTAAAAAAAAAAATACCACCTTTTTTAAACCGTTATTGAACAATGTTATCAGTAGTTACAATCTGAATGTGAAACTTAAATTTAGTATGTTAAATTGTTCGATAAGATAGCTGTATTGTCATGATAATAAGAAACCATTAACCAAGATGTCACCTTATACTATCCGATTACGCTACAGTTACATATTCGTCGTAGTGCAATACTGCAATGTCAGTAATTATTACACACAATTACTAGTAATGATAGGTAACAACAGAGGTAATTTCTTGTCGAACAGAATTTAGTGGGGCGGGTCGTTCAACTGTATTAGTCATGGACACTTTGCTAATTAATACTGGGTAGCTATTACCAAATTTAAACACTCATGAGTGTTTAAAGTACGTCAGAGCACGGACGTACTAAGAATGCCCATTGCTTCCCTGCTCTAAACGACTTAAACACAGTTAAAAATGTGAATTTTTATTTAAAGTCGTGCACATGTGTTATCGAATACAACATTCCTCGCCCTCAGTATCGTACTGTTGTTGTTTACAATTAAATGTTATATAACTTCAAGACAAAATGCCGTCAAATTTTTTCAATGATCGCTAATAATTATAATCTGTTTTTGTAGTGCACAACAAAGCGGATTATTCTGTTACAAATCCAGACATGATATCAATGTATAATAATTATTACTTTTGTACGTAATACTATATACTATCCCTCGTTTAACAACTTTCACGTGGAGCCTCCGGCGGAATGCGGACAGACAACGATATCAGCCAACGGTCGGTACCTTTTCAATAATATCGAGTGTACGCGCCCTTTTAGAAACTGCATACGGTTCACTCGAGCAAAAGGGTTTACTTAGAGAATCCCCACCGCCCGCAATCAATGCAATATTAACGAGGTATAAACAAATAATTACAACGTACACAATGTGACATAGTCGTTGCAAACAAAACGTGTATCAAATGGCAAACACATCATTGTACTACTTGGTGACCACCACGCTATCGTTTTAATGTGCTGCGGAATGCAATAAGATAGAAATTTCCAGAATAAACACAACTTTTTTACTGTAGGCACGACACAATCGGGTAAAATATTTTCGTCTCCGCAAATCCCATCGCGATACAGTAATAACGATGTGAACGAAAAGAACGACGGTAACGAAGAAGCGGTCGAACTTATAGAGAGAGAAAACGTAATGGGTCGAGAACGACCACAATTATTATACTTGTGACATGTTCATTGCTTGAAAATCAATACGGACTGAAACAGAATGGAAAACTGAAAAACAAATTCGGCGGATGACACCTTATGTGGTTTTGGGACGCAGATTGCAAATTCGAGGACGGAGAAAGCCGCCAAACCGGATATTAACAAAAACCTACACGTCTGTACGTAAACCACACTGTGCAAACATCATGATTCACGCGCACGCCAATGGTATTGTGCGCTTTCATTGCTATAATTTTGTAATCCCTGCCAAGTCACCGAGTTGCACGACACCTAATAATTTTAATGGCACATGCGACAACGACGACAAACGCTAAGATTTGCACAAATCACTCGTCGTCGTTCGTAAAAATATACCGTGTAAAACCTCTGCGTGTGATCTTTTCTCGAGTACTTTTACATAATTATTATTAAAAGCTTAACGTCTGTTAGCGCAAAACAAAATATCGCAGAATCTGCTAAAAAGTAACGTCTGCAATGATAAAAAAAATTATCGACAATGGTTACTAAAAATGTGTAATCCAAAAAATTAAATTGGTATAATGACAATCGGTGGCCTGCAAGTAATGTAAATATTTCAACAATATTAATGTTGGTTTTTTATATGTACCGCCGATAGTGTAAATATTATTTATGTTTATCACTGTGAAGCGATATCAATGAGTTTACATAGTTACATAAAATCACATCTTTTAACATTTGATATTTGTAACTGAACGCGAATCCTTTTAAATGACAAGATCAAATGCTTTTCCGAGGTAAAATGTCAAGGAAGACAATCATTGAGTTGCTAATTATTACCCGGCGTTCGACAAAAACCGATGTAAATCTATCTAAAAATAATTGAATTTTTTCTCCCTTGACCTCGCAAGAGAACATATTCGTTCTCCGTGTGCGTACATGACTCCTAGATCAGCGTTAAAAACATTACCCTGGCTGAATATAGAGAACCAGATCAATTCTGATTATGTCTTACTAGTTCTAATTTTTGATTAAATAAGGCGCATTAATTCAAAGTCTATTTACTTTTTGCCTAACAAAAATAACGATAGTGGATGGTATATTTTGAACACAAATAGCTTTTGCGTACACGGAAACTTGTTTGCTAATTAATTATTGTTATCGAAATAGATATTAAATACAATTAAAACGAATTAAATAAATCCAATAGCAATAAAAACACATCTAATTATGTACTAATAGTAGTCTGAAAAAGTCAAAACGCGATAAGTTATTGGGTCGGTATTGAATAGAAGTGTGTTTGTTGTTAATTATTTAAAACATTTTTTTTAAACTATACTGGTTATCGAGACAAAATTTTTTTCTAAAAATAATAACTATTGTATTGATTTAAAATACTTAATGTAAAAATTATAAATAGAGATATATTATCTAAACATATATAATTCAATTTTCTTAATGTATGTCTCTTCAGTCACTTCAATATTAAAGTACCTATATACATCCAGTTAAAATAATTCGTTAAGGTTATCTTTGCTTATATGGATAAAAAATTAGATTAATGCAGTGGCGTTCTCAGGGTTTTGTCTTAGAGGACATAAGATATTATTTTACTACCCTGTCCAAAGTACACATTTACTATATATTTATTTGCATCCCTTGAAAACACTGTAGGGTTAATGCTATATTAAACATTATTGATTATCCGGAGATTTGAATAGCCCAATAGTCACAATAAAACTTAGTACTCTAATTCTATTTAAATTATTGTCATGTGTTTAAGGCAATAAAATATGATTGATACAAACACGACTAAATAATCTGTAAGGTAATTTATTATAATTACCATACAGATTATTTAGACGCGTTTAATAGACAAACAAGTTACTAGTCATGTGGCGCGTGTAACCGTCTAGACGTAGTGCGTAGACGCCAGATGACTGAACAATGTAACAGAAACCATTCTCAACGGAAGTGATGAAGAGAAGCAAAATGAAACCATTGGGCGAAGAACAATTAAATTGTTTATAAAACAGAATACGGACTTGGTTATACAAGTACTGAGTTTCGTGGTCGAAAACCTTTTGATTTAACCCGAATAAATCGGCCAAGGACATTTCGTTTTGTGGATTTGAAGACTACAGGAAGCATACAAGTCCACGGCTTATTCGATTCAATTATTGACTGACTTTTTTTTTATAGTTTCATCGTTGCACAATAACGAAACGATTATGCATTCTGCGGCAAACGCAAGTTTCTAATTACAGATATACGTACATGCGTTGGTACAGGCAATAAGACTGTCGACTTTTCGCAATTGTATTTAAATTCATTTATTACCTTCACTAATGTATATTTTTAAAACCGTTTGGATTATCACACGTCATTAGCAAACTCGACAGTTTTTGATGCCCTCCAGGATCGACCGTTTCCATCTCCTATTACACATAATAATGCCACCAACCAGTCCAATACACGGACCGAATTAACGAACGGTCTTCGTATTCTCTAAAATCGAAGCTTGGCGATGACGCACATTAGCGGTTAGTACATCTATAATTATGAAGATGTTTTAAGTTAACGCGGAGAATCCGATAGAGCATTACGAGTATTATTATATTTTCGCCAATCACAATGATTTTTATTTATAAACAACGCAAACTGTAATTAAGCGATTACACGTAAGTCAGTCAGTGTAGGTCGAAGATAAGACGTTTTTAATCGACGGAAATAACATTAAAATAAAAAGGCGAGACGTTACTAGTAACCGGTTTCTGGTCTACTATTACAAGTAACGTAGTAATGTATGAGTGTGAGTGCGCTTACGTTGCGACCAAAAATAAATAGACTTAATGTGTAAGGTTTATAATTACAATAAAAACAACAATTTTATGGTTTGTACACACTGATAAACCACTCAGTCATAAAAACAGTTGACAACAAGCAGCAATGGTATTTACAAAAGAATTAAGAAAATATAATAGAATAGAATTAAGGATATGTTACGATTGCACGATCGTGTGGAAAGTAGCCTTATACGGTCTAATTGGTGGCGATACAAGTCGGACCGATTATATTATCCGAAACGAGTTATTCGAAGAAGTACGCGACAAAGCACACACACAATCGTAATTATTCTTCTTGGATAAATAAAAAAATCATATTTAATCAAAGAGAAGATAGAATGCGAAAGAAAAAACACATACACCGCGGAGATACTGCACTGCACTCACTTCTCACGTGCACTGTAACACAATATTATATTTATGTACATAGTATATAATACTATATTATCGTAATGATTATATCTTGCGGTCCCTCGAAACGGAAACCAGCAAAAAAAAAAAAAAAAAAAACACCGAATGCTACAGCGGGGACGACCGCTAAATAGAAAAGAATTCAGTCGACGCGCGGCTATTTCGGACACAATGGCCGTTTTACATTTTATTTTCATCGCCGTCCCTCTAGTCTCTATTACCTATATTTATGTCAGTCTCTGACAATCCGTTGTTGGTGGACATCACATGATAATAAGAAAATAAATATTTTCTTGTCTCTAGCAAAAGCGACGTGGTGAGTCACGTACGATTCACATTATTTTTTCGGTGCACAGTTGCCTACTGACTTACGAATGCCGCCCATAGCACTCCAAAGAATAACAGTGCCGTGTCAGCTGGCGAAATTTTTTCCACGTTCAAATCACTTGCACTGGTTTTGAATCGAATTTTGAANAAATTTTTTCCACGTTCAAATCACTTGCACTGGTTTTGAATCGAATTTCCGTTGGATTTTCTTTACATTGTGGGACGACTGATATCGATATTTTCACTAATTAATATTCGGACGGGTGCTGCCGACACTCGGGTCACGGTTATCGACATTTTGAATTATTGTCAAGATAAAAGCGACCGAAATAGAAAATGAGAACTATAATTACCTATATTTGCAACGGAGCGCAGACCTTTTGACCCGCGTACCGACTTGCAGTGTAGTAAAACGCGAAAAAGTCTGTTGTTTAGATGATTCTCATTCAAATTTTTTTTTTGTTTATCGCGCCATCAAGGTCATGAATCATTAGGTACGCGAAATACGTTAACACTAATATTCAATTTCCATAAAAAACCTTAAATGTGTTCAACACTGATTATGCAAAAATATGGTCTTATCGCGTTCGTTCGAGTGATTCGCGCCAAATTATAACGAGCAACAGGTTTATACACAATATATTTAGGAAAACGATTAATAATTAATCTTTATCGGATTATTTTTGCGTAAGGAAAACTAACCGGATCTGCGCATTAATAACTTCATTAATAAATACTCATATTTTAAAAATACCTAAGCTCGAGAAACCGACGCACGTGGTACACATAACGGGTTAGTTTAAATGTTGTATATTTTTCAACTGGTACTGTAAACATTAGCATTGCGAAAGCTCCGAGTGCAAAACTGTGTTCGATGCACATAACAATGCAACCTATGATCGTCATATTTCGTCAATGTAGTGTTCAACCTGTTTCTTTATCATTTTATAGACCAGTCGACATAAAACGTCGTTTATATTATTTATTATTATTATTATTATTATATAGAGTTGTTGTTTTCCATCCAACGGCGTCATTGTTACAAACAAAACAATAAGTAAACGACTGGGTTTATTAGAGCGGTTTCTTTTCAATAGAGCCAGTGAAGAATTTCGTTATCTAGTCTTTATTTTACATTGAGCTTAGATACGATTATTATTAAACTATTATCGTCCACATGACCGAGTCCAAAATTATGATGCGATCGAGAATCTTTTAATTTAAATCTAACAATTATTTTTCAAGTGTAAACAGAGACCAACCGTCAGTAAATCCTACACGCAAAGATACTGACCTAGGTCATAGTCATAGTCTTACGAGCGAACAACAACAACAACAATAATAATAATAATAATTAATTAATTATTAAGTAAACAAATGAATCCAGTGTAAAAAGTGGTAATCGTTTGAGTCGAATTAATGTGTACTTACGGTAAAGCGGGAAACGATAGAGGCGACTATGTCGACTCGCCGAATGGCAGATGAGCTAGCGACTGGCGGCTGCGGTCGTCTTCTTCCGGGGTGGAAGGACTAGCGACGTCCTCGACGATGTTAGCGGAGGAGGCGGCAGATGCGGGCCGGCGCACAATCGGGTGATGCGATAGTTTGTTTTCGGATAAAAAACAAATTAATAATGGAAAAATAACAGAGCGAACGACGTGGGCGGTTATTTCCTTTTCGTAGGTTTTTGGCGCCAATCGCAATTGCCGTATTATTCAAAGGGGGAAAAAAGTTATTTCGTTAAATATCAAGTCTTGGAGTGATTCAGAACGAATATGTACTCGACGTAACTATTGCCGGATGGTTTACCGGTGCAGTAAGCCGGTATCATCTTAGGGCCGCAACAGCCATCGTAACGGTCGCGTATTCGCAATTCGGTCCCGAGCGGCACTTATTCCGCGCGCGCACTATCACACTCGTACGCACAAAAAAATATCTGTAGATCTCGAATTACTTATTTTTTGTCGCCCGCAGATGGGAAAAAATGTTATCCCGTCTTTTGTTTAAGGATACGCCGGTAATATTAGAAATGGACAAAAAAATATATTTCAATATTCCGTGTGATAACACACAACGTTCGAGGCGGATAGAGAGTATTGTACTTTGATTGACGGCGACTCGATTGTTACTAAGAACAAGACGGACGGGCGTTGCACGTTTATGCGCCAAACCGGGATCCACTACTCTACTACGAATACGCTGCCGGCCACTGTTCCCTCTCTCCGCCGCCGGCACCGCCACCACACCGCTAAACCGAACCCGCCGTTTGGCTCGGTTCCACTGTGCGCCAGTGTCCACTAGCCACCAAGCCGTTACTGTGTACAAGGGGTCTCGATATTATTTATTTTACTTGATATGCAATTTTTTTTTATTTTACGGCCACGATTTGCCAAGTGGTCATCGTCATCGCCTTGAGAAGCCGCCGGCTAGTCTCTCGTTGTCACCCCGTCTCTTCAGCACCACACCTTCATACCGAGCCCCGCAGTCTGACATTTTTTCCCTTCTAAATGTTTTTACTTTCCGGCTAAAAGATGACGTGTACCTGTTCGCGGGAAACAGTTTTTTCTGTATCCGTCAAAGTCATTGGCACGCGCAGTATTTTTTTAATCTAATCTACTCGCCAAATTTATTACTTCTCGTCATATAATTGTGCGATATGAATATGCTGTACACATGGAATTTGGCAAACTTAAACGCATACAAAAAATACACTCACCAAGTCGTGACAAATAATGTGTCAATTATAAATTCTTCGTGATTTTCTTTATGGAATTCATAAAAATATATGAATTAAATATTTAAAGATATTAACTGACAAGACATATCGCATAAGAAAAAATGACCAAATATTGAAAAATCCGACAAGACTTAAAAAATGTTTCATATTTTATATTCTTAGTATTATTTAATTTAATTACTCGGTTCTCTTAACAATTATTACCAAATATGGGCTTAAAGTTTTATAAGTGTGTTAAAAGTTAAAAAAAAAAACTTAATGTTCAACATAGTGCATAAATAAATGGAATGGTCAGAATGATATAAGGGTCATAATGCCTTCTGCGTTTTTTGCCATTTTGGGCCCTGACCCTGCTTGGACATTTAAACCAGTTAAATAAATCAGTATGTGTTTAGCGTTGGTAATGGTAACATTGTTCACGTAGTACATATCCGCGCTTTTTTAGTAATTTTTAAATTAATATAATTTTAATTTTAAATAGAATTAGCCACAAGTGATCAATTTTTATTATGTTTAAACCATTAATCATAAAAATACCAAGTTGATGAAAACAAAACTTTCAAAAATATTAACTGTCGGTGATATCAAAACAACACTGTAATAAAATACGTTTACAATTTTAGTACATTTTACATTAAACAAATATAGAAAAGTTCAAACTATTACTGCCTTGTAGTAAACTCCTGATTTCTATACTAGTACGCTCGTAGTTTTGAGTTAGGTAACAATTAATAACGTTTAATATGTTGGGCAATTACAGTTGATACTTAACGTAACATAATTTATGTCCAATTATAAAAACAATTACATTTTATCACTTTACGAACAAAACTAGTGTTCATGTAATAATATCGATAAGTGAATCATGGTTTTTTAGTAAGCCTCACGGCGTCGATTTGGCACGAGCCAAAGATGTTCGATCCATAGGCCAATGTGGACCTCAGATCAGATTCTTTTACTTTATATTTATAATCAGATAAAACTTGATGTACTTTTAGAATTGGACATGATATTGAAACAAACAATGCTTAATTCAAAAACGTAATCTAATTATGATTTTTAAATTTAACTCTATGCGATTTTGCTTATCTTTGAATGTTATTACAAACAATAACTTTCGGGTACTCTTAATATTATAACCATGGTTATAATATTCATTTTTAAATAAAATTTTCTCTTGGTTTTTACTAATCTAAAGTTATTATTTTAAAACTAATAAGTATATTTTTTATTTTACTTTTATAAATAGTATAACGCACTTAAAACTATACCAATTAATCGTTCTTTAAAAAAACCGGAGTAAGTAATATAAATGAAAAAGTACACAATATCGTTAAAATAATAACAAGATGCGAAAGCTTTTCAGAGCATAAAATAACTGACGTGTTAAAAATTAAATGCATAATCCGTATGTTGATAATACTTAATTAATATGATTACAAAAATTAAAATCAATTCCTGAAAATACTATACATTTTTATCGGTTTTCTGATAGTTCATCTTTACTCTAAGGCCATAATCCATTGTTCCTAATCAATTTTATTTATTTTCGTCTTTAGAGCTTACTTAGTATATATGTCACATTTATTAATACTCCAACTACAAATAAACCGTGTGTAAATAGCATCAATATGTTAGTTTATATTTCAATTTTAATAATAGTCGATCACTTTCCATTAGTTTGTACCTACGAACCCGGTCATTGGTTAATAAGTCAGTAAATAAAGAAATACTATACAGAAATATCCAAAAATTAAGTCTATTGAACAAATAAATTTCTTTTTTTTGAGGACAATTCTAATAAATAAGTTCCACAAAATCGTTAAAATAACTCAACAGATAGATGAAATAAACAACTAGAAAAGATTTTCCGTATATCCTTTATATTTATAAAGTCTACCCTCATTATAACTTATATATGGTGTTGAAAACTCATTTATTCCCGTAAAAAGCTAATATTTTTATGAAACACTTATGAATTTGTAAACACTTTTAAAAATAATAATAGTAATATTTATATAATTATTTCTTTGGATATCTTAAACCTGTAATTTTTACAAAATATTCTAAAAAAATCATATACGTTTAAATTATATAAAATTCGCAAGTTTTAAGTGTAAATATTGTACAATTATTAACTGGATTTCAATTTGATGTACTATATGAAAACGGATAAACCATTTGCATTAAAATCTCTTATCACAAATATTTTTACAATAACGAAGAAATTCGTGTATTTTTTGGAGATTTATTTGGATAAATTATAGACATTATGAGTTGTATACAATACAATATATTATAGAACTAATTAATAATAACGATTACTAAGAAAGCGGTTGTATTCTATATAAGCTTATCTTCAATATTAAACATATCACTCTACTTGTTTTTTATTTATAAGCATTATTTCGTGTACTTGAATCATTTCATTGAAACCTCAACTTTGCATAAACTCAGCATTAGTTTTAATCAATTATCATCGATTAATCAGTTTTTCTTTTTAAAATATTGATCTTCTCAACGTCATAAACTAACTCAGTATTCACAATTATAGATATCAATGGTAATTGAAATCGTTATTTTCATTTAAGTTTTACTCAGCTTAAAGCGGTGTAATTCTATGAAATTTCATCGCTTTCTTGTTAAAGTAAAATGGTACAAATTTTACTTTTATTATTACATTAACAGTGCATAATTTATAATTTTTACTTAAGCGTTTAAAATTGGATAATCATACAAAAGATGAAAAATAATAGTGTAAGCATTATGATTCTATTTATTAAACTTGGTTCACATTTAATTTACAAATTTACTTTATTACTTATATTGTCGTATATATTACTAATTATTGTCGTTTTATTATTCAATTCATTCCCAAAAAAAATATTTAGGAATGCAGAGCAATCTATGTGCGTATTATTCCTTACTTTTTGACTTCATATTAAAGTGAATTAATAGATTCTACACAATTTGAACAGCCTAATGCGAAGAAAAAAAAATTAGTTATACTCGAATTTTTTTTTAGTGTTTAAATATCCAGAAATGTAAGGCTTGTCCACCGATGTATTCGTCCCTCATGAGTTTTTTTACAATTTAATACCAATTTTAATTGTTTATTATTGGAAAACGGCCAAAATTATAATACATACCTATTAATAATAGTTCGAATAGTTGAATATTGATTTTAAACAGTTATTTTTCTAATTTACATAAGTCAGATAGATTATTTATAGATTTTTCGAAGAAGTACTATATCGTATCAACAAATATATGAAAAAAAAATTATATGCCATGAAATTTGCCAATTTTTAGCTAATCATTATTTAAAGCATTTTAATTTAACATTTTATATTTGAATCACTGAGTGCAGGTTTATAAATATGTTATAAACAAGATGCAAAATAAATTAAACAACATATTATATTTCGAGACGTTTAATGGCAATCAACTCATTGCATCGCATTTATTGCACATCCATATTTTTGTAGTTTATATTTGTGATTGTAAATATGATATATTTATCTAGTAATCATATAAAGTTAAAAAATTTTTAAACGATTTTATAAGAAATAAATATGTATTTCTTGTACTACTTCCCGGAGTTTAAAATGGATTAAATTCATATTTACATTCGTGTATAATTTTTTTTGTTTTTAAATATGTACATTTAAAGAATATACTAAGGAGTAAAATAGAAATTCGAAAAATTTGAGTAACTTTTTTTATAGATTAGAGCCAATTGAGGGCTGTTCATATTATGTCCAATTTAAAAACCTTTCCGTATAATTATTAAATTAGTAGGAATTCAATAAATAGGTCTTTAATCGATTTTATGAAATATTCTACACTTAACGTTATCTTTGGTTCTCTTTTTCAAACGATGGTTTACTATAATAATTTTTGTGGTTACTGTGATGTCTTTTTTTTTTTGCTATTATTTGCAATGTACCACCAAAATTCAGAAAAATTATTCATTGTTTTGTGAAAAAAATTTAGAGAGGATAATTAAAATGTAAATACTCCTATGAACAATTTTTTTAAATTGATCATAACTTAAAATGATGAATAATTAATTTAATACAATATAATAATTAATATTATGAGTAATTATTGGCTAATTAATCTTCATAATTAAATATTTCCCAGTTAAATTAAAAAAAAACCCATCACAGGGGGTCGCGGCACAGTGGTGACGTGGCATAGTTGGACCAAGTATAATGATATCTGACAGTGATTAAAATCACTATAAAAAAAAACGCTTGGATGCAAATCTTTAGTGTTTGATTTTAAAAAATTGGTGTATTATTCTAAAAGCTACATGATCTGCTAGTTCCTTATTAATATCCTGATTAAGATAAAGTATGTCGAATGAGAAAGGGATTATTAAAAAATATTATTTCTCATAAAAAAATTATGTTGATCCATAC